ATCATTTGAGTAATTCGTTGTTTTTCTTTGTAAAGACACTTATCTGAAATATTTTAACGATACAATGTTGTTGTGCAGGTAAAAGCGTGTGTAAATATCAGGCCGGTCAGAACGGTGTGACGGTGTCGGTAGTGTCCAACTGCCATAGCAGCAGTGGCAGCAATAACAACGGCGGCAGCAGCAGCGGAAGCAGTAGCGGAGTGACCAGTTCGGCAGCGGATTCGGGCGAATCGGCGTCGGTCGACGAAAGCATCGAAGGTGACAGCGACGGTGAAGTCAGTCGCATCGACTTTCGCGGTGTAAATCTGCGCACCAAGAAAAAGCGAGACGCGGCGGGGCGAGATGACAGCGATGTCGTGCATCAACAACCTGAAAGGCCAATGTCGTGGGAAGGAGAACTGTCCGATCAGGAGATGTCGTCCAACACTATCACTCAGGTTGGTTTATCGTCGAATTTAAGTATTCATCCACAGCTTGATGAAAAGCATCGTTTACCAAATCTGATGTGAAATCACTGCAGGATCACGAGGAGACATCGATGGAAGGCGTGCAAGTGTGCAGTTCGAGTCCCAGTCCTCAAGAACACAAGTTTCCAATCAAACCCGAACCGGACTTTCGCTCGAGTCCTGGTCTACAGAGCCTTGCTGGCAATTCGCTGAACGAAACGATCGTCGCCGTACCTCATGTGCAACAGCAGCTCCATCATCACCAGCAACAGCAGCAGCAGCAGCATCACCACCACCAGCACCAGCATCAGCAGACGCAGCAGCAGCAACAACAGCAGAATCTCGAGCAGGGACAGCAAAGCGACCTGCCACTTCTCGTTGGCAAACTGCTCGGCGGCTGCAGCAGTTCCACGCCCAATCACAGTCCTGTGCTCATACCTAGGCACCATCTCACCAAACACAGCCATACTCGATCTCAGGTGAATAACTTTTACTCAACGCGGAGGGCTCAGCTACGTTGGAAGCTACTTTAATCGTCGTGTTTTATCTACACAGGTCCCATCGCCAGACTCAGCGATTCATTCGGCGTACAGCGTGTTCAGTTCGCCAACTCAATCGCCGCACGCTGGTCGTCACTCGGCCCTCGGTCCCGGTTCGCCAGTACCCTCCTCATCGCTCTCACTCTCCCGGCACAGCTTTAACAATTCTACGTCCTCGCTGTCGCTCTCGTTGTCGCACTCGCTGTCGCGCAACAATTCGGACGCGTCGAGCAGCTGCTACAGTTACGGCTCTCTCAGTCCGCCGACGCATTCGCCAGTCCAGCAACGTCACGCGCATCATCACGCCGCCGCTCAACAACAGGCTGCTGCGCTACATTTACAATCGGGAGTCGCCCAAGCGGCGCATCATTATGCCGCTGGCCCAGGAGTCGCAGCTGGAGACTCGAGCGACGCTCACCTCGATGATCAAGACGACTGTAGATTGCCCTCCGCACCGTCCGGCATCTCCACCAGGCAGCAGCTCATCAACAGTCCCTGCCCGATTTGCGGTGATAAAATCAGCGGATTTCACTACGGTATTTTCTCTTGTGAGTCCTGTAAGGTGAGTATTGTCGTAAGAATTCATAACCATTCATTAGCGAGCATATTATCAGTTTGGTAAGTCATCCGGAAGTATGTAATACTGACTTTACTTAAAATTGCAGGGCTTTTTTAAGAGGACGGTGCAAAATCGCAAAAATTACGTGTGCCTTAGAGGGGCAGGCTGTCCGGTAACGGTGGCAACGCGCAAGAAATGTCCAGCCTGCCGCTTCGACAAGTGCCTCAACATGGGTATGAAGTTAGAGGCGATCAGAGAGGATCGAACGCGCGGTGGCCGTAGCACTTATCAATGCACGTACACGTTGCCTGCCAATTTGATGGGTAGTCCAGGCATGAGCTCCGACAAGATGGGTCAAGGTGGTCCTTGCAGTCCTGCGTCCGTAGGTGGCGAGCATCATCACTCCATGAAGCAGCACTCCAATCATTCCCACAAAGTGCAGGTGGTACCGCAGCTACTTCAGGACATCATGGATGTCGAACATTTGTGGCATTACAATGATAACGACAGAGTTGGCGCTATGAGCTCGCTTAATCTTTCTCAGGTACTTATTAGTTGCTAGAACGACATTTAATAATATCAATTGAATCACAATCACTTAATAATTCAATCGTTTCCAAATTCTCGCTAAATTCACAAAGTCGATTAACGGTTCTTTTGAAATTCACAGTCACTGCCCAATAGCGCGAGTGGTGACTCGTTGAGCGGCTTGAGTACTTCGAATGGTCTAGCTAGTAGTTCAAGTGGTAGCAATCTGAGCAGTGCCACGAGCAATGGCAATCTCACCCCTCAACCAGACCCAATTCGCCCAAATTCAACCAATTCAGCATCATCCACTCCGACTTTGGAACAGCAACACTCACCTCCGTCTCTTTCGTCCAGCAATCCACCGAGTAGCTCGTCTAACAGCAACTCTACGCAGCATCCGGATTTTCTGTCAAACTTGTGCAATATCGCTGATCATCGACTCTATAAGATCGTTAAATGGTGCAAAAGTCTGCCTCTCTTCAAAAATATTTCCATCGACGATCAGATTTGTTTGCTCATCAACTCCTGGTGCGAATTACTACTATTCTCTTGTTGTTTTCGTAGTATGAGCACTCCTGGTGAAATTAGGGTTTCGCTTGGCAAGTCTATTACTCTGGAGCAAGCTAAACAGCTGGGACTGGCTACGTGTATCGAGAGAATGCTGGCATTCACAAATAATTTGAGGCGACTCAGGGTCGATCAATACGAATATGTCGCTATGAAGGTAAATTGACAATCCAAATAAATTTATCTGCGATACGTTATAAAAGCAGCCATTATACATTAATAAAAGAAATATATGACCCGAGCTTGATTGGCAATCAATATTTATTTTTTTTATTCAGGTAATAGTGTTGTTGACATCGGATACGAGTGAATTAAAGGAGCCTGAGAAGGTGCGCGCCTCGCAAGAAAAAGCTTTGCAAGCGCTACAACAATACACAATCGCTAGGTATCCGGAAATGCCAGCCAAGTTCGGTGAGCTTCTACTACGAATCCCTGACCTACAAAGAACTTGTCAGGTAGGCAAAGAGCTTCTGAGCGCCAAGCGTGCAGAAGGTGAAGGTTGCTCCTTCAATCTTTTGATGGAATTGCTTCGAGGGGACCATTAATGCAATTCTAACAAGTGCAGTATAAGCGCAGATATGTCATAGTACGCGACTGTCTGAAGTGAGAACGATAAAATTATTGAGGGAAGAGCTTTATTATCAAAAAACAAAGAAAAAAACAAGAAAACAAAAAATGAAAAGCAAGAAAAAATAACGGGGGCTCGTAAAGTTCGCGACGAACTTTTTTTACGAAGCAACCTGTTTTTTCTTTGCGGAATATATTCCTCGACTAAATGTGGTTGTTAGGTACTTATTTAATTGTAAAAGTCTAAATCATACTTTAAAGCTATCGTACATTATTTGACACTTGAAAAACAAAGCGAAACATTTCGTAAAAGTTTATATTTATTAAAAGATATACTTATTTTGAGTAGGAACAAATTAATGAATTTCTTTTGTAATTTTGTAACTTAGGTTTTCTTTATTTAGAAGTTTGAATTAGATTCGTACTTCTGTATATGATATTCGTTTCATCAAATCGATAAATTGGTAGAAGATAAGAAATCCATTATCAATCAAAATTTTATGGTAAAAATATTTTTAAATCGTACTATAATACAGGTTTTTACGCTGATATTAACGCTCTTTAAATTGTGTTTGCTTATTCGAAATATCTTATTTTTCTAGCAATATGTTAGAAAAAAACGGATATATTCGAATAGCAGACCTAAAGCTCTTTCACAAGTGATATGTTCGTGATTTTCAAATTTGGCATATTACGGGTCCATGAACTTCAATTAAAATTAAATCATACGAACGTTGAAAGTTTATATATAGAAACTTTTTAAAAATTATGAAAGTAAAATGACGAAAAATGCGCATGTCCGTGTTAGCGTTAGCTCGTGGTGACGGGACTACTTTTCTATAGAGTTATTTCAAAAGTATGTAAACTGATAAAGGACTTATATAAAAAAAAATATATATATATTATATTATTATAAAAAAAATAAAATTTATATATACAGTTTATAAATATGCATATACGAATAGATAGATACAGCTATATAAATATATTATATTTTTTACTGAAAAATGCTTCCATACAAGGCCTGCGTGAATTTAGCATTCCTGCCTTAAAATATACAGGAGTTTCGTAGTAGCCTACAGTATGATTGTGCGTCCAATGTGCTTTGAATGAAAAGACGAGACTGACAAAAATAACGCTAAAATCCAGGGGATCGCAAGCGAATGCACGTTTTTGTGCCAGTGTTATAAAAAAAAGTTATTTTGACCATATGTATTTTTTGCTCGCTCCAAATTTTATGTCATTATTAAAGGCTTCTACTATTTACTATGAAAATTGATCGAATCAAAGTGATAAAAGACAGAAAAAATTAATGTACATTTCGTTGGAATGCAACGTATACATATGTCAATCATAATTCGTGCATTTGCATATTTAGACATCCGTTTTTACTCGTGATCTTGTGTTAGTATGTTTGTACATCTGAAAATATTTTGTGAGCGAGTGAGTCGAAAATTAGATTAAAAATAATAAGCGTGGATCGCAGTGTGCGCCAATACAGTGCAGCAAAAATCTGCAATTGCCAAGGCCACATTTTGTTATGGTTACTAATTAAGGTACCAGTATTTTTATCGTTTAACAATTTTACTTAAGTTCAATGCATAATGCCTTCGTATCCCAGTTTCGCGAACAAAATGTACTTAAAAAGTCAATGATGAATACTGTACTGTAAAGGACTTGGATATCTATATGGCGCTCTTTCATACCTTTGTCTGGAAAAGGTACATCTCATGTTATCGTTCTTTCATTTATAATTGTATCCGTACTTCATAACAGCTATAATAGGTTTTTTATTAAAAATAAGAAAGTGAGTCGATAACTGTGGCCTGAGTTATAAAACTGCAATTTATTTATTCGTGGAAGTATCTTTTTATATAAAGAATTTTCGTTTGAATTGAATTTATATGAATTTGTAAGGTGTTCCATTTTTCTTTTCCGACTTGAGGCCATAGTTTATCATAAAAATAGTTTTACGAGGTACATTGGATTTCCTTTTAAATACATGCATGCCCGGTAATTAAAAATTTTTTTATCAATAAACAGAATATAAAAATTTTGAATATATGCTGAAAGACAAAATAGCTTAAAAGTGTTGCGTATTACATGCTTACGGTATTTATTTTCTTGATGATTAGTTTACAATAGTTTCCAAAATCGTGTAACTGAATAAACCTTTCCTTATAAACAAAAATCTGTAATCTATTTAAAATTTTCATATCATGAAAATTAGTGGGAATATTAATAACTAAAAGTGATTTTTTTTTTAAATCGAAAAATATATTTTTATTTCATAAGGGAAATTGAAAATTTTAATTTACGTACAAGAGTGAAAATTTTGTCTCCGATTTATTTATATGAATAATCATATAACAAAAGTATATACTTTGAACAATTAAATAGCATATAATTGGCAATTGAAAAACATTCAGTATTTATCACAATTGGTAATTAATTGGTATTGGTAACAGAAATTAATCAATAATGTTCACAGATGAATTTAACTTTCCACAGCTAAAAGTGTATATACATGTAGTAATATACTAACTACGTTATCGTGATAAATTTTTTAATAACAAATTGCCGCGTTGAGTGCCTGAAAATTCGTTTAAGTGAATTATTTTCAAGTACGACTTGTAATAGGAGTGCGTGTTAAATATAGGAAAAATAAAGTTAGATATTTGCCTGTTAAAAAGTGACTATTCTATGTTTCTATTTTTATAGTAGCTATTATATCTACATTTAATGTAATCGTGTAATGCAATTTTTTACATTGTTTTTCTTGTGATTCCCTGAATGTTTGCAACAAAAAGAAATATTCATGAATCATCATTAATACTAAGACAATTACTGTGGCAATCGAATGTAAACTTTATAAAATGCGTAATGAATAACTATTGCGACTTGCATTTTTTGTTGGGAATAGCTCTCGTCTATAAATACATTTTATTGAATTTCTTAAAATGAAGTTCTGCCAATAACGACAATATTTAAACAAGATAATTGTGTAGAGCAAATATAAGACAAAAGTTATTCGATATTTGAAGAGCTTAATCGTGACAGACTGTATCAACAATTTTATACATATTATATATACACATCTGCTATAAATACTACGAGCGAATATAAGGAAAATAACTATTAAGATTGATTTCAGTGTATCAAACCATTCATTATCATGATTAATATCATCGATAGATACTCACTATAGTATTCTCATCAATGCTGCAAAGACCACCAACAAAAATTTTTTTATACAAAGAGAATCGTATGTGTACGATAAAAAAGCAATAGACATCTCAGAAATATACGTGTTTCTCTGTAGAGAGACAAGATCGACTAGATTTATCCATTCGAATACATTAAAAATGTAGTTTTATACGTAGATTCATTACAAATTATCATTGGAAAATAAAACACTTTTTATAAAATAAAAAATGTTCAATGTTGTTTACCCAATAATAATCATCACTTTCAGCAATAAACAAATCAACGTTTTTTTAAATTTTCATCAAAAGGGCTATTTTAAATAGAGTAGCAAATGGTGATGAATAATAATTATGTGATTAACATCAATATTTTTTTTCTAAGAATATGTTCTTCATTGATTGATAATTTTCTAATCAATTAAAAAAATTCAATGATACCATATTTCAAATCAAAGTATCCCTCTCTCGTTGCAGTTTGGTACTAAAAGCATCACGTGGTATCCGAAGAATTCCGGAACTTACGAGTCGCGACTTGGTTCTTCTGGCTTTCTTTCTCGCGCCTCTTGGTCAAAGTGCATGGTTCTCTTGTTTGGAGCTGAGGCTGACTAAGACCTAATCAGCGACTTGCACTAGTTTATTTAGCCATCCAACAATAATTTTAAAAAAATAATACATAAAAAATGACACAGAAGGCTGAGCTCGCTTGCGTTTACGCCGCACTCATTCTCGCCGACGACGATGTCGCCGTAACTGTAAGTAACCTCTAACAACATTGCTTTTTTCAAGTTTTAAAAGTTTGTTACATTTTTTAAAAGTAATTTATAATAAAATCATAAAATACTTTACTAAATTATTTACGTCATCTTTCAACTTTGTCTTGAATTTATATTTAAAAATTGGAGATATGATTTGATTTTTGGTAAGGTTATATTTATACATACAATCGTTTGTTAAAAAAAATTTATTGTTAACTTGGAATATAATGGAAACAATTTTTTATAGAATTTTTATAGAATCAGCTATTTTATAGAATTTGTACCCGTAATTGTCTCATTGATTATAACTAAAAATTGCTATAGCATGAATAACATGTTTAAATGTTTAATTCTACTAATGTTTCTAAGATATCATTTGCGTATTGCGTAGAAATGGATAATTTATTGACAAAGTGAAACCAAACAATATGAATTATTCAATTCTAATTTGAGAAAATAAATAAAGGTTCAAGTAATCTAATTTATAGAAAGTTGAACTATCAAATTTGAACTGAAATATTGTTTAATTTTAGTTTAATTAAAAATAAGCCATTTTAATACTAATCAATCAATTGCTGAAGGGTGAGAAGATTCAGACTATCCTCAAGGCAGCCAATGTTGATGTTGAGCCATACTGGCCTGGTCTCTTCACAAAGGCTCTTGAAGGTGTCAATGTCAAGGACTTGATCACCAAGATTGGTGCTGGAGCTGGTGCTGCTCCCGCAGCTGGTGGTAAGAATTCATTTTTTTTTAAATTTTATTGTCCTCTTTCATCCACCAGACTACCATTAACACTTGGCTAGCATGGTCAGCATTAGAGGAGAAATTGATGTTAAAAAAAACCTGTAAGGTTGCATAAGTTAATTCGAACCGAGGTTTTTTTATCTACAAAATAAATAGATTACAAAAATTAATTGTGATAGTAACATAGCAAATGAATGTGTATAGTGGATTTAATGAAGATTAATATAACAAAGATTAATATAATATATTCTTTTGTTACATAGTTTTACAGAAATTTAATAATATATTTTAATAGAAATAAAGATTGAAGGTATATGACATAACATAGATTAAACAAGTTTCGGTCATTTATAATTAAAATTTTGACCAAAATACTATTAATTATTCATGTACTTAACAGCACCAGTTGCTGCTGCTGCTGCTGCTGAGGCTCCGGCTGCTAAGGAAGAGAAGAAGAAGGAAGAGTCTGATGAGGGATCTGACGATGACTTGGGCTTTGGTAAGATTATATTACATTTTATTACAATTTCTATAATAATTTAACATTCCAATGATTAGTTAAGCATGTATTAGCTACTGAAACAAGCTTATGAAGAGCAATTTCTAAATGAGACTTTTATAAAAATAGTGATTACAATTGTACATAGATAGAACCTAATTTACTAATGAAAAATTATTTGCTTGTTCTGTTACAGGTCTGTTTGATTAAATCAGTACCTGTGAGTGCTCACCATTTTTGTACAGTTCTATTGTACATGTGACAAAATAAAAAAAAATTAAAAAATTGAATTTGTATAGTTTTCTATCTTATCTAATATCCTTTAAGTAACTATCAACGACATAAATTAATCCCTGTAATTGCCAACGTTGGGATTGTTCCTACACATATTTTGTCACTGGCCACTAAATTCTAAAGTGACGTCGATACAATCATAAAATCTTTCATTTAAAAATAATAGTTGCATTGTATATCTGAAAGTTGCTACGTCTATTTGGATACTTGTTAACCTGTTTTTGTTATCATCTATATCGACACTTGTTGCTTTGTATTATCCAGCCTTTGTGTTTCAAAAATTGCAAAACGAAAAGGAATCCCACTCGATGAAAAGTGCGTGCTTATCAATTTGCTGCGGATAGAAGGACGCCAGTTTTATTCGGAAAAGAAAGTACACGGAGCAACGACCGATAAGCCAATGAAAGCTCAAGAGGACGAGAGACCCTAAGCCGACTTAGGCTCCGGAGTTTCGCTGGTGCTGGGTCGTTCGGGCTCGGACAAGGGTAACCATTGGGCCGAGGCACCGGCGCCAGCGAGCACGCGATGGAAGAGCTCGTGGTGCCTGAGCTGCGAGACCTCGCAGCGAGCGAGCAGCTCGCCGTTTGCTCGGTAGATCGTGAAGTTCAGGCTACAGACGGCTATCACGTCCGGCGCCAGGTCAAAGCTCAGACTCTCGCTCCACACCGGACTGGTGCCTTCGCGCCGGATGTTGGTCTTTTTCTTCTTCAAACTCTTGCCCTCGCGCATGATGTTTACCTGCGAGTAAATCGTATTTTTTACGATCAGTGAACGTTTACGCTGATGATCAGAGTTAAAACTACGATACATACTATGGTACAAAGTTGCAAGTTCTCGTCGCCAAGTGGTTAATTGTTAAAAAATGAATAAAAAGTACCTGAACGTATGGCTCAAAAGTGACGGCGCCAGTCTCATCGTTGATCGGCAAATTCCTGGCCCTGATGACAATGACGGTGAGCTTCTCGGCGGACGGCTGATAAGACAGTGAAACCATCAGTTCACCGAGCGACGGCGCCTTGAATCTGCCGTCAGTGCCGTAGCGCATCACCGACTTGGTAACCGTTCTGGGTTCTGGTCCCAATTCTCCCAGTGTCGACATTGGGATTTGCACGTAACCAAGGTTGCGATGCTTCGCCGACGTGTCAAAGTCGTATAGCAGCACCTCGAGCGTTCGTTCGGCGAGCTGACAATTCGGAGCAACTTGGAATGCGAAATCTTCGTTGAATTCTGAAAAGCGTTGATTGTTGCCATGTTTTATTTGCGCGATTGTTCGAACGAGCCTTTGAAAAATCAATTGCAATGAAAGTGAATATTAAAATCTTGTTAAATCAACAATGATTGCTAGTGAAATATAATAAGTTAGGTGCGTGTTTGCGTGTAAATCGAACTGCGACATTTCACAACAGCCGACTGTTCTCCAATAATTTGTCAGCGGCAAATTGCGGACGATATAAGTCGCCGACAATTGGTGGGTCTACGACGCAGTCCAACAATAGACCGACATGCTATCGGCATCCAATTGAAAGAGCTGAGGTGAGAGTGACGAGAGGGTTTACCTGGATTTAACGTTTGCTTGTACGTGCGTGTCTGCTTGACTGTGCTGCGGTCCGGCAGCAGGCGTACCTTGGCGTACGGATCGGCGGTCTCGCTCAAGTCGCGTGCGCGAAGGCCGCGAGCCTGAAAGAAAGCCAAACAAATCGGCGCGCGCTCAGTTCTCGTCGGGATTGGTGCGTCGTTCAACTCGTTTCGTCGATCTACCATATAGTAGGCTTCTCGCGGAACCTCCAGGGCATTTGATTTGACGTGATAAGTTATGCGACCTCAGTCGGTGACGACACGGCGTGACGTTGGAACAGCGACCGAATCATCTCCTTCTTTTCTGTCTCTTCGGCGACGCTGTCCCACGCGACATTTGACTCCGTGTCCATGACCGCAGTGCTTTCGACTACTGTGTACTCGAGGGAGCAATTGTCTCCTAAAGACAAGGATCTGAAGTAACGAGCGAGAGATTCGTTTTCGCCCCGCTGCGACGTATAATGATGTCAACTGTGCGCGATCGCTGAGGCGGCAAGAAAGCCGAAAGAATAGCCATTGTAAAATGTACTTTTGTTTGAATAAGAAGCAATAAAGTGAGCTATTTCACGAGTAAAACAGCAAAGTTATGCGAGCGGATCGCGGTTTGTCCCTCCTCGTGGCATAGACGACTCGTTGCGAAGTTTATTCGATTTTCATGAAATTGGCTCGACGAACGCGACAAGAAGTGCGAAGTTGGAGTCGTGAGTCAGTGGTAGCGCTGCGGACGAAGAATTACCTCGACGAGCTTGACGCTGAGCAGTCCGTTGGGCGCGTCGTAGGTGAGCTGAATCTGGAGCTCGCCGCGGGTCTCGCTGGCGGAGCGCGGGCAAGATATGTCGTCGCTGTCGGTGCTGGAGAGGCGGGCGTGTAAGGAGCCGGCGTCGGAGCCGTTGGCGCTGCCGCAGCTGGACAGCGGCAGGCTGCGCAGGATCACCATGCGCTCGTCGCTCGCCACCAATGCTCCGCCGGGCAGCGGCGGCGCCAGCGGTGACGAGCCCGTCGCCTCGTCGCAGCTGCACTCCGACAAGTGGCGACCCACTGGGGCATACGACAAGCGCGATTCACTGATTCCGCCTGCCGCTTTATGATGCCGCGGACGTGCTCGACTGCGTTCTTGCGTTCGTCGCGCGTTGTCGCCCGAAGCTCCTATCAAAAGTTTACCGGTTGCTGTCCAAAGTGCCGCATCAATTTAGAGACGTGAGTTAGATCCCGTGCGTCGCCAACTCTGTACAGCGGTGACTCGGCCGATCGCGTTGAATTTCATAATGCTTAAGCAATCCAAAATGAATAGCTGGACAATTAATTGCTCGAGCGAACTTGTATCGACGTTTTCGATTCCCATTATTTCCGTCGGATGCCACATCGAATGTACTAAATTTGCCTTTTACCTTTCGACTGTACTGAAACTTTATCGGCGCGAACTGAACGCGCTGCGGCGAGGATTCGGGAGAAGTTTGATTTTGTTTAGCCGCAAACGAAATTCTTGACGATCCAGTCTGATGCCCGAACGCCAATTTTCCAATTGAGCATGAAATTACTTCGCGGTATTAACAGCGATAACTCGTTCTTTCCATTCTCTTCTTCCTTTTATCGTCGTCGGAATTTCATTTGGTAATCAATTGTTCGCGCTGATCTCTCGATGCAATTAGCTGGATTGCTTATTCGTTGTTTCCGAACGCAGCGCGTGATATATTAATGAGAGACGCGCTGCTATTTCTCTCTGTCTGTAATTTATCTCCGATGCCAAGAAGAAAACAGACGCGATCATCGCATTTCAATTTGTCGCTTCGACCGGCGCGCTACGAACGATATTCCGCGGTCATACGTACTCTCGCGCGCCTCCATGACCCGATTGTTCAGGATGGGGTCGCGCGGCTGCCGCCACTCGTCCGCCGCGGTAGCACTGCCCTGTTGCTTGCCTATGGCCGCCAGGCCGGGATGCAGATTGGCCAGCGCGTACTCCTCTTTGCACGAGTTCTTCGCCTCCTCCGCACGATTCAACAGATCTTTCTCGAACCTGTGTGCAGGGGAAAATGCCACTTCATCATTCTCTTCCGCGTACCATTGGGCTAAGCCGCGAGTTTTCCCACGACGGAAGCAACGCCACGCACCGTCGATTTGACGTCGGACAGAATGGCGCAAACGATGGTAAAATATCCCAGCTCCGCGGTATTCCAACGACAAAATGAATGACAAAACGATGGCGAGCTGCGAAGAACCTTTCGTCGAACCTAATCGTTTGCTCGCGCCGCGAGATCGATCGATAATCCGTCAAGGTTCCTTCGGCCGAGCGACGAAAGTGACGATCCGACGACTCCAGTATCAGTAGTTTCGTGAAATTCCAATGAAACTTTGTCGTCGCAGAGGCTCGCTTTCAGCGTCACGTCAAATTGCGTCCGTGCTAGTTGCGACCCCGAGCGCGAGCAACAGCTGACGGCTGGCCGGGCGTAATACGTCTTTTCGCGGCGGAATTGAGTTTCCAGCGCACTCGAGTCGAGGGGAAGAGCAAGAGAAAAAAATAAATGAAACGACAACTAATCAGAGGCCCACGAACGCGGCGGGCGAGTACGGCCCCCGCGGCGAAACCGCGGAGAAACCAACCAACGGCTTACCAATTAAGGGGAGCGCGTCGCCGCCTGGCGCAGAGCGCGTAGACGATCACGGCCGAGACGGCGCCAGCTGTGGCCCCGATGGCGCCCAGGATCGCGAACATCTCCGGGCTCGAGGGGTCCAGGTCGCCGTAGGGCCCGTTCGCCGTGCCTCCCATGCTGTCCTTCGGTCCTTGCGCACTGCCTTCTCCAGTCAGCGGCCGTTGCGTTTCCCCATCCTCCGCGGCGGCGGCGGCGCCGGCTGCTGTGCTCACCTACAGCTTCTCTGCAAAACCAAAATTGCCCACGCGCTCGATCTATCAGTGGGGACTCGATTCTTTTCGTTCGAAACTCCGGAGCACGAGACGTCGTTGGGAAAAATTATATATATATATATATATATATATTTACATATATACGTGCCGGCAGTTTTGTATTGCAGTTTCCGTCGTGGAGATGGCCGAACTAGAGCGCAACGAGCCGGCGACGAGGTTTGGCGAATGCTTTTAGCGGACCGATCGTTTTCCGTACTTTTTCTTGTTCTTCTATTTTCGGCGTGTTTCAACGATGAGCAACGCTCGGCACGATTCGCTCGTGACGCCAACGTATACTTCGTCTTCGCACCTTCGCGCGCAATTGACGACTCCGATACGCACGGCACGATGGCTCGCAGTCGACTCGGCGACGTCGAGCCCGTCGCGACGTATTTTATATATACCCGCCGCTTTCACTTCGCATTATTTCATTTCGCGCGCCAACTCCCTCCTCGTCACGTCGAAACTACTAATAACCAATTTTTCACGCTTCGTTAGCTCTCAGATCATCCGCCGTGAGCTGAAGTTTGTCGCATTGTTTCGAGTTTTCCAATGAACTTCCTAAGGACTTGCTATTGTTTCTTCCAAGTTTGCCATATAGATCATACGTATTGGCGCTCGATCGAAGATAATTCGTAAACGCGAGTACAACGTTTCGGCTACATTTGACGGACGTTGAAGTGGATCGATATTGACTGTGAATTAGTGCCGAACGGCCGTGGAATCGCGTACTCGTCTTCGATCAGATGCGGGAACAGGGATTTCAAGCTCGAGCAAAGCTCACACACGACTCAACGGTACAGAGTTCATAGGGGCTTTCATGTTCGCACTTCTCTATCGATTTTCGCGTGCGTACACCAACTCTGCAATACTTGCGTGAATTCGAGAATTCGAGTCGTTTTATTGATACTTGGTGGATAATTTTCAGCTATTATTTTTCTTTCTCTGTCATTTAGCGCGACGCTTTTTCAAACGAAGGCTTGTCTCGGAGGAATGGCTCCTTGACAACGAGCTCGTCGGAATGCTCTTTCGCGACTATTGTCACGGAGCTCGAAGATTCGCTCGACTAAGAAAGTCGGCACGTCGTTATCCGGGAATGCCGTCGGGGCAGAAGCAAATGTACATATAAAATTCGCTGTGCGCACACTGCACGAACAAATAAAGAGGGAGCTGCGCACAGGCGAGGGAGCGAGAGGCAAGAAAGCTTCGCGCCTCGGGATCTCCCTGGGGGCTGGATACGAATCGATATGTATATGGCGCCTATCTCTCGGCTATAAGCATCACGACTTCTCTTGCGGACCAAGCGGATTACGGCGAACGAGGCTCGCTCCTTTTTAATGAATCGCCGGCGTCGGCGTCGCGCCTCGTTAATCTCTGGCAGTTTAATGCGCGACTGCGAAAAATAATTAAGGGAAGAAAGGCGAGGTCGAGTGCGAACGCGGCTTATCCGCGGGGCGTCTTCTTTTGCCTCGAAACGTTAAGAGAGCTTTTAAAGCACTTTCACGCCTAGCCGAAGCTTAGGGGATCTTATTGGCAATCTATTTCAATGCCTCCGCTGCGCGCGACTGTACGCGCGCCAAGATTATTATACGTGCTCGTCGGCGCAAGATGAATCGATACCGCGACGAGCGAAGAAACGACGCTGCTACTGCTAACTGGCGCTCGAGTCCAAGTGGCTCCTTCTGCCGCGAAGACAAGTACAAAGGCAACAAAAGCGCAACGCCCGGCGGCATTGTTGCTCTTTCCGCTCGTGGAAAGAAAGCCAATAACCCTTGTCAATCTGCCGGCTAGCTTTCGCTTCCTGCCATTCACGAGTGCGCGCTTCGGCGAGTGCCGGCCCACCCGCGCGCGAGCCCTCGGAAGTGAAAGGGTCGGTTCGGTCGCACCGGGAACCGACGTCAAATGCGGGCAAGACGGGCGGCAGATCGGCCGATCTTCTTCGTGCGATTTTCGCCTGCTCGAGCACTCGCATTGATCGAGGAAACACGTTGCCCGTTACTTTATCCGAGCTTCTTCCTCGACAATGCCGCGACGCGAAAGTCCTTAGACTTGCGTAACAAGCTGCTCGTTGAGATTATTCAGAGGTTCGGTTAGCTTGCGAGTGATTGGACTGCAAGCGTTATTTGCTCTCGGGACACGCCAGTTGCGTTACGCAAGCCTCGTCCGTCAAACTTCCGTTGCGGCAATAACCACTTAGAACTGGAGAACGCGGACACGGGAGTAGAAGCCGTTACAAATGGAGTATGCGCTTTGATGATCATTATCGAGGGCGTGCTCCTGAATTTTCTTTGCCACGATCATGTGCAATATTTGCGCAACGTTTATTTCGATGCTCTTGCGCTGCCGGCGCTTACGCACAGCAGAGGCGACGAGTGAAAGCTTTTCAGATCACATATAAAAGCAATTGTCAAATATTCTCGTAGGCGTTTATACACCGCGGTTTGTCTTTCCGCTCTTCCAGTTCGGTTATTTTTAACATTTCCATTGGCTCGTTTTCTCGTTTCGTTTTAATAATCCGACTGCAAAGGCAATGTCATTTGAATTTAATTAAAAACGATCCGTCCTTTAATCCGACGGACATGAGTCAACTGCGTTGTTGAAATTAAACATGTCAAATTAGCACTTTACATGCGTCAAAAACGAAAAGCCCGTCAATTTAGTAAGAAGAAACTTTTCGAAAAATTGGCGCGCCGCTGAGATGTTTACAAACGAGATAAAAAGTGCCAAGAGAGACTCGTCATCCACCGTTATAGGACTCATCTTCCCACGGGACCCGATACCCGTGGGCCCAGTTGCAGCATGCAATCCGTAAAAGCTGCGTTGGACAACTCATCGATGCGCGGAATAGAAAAATCAGCGAGTATCAGTCGTTATTGGGACAAAGTATGAGAGAAGACAATTACACGCGCTGCTCGTGCATTGCCTGCGTTGCAATGCGCTACCGTCATTTTATCGATATACTCATGGCTTTTTCCTTTGTTCCTCTGCTAAGGACGAATAACGAGTGGGATTTTCGAAAATAATGACGCCGAATTCCCGCTCGTAAGCTCTAACCGTGCGTATAAATATAATGCCGTATACAGTTACGTGACGAACATCAGTTTGACACACGTGCGCGCGAACCTACTCACGATCGAGCTCGACGTGCGGCGACTGTCGCGAAAGTACTGCGGGCCAATGACAAAATAATATTCGTCATTTGGAGCGAATCAATCTAAACGAGGAAAAAATGACGCTTGCTCATCGACGAGTACCAATGCCAATTTACGGTGTGCTTTGGTCACCGGGTTTAATTAACTAGTGTAACAGCCGCTTTTCCGTAGAAAATAAAAAAAAGGGAAATCTCCCGAAGGATCGTCCAATAATGTATATGACCGCTGGACGCGAATAGCGATGAAACGACAACGGCAAATGACACGGACGTCGAGCGCGACGGTCAACAAGCCGCGAGTCGACCTTCAAAATCAGTCAGAGTTCAGGAAAAGTCCGCTCGATCGATGTCGCTCGACGTGGGCCCCGCAGGAGACGCAATCCAGTGGCACGGCAGACGTACAGAGCACGCGGGCGTGTCCCCAACTGCTGACGCAGTGGAGGGCCGAGCAGCCAGCCGAACGCGCAGGCTTGGAGGAGTTGGGAGGCTGCGGTGTTTTGGCCGGACAGCGATGGCTCTGTCGCCTCGCGCTATTCCAATTAATTACTCGCGCGTCGACTTGCTCGAGCGGCGAGCCAACGAACCTCTCGTTACTCGCCGCGTCTCCGTCGGAGACTATCCGTACGCCACTCTCAGCGATAGCCGATGCAACTTTCGCGGCTCCCGTTGTCGATCCACCGTAGCTAATAACGTGAAAATGCAACTTCCGCCGGTTCTACGTTAATCTCGCGCGATGCAGTAACCCCCGAACTGAGGAAATCTGAGCAACGCATCGGCCACCGAACGATCGTTACGACTCGTCGACATTGTGAATATCTTTCGAAATTAAATTCAAACGGTGCGAATCTTGTTAGTTGTCTCGAAGAATCGCCTCGTCACTGCACCACGAACTCGTACGGGAAAGAAATAAAGCTCGCGTGTGAGGCAAAAAAAAAAAACCAAACAAACCTGCTCGCTCACTGGGCTACGGTACCACGTCGACAGTCGGCCGACGTATATCGATCGAGCAGCAACAGCCAGGCGTTAGGACGAGGCGCGCGCGCGCTAAGCTTTCCTAGAAGGAGAGAACGGAGCTTTCGACTCACCGTCCGAGCGAGCGGTACGAGTGCACTGACGGTCACTTGGTCGAGGCAACTGTCATGTTGACGACGACGACGACGGCGGCGGTGGCAGCGGCGGCGGCGAGGAGAGCGAGACGTCACTCGGTCGCTCGGTCTCTCAGGACTTACTGAGGGCACAGCCGGGTGGTGCGACCCATGGCGGTGGGCGCGCCGACAGCGCGCTACGTCAAGGTCACCGGCGAGCTTGCGCACGCGCGCCGCACGGAGACGCATTCGAATTGGGATATACGGCTCTACAGGTGGACGCGAGCTTCACCCCCTTCTCGCGCGGACAAGCGCTCAACGACACTGACACTTGCGAGGCGCGGTACACGCCCTGTTTATCGCTGGTATGCTTGTGTGTCCTATATGGATCCCTCTGTTGCGAGCTGCTGATTGTCGGCAAAAAATACGTGGTTTTGCCTTGATCTAGCTTGCATGTTGCGACTATATGCGATCGACGCGTAGACGAAAATTCCAGCAAAAGCAAGATTAGTCAATAGAAAGGTATAAAAATAAACGCGCGGACGTTTATTTGGGCTGATCAGTGACGTATCGCATATAACTACTACGGGGTAGGCGACTGCGTGGGCACGAGTTCGGGGATGAGAAGATGTGTCTATAGCTTGGTGTCAGCTGTTGGCAGGATAGAGAAAGAGGCAACTGGGTTTGTAATACCGGGCACACTTTGCGCGGACCAATACCGCTCGGCGGCAAGTGGCAGTAAACGTCTCGGAAGCATTTCTTTTCTTTACCCTCGGCTTCGTGAAATTTTCGGTCCTCGAAGCGTTCGACCTTTGTCTGGGAATTCTCAAGGCACGAAGGTGCTTGACTACCCTTGCGGTAATGGCAAATGAGAAAGGTTCGGCTGTTAGCGAAAAACATTATGACGTACTTTTGTCGAAGATCTAAGTAACGTCAAATGAATGTTAAATAATATATCTCACGTAACATTTGTCGATAAAAGAACGTAAGATGAGTTATTGAACGCCCATATAAATTTATATTATTTGTTTCGAATTCTGTAATATATTTATAAAAACAAGTTAGATAAGTATTTTTAATTTTTTTAGTATAATGAGGACGTGTAAAATAAATGTCTTGTCTTCCCCTTAAAAAACACAAAAAAATAATTTATACGAGATGGAATAGATATTCATCAAAAAAAAATTGTAACTTGATACTAAGTTTATTCCCGTAGCCTTTTACGAAACAATTTCAATTGTAACATCTTGAGATCTCACTCACGGCTGAATATCATGCTACAAAAAACAAAATAATCTTAATTAACAATGTAACAAGCTTTTATCAAATACGTTAATATTATGGCATAAAAAAATTAAATAATTTCAACTGAACTTTCAAACAAATATGCAGAACCCAAATAAAGTTCTAAAATCCGCTTCCACAAGCCTTTGCGTTTGCAGTTCATTTGAAACTTTAGTAAATATGCGGCATGAATTGCGTTTCATAGAATTCATAGGACGCAATCGTCACGCAATTGTGATTGTCAGATGTCAAATCAGATTAGTAGTGGAAATTACACAAGCGAAGCGCGTAAGCAAGTGCGCAAGGCACTTTGATTTTCAGTCGAACATTAGTTTACTTTATAATAATTCATTGTACGATCGCACGCGCACAGTTAATCCATCGATGTTTCACTGTTCACCTATTTTCCATACTAATATTAGAAATATAAGTTAATTATTTACACCTATGACAAAATTTGATGATCGCTCTTTGAAGATTCTGAAGATTTTTTTCACAGGATGTATCGAAGTCTACTAATGAGCATGTAGAAGAGCCAGAAGAGGCTTTTATACTATATGTCTAAGTGCACTTTTAATTTTTTTAGTATAATGAGGACGTGTAAAATAAATGTCTTGTCTTCCCCTTAAAAAACACAAAAGCCCAGTTCCCGTGTCTTCCTAACTTGTTATTTACAGTGTGCCGAAAGCACCGATACTCTAATTACGAGGAATATTGAAGTACCGAAGCACTACGAAGATTTTAAATCACGCTTATAGGAATATAATGAATATAATACAAGCTATACGCAACTTTCCAAAATCTGTATCAAATTTGGCCCAAGTATAAAAACTTAAAAAGTGAGTCAAGGAAACTTAAAAACTGTAACATGGTTTCTGACGTTTATCAGCATCATTATTATGACTTGTGTATCAAACTTGACCAATTGGAAAGATCGACGAATAACGCGATTACGTAGTGACATATGTTATAAAACTGCATTAGGACTTAATCACAAAATCAGAAACAAACATTTTTTAAAACATGCATTAGGTACGACCTCTTGCTTACCTCGATTTATATATCTCTGACCGAGTGTCGTCTGCTATTTTATTGGAATGTTCCGTCGGTAAAAACAGTGAGCAAATATGGCGAACATCGGTGTCGTTCGTTTACTCCAAAACACAAATAAATTAAAATGTCAATCGTTGCCCTCATTATTTATGGTGTCCTCTAGATATTCCTCATCATGGGAACCTAAAGATCAAGTAACGCACACTGGTCAGGTAAATTGAGCTTTGCAAATGTTCTTATGTCAGTCACTAGAGGTTACATGAATTACTTTTCCAATATTGTTTTCTTGAATTTCTTTAGTTATATTGTTCACTTTAAGCAACTACTATGGAGCTGATAATTTTTCAAAATTTCTATTAATAAAGTATTTGTAAAACAAGAAATTATTACTTCTAGGTGTTTGATCCTAACGATTCCAGGCTTGCAAGGTTTGTTGATAGACCAAAATATGTAAATCCAAATTGGGCTATTAATTTGATTGAGGAAGTACCTCCTGCTTCTAAAAAAGCAAGAGTCGTTTCATGTGATGGAGGTGGTGGACCACTTGGACATCCTAAAGTTTATATAAATTTGGTAAGACATTAAAAGTACAACTATTAATGACTTGACTACTGTGTATTTGTTAATGGTTATTATAAAGCATTAATTTATAGCAAAATTAATATATTCAAGAATTATATGGATGTTATCAATTCATTACTTTGAAATAGAATCTGTACATATTGTTCTTGTGACTAATAGAATTTATCACCTAAAAGTTGAAAAATACTCATTTTTATTACAGGATAAACCTGGTAACCATGCATGTGGATATTGTGGATTGAGATTCTACAAAGATCATCATTAAAGAAACATGTAAAAAGTCAGTAGTTCGATTCAAATAATTACTGTAAATTATAAAGTAAATAATGGTTTAATTTAAATGTTATAGAACAAAACCAATCTTGTTAATAAAGAAACTTCTTATTTTAAGTTCTGCACATGTGTTGTATTAATCCTTAAAACCTAAAGATATAAGAGTATGCAATGTTTATTTGTATAAGAATAATATTTTTATTACAAATCAGTAAATAACACCAACTACATTATTTCATCTAGCTAATACAAATAATCACAAAAAAAACTTAAAAATCTATTGTTTCAATTTGTTTAAATAAAGTTAAATAATTCTCTCGTGAACAAAAGGAAAAGATAGCATTTTTCTATGTAGTTACAATGCTGTTTTTTGGCTACTCATACCAAGAGGAATGGCTTTCAGCTCAGTTTTCATACACAAAAATTCACCACATACGCACATTATACTTGTAGTCACAATATTTAAACACCACCAGCTGAAAGTTGTTGGAAAAGTACCATTGTACATCCAACAACAAAGAAGATGTATCAAGTGTGCTGTACAGGCAAAGTCCATGCATTGTTTTGTCCTTTGTACCAGATACCATAACGCTATTGCACCAACAATTGAATTCAATATAAAAACAATTATTAATAGATAACCACCAAAATCACGAACATGAATTTCCTTGTATTGAAATGCATAGTCAAGAGATTTTGTTGTTCCTAAAAATTCTGCTATCATCATAATCCATACTCCTAATATGAAATACATAATGCACTGCACCGCTATGATTTGGGATATGATGAGAATTGGATCCCATGTTGTTTTTCTAAACTGTCCAGTGATTCCATTCATTGTGATTTCTTTTAATTTATCAATTTGTTTTCAGTCTCATATTGGATTATCAATTATGGAATGTATATTAAAAATCTGTAAATAAATTACCAGAGGTTCAACTTTAATATGTAATTACTTAACAATAAAAAATACTTTATTAGAAACGAATAATGACGTAAATAAACAATTATTTTTAATTTTACTTACGTAGAATATAAAAATCATTACATAATTATACTTTATTTTTACTTGTATACAGCTTTAATCATCAGAAGATATACCGCTTATTTTTTATATCTGATAATTTCTAAATAAATGTATCGGTATTAATCAATGTAACCTCCAAAACATGGCTGACTCTGCTACTTATTTTCTTGACGTTTTTAATTATAAAATAACCAGATTATTTGCAAGTATTGTGTAATATCAATAGCACTGAAAGATAACTAATTTATCAATGTATCAATAAACAAAACATTTTTGTTATGCGTATAACTGTCATATTATTCTGATTGCATTATTTCAATATGATTCACTATTCAAAGGATGGCGTATTATACTCTGAATTAACTTTCCATAAGCTCTACAAATTTTCGTCATTGTACTTCAAATAAAATGGATTACCGTGACAGTAACAATGAATTTGTTTTAACTTTGAACAAAAACTTCATTCATTTAAAATAATACATATTTAATAATTATTAAGAATTTTTATTATTACTCTTTTGCATATCGAACTTATAGCGCAATATAATTACTTTAAAAAAATTTTAAGTTTAAAAATTTTGTTTCTAAAAGCATTTAGTACTTTTATTACAAATGTTTTATGATGATTCTATTATAGACGTTATAGATTTGATTGGGATACAACAATTCTTGGCCTTTCCTCTATGCAGTCGCCACTCCATATGTCAGATTAAAGCACGGTGTAGGATTGAAGTAAAATTCAGCTGTTGCGCAATAAGTTTATACGCAGTTTTCAATAAAATATGACATTTTCATTGACAGTTTGAAAGTTATAATAGATAAATTAATAATTTGAATGCAATTGTATTTCTATTTATTTGATGCAACAAGAAATTAATTACTAAGTTAACAGTAATTCATATATATTGATGCTATTTTTCAAGCGGCTCGCATGATCTCGTTGAAGGATCCAAAGTAGAAAAATTATTTTGACCACTCAAAAAATCCACTCAAGTATTCATTTAATTTATTTAATGGTATAGTTTAATAATTTATTATTTAATATTTAGTTCAGTAATTTCTACTAATATTTTACTAATTCCAACAAATAAACATAATTATTGTTTATTGGCTATAAAAAAGACAATATAATGAAACATATTTAACCATGAAAATAAAAGATGTAATAATTAGAAATTACAAATTTATTTTCTATGAATCACTTTTAACTACTAAATTTTTTTAATTTAAATTACATTTAGCCAAGTTTACCATCTATAGGTTTGATATTGGTTACCAAGGATAAATATTCAATTTTTTAAGCTTATTACTGAATAGAGTTCATCTGTATTAAAGTAATTTTTTTCTGTACATAAGAAATAAATTATTTTACCAAAAACTAACCAATAGAATAGATTTATTCTTAGCCTATATAAATAAGCTGGTTAAATTTATTTTATAGTTGTGATTTGTACATTTTTTTTATAACAGTTGTGTTCTTATAATTTTACTGCTTTCTTATCTAATAATGAATTTTGAAAATATACCTGATTTTATTATAAAATATTTATTATAAGTATATGTTCTATTTAAATAACAAAATATTAGAGTAATGGAAAGTCAGTGAAAATCTAGAAACTATTTTATTGACCAGCTGTGGTAGATGCTGCTTTTTGTTGAGCCTGAATGAATTCAGGATAATCTATGAAACCATCATTATTGGTGTCATCCATTGCGAGAATGGGATCGATTAATGCAGATAATTCTTCATCTTTAAAAATTTTTTTTTCCTTATTGGTGCCTTCTTTGTTACCTTCTTCTAATAGAAAAAAAAATGATATATTTTTTACTGCAATAAATGATTATTGTAATACAAATATTAGTTTAGTAAACTATTTACCATGCCAATGTATTAAGGATTTAATAAGTTCGCAACCATCTAATTTATTGTTATTATCAGCATCATGCATTTTAAAGTAATGAAATTGTAGTTCTTGTTCAGACATTTTATTTGTATCCATTGGTATATCTAGATGTTCTGCGATATGACTATAAACAATAACAAACCAATACATACACATTCTATTGAAATTAACTTTTATATACAATGATCAAATTTACGCTTTCTCCTCAGCAATATTTGCCGTATTAAGTATATGTTGTGACTGCATATGATGTCCATGGTTATGGACTTCAGGAATTTGTTGGTTTATGGGTTGATGTACGTTAGACATATCAGGTATATATTGGGCTTGCGAAGTTATTGGCATTTGTTGCTTAAAAAATATAAATAACATACTTGAAACTAGTTTGATAAGTTTACTTGAAACAATATTGATTATAAGGATTAATAGAATTTTTTAATAAAAAAAGTATGTTGTATATACCTGGTTAGGTAGTATTTGCTGCTGCTGAGGTGCTTGATATTGAGGCATTTGATATTGAGGACTGTGTTGAAAGTTTGAGCCATGGTGATTAGGCAAAGAAGGCTAGAATTAATTTACAGTTTTATTCTTATCAATTTTTATCAATTATTTACTGTTACTGTTATTTCAATAACATAAATTCAAAATATCAATTGGATAATAAATAATGTTAATTGAAATGCTGTTTTTATTAAACATATGTTACTGATTTTACATCATTATGGTAATCAACCTGTTGATAATGTTGTGGTGGCACTCCAGGTGGAACTCGATCTTGAGATGCAAGACCATTGCACTTACAATGAAGAATCATAAAAAATATAAAAATCCAGTTCATCTTTTATAAAATATTTTATAAAAATAACAAAAATCCAGCATGGACAACTGTCTACTCATAAAATGATATGAAACATTCATAAAGATTTATTTGTGATAAATGTTATATCTGATGATATTGAAAGTTTTAATAATATTTAAAACTGAAAAGATAAAGTTATTTCAAGGTATTATAACTTTCGTTTGCCGTCCGCGATAATTTTTTTTTAAATTTGTGAACAGTATGGTCGTGCTTGTAAGTACGATTCATGGAGATTTTATAGTCTTCATGCTATGAGAGTTAGACTTGACGTGTATCCTGTATAAACCGATTGCAAAACGACTCTGACACTTTCAAAACGATACGAATTCTGACACATAATAACGTTGTTGATAGACTCGAGCATCGAGAGGCCTAAGTCCCGTACCGAGCAATGCGTGGAGAGAGTGATGGAGGAAACATTCATACTATATATACACTTATTATCTAGGGACTTTGAAAAGGTGTATATTTTTCCAAATAAAGAAATTAATTATTAATCATATATAATACAGTTATTATGTAGTCATTTCATTATATATATATATTTAAATATACTATTGACTACCTGTTTGGTTTTTAAAACAATCAATAATAGCTATATTATATTTATGATTAATATAGTAATGGATTTCTTTATTTTTTGAAATACGCGCCCTTTCATAGTCTAGATAATTATTATATAGTTAGAATTATTTTATATTTTATGTTTTATTTCCTTTATTTTATTATGAAACTTATTGCTACCCCAGTAGTGAGTAATTAAAAATGTATTATAAAATTTTATATAGTCCCTTTAACTGTCCTTTTACAGCCAACGATAATTACGTATTTATGTGTTAGAATCAATTAAGTAACATTAAAAATAATGTATTGTTATAAAACTAAATTAATAAACTATTAAATTATACCATGAAATAAACTTAATAAACACGATTATTGACTTATCAATGAATTACTTATTGCATCAAGTAAAAAAAAATAAAAATAAAGTTGCATTCAAATTATTAATTTATCACTAGATTGTTTTTATTGGAACATATTTACCCCTGACAATAAAACTGTCATATTTCATTGAAAGTGACGGTAATCTGCGTATAACCTACTGCGCAATATGGGCAATCGAACTTCAACTAAGCAATCTGATCCCAGTTTAGTTCGCGTTTCACTATAGTCAACAGATACGTGATGCAACTTTTTATTACATTGCCAATGCTAATTATCCATTGACATTTTATCGGAAAACGCAGTAAGACACAATGCCGTTCTTCGACTTTTTTCGGAATTTCTTTGGCAGAAGTTCTAAACAAGAGCCGCCTCAGTACAGGTAAAATAAAAGTATTAAGTTTCAGTTCTCTACCAGAAATTTCCAGATTATTCATTTCGATTCTGTATATGACTTATTCATACATGTCGTACATACAAGTTAAGCTGAACTCCATTAAACAATGATTATGTGATAATTATATTCGTTCTAACTAGAATATCATTCAAATTAAAATTCTTGCTAATTTCATATTATTTTCATGTATATTACTTTGTATTTAAAACATTTACTTTCTCCAGGTTCGATAGTGATCAAAGCCATAGAGATAGTTTTAAACATCCTATTTGGGAAAACGATGAAGATGAAGATGACATTAACGATTTCAGGTATGCGTCTTGCTTGACAAATGTAACTTGATTTATTTATAAATCATATTGTATTAAATTAAACTTGTCTTGTGAATAATAGACAGCCAAGAAATAGGTTTCAATTCAGAGTATTTAGTGATCCTTTTGAGATGACTCGTTTCTTTGAAACACAAATGGATGATATGATGAGAAATTTCTTTGGTACATTTGATGGATTTGGAAATCGTTTTGGTCCAAACACATTTGGAAGTGAGTAATACCATTAGAATTAGGATTGTTAGATTATTTTTATGCTATACTTTATTTTTATATAAATTTAGAATATGATGATAATTTTTATCTTCAACGTTTCTTTAATTAGATGATTTTCCTAATGCTTTACCAATGCCTGAAGAAAAAGTAGCTCCTGTAAGACCTCGTGACGAAGTATTAAAATCTGATGAACCAAATTCTTCTAGGTTTTTTTGTATGTTGTTCAACTTTTTTATATTTAATATGTTTATTTTTATAGCTGAAAAAGAGTTTTTTTTATAGCAGATGATTTTAGCAGCATATTTACAACACCTAGTAATAGAATAACTGATAAAGGACCCTGCCAAGAAGTTTTAAAGCCATCTTATGAAATGCCCTCCTCAAACAAGAAAAAGCTTGATTCAGATATAGATGGAAAGTAAGTTTAGTATTAATAATTTTAAATAAAAGTAATTAATGAATATGAATAACTAAAATAATGTTAAAAAATTTTATAGGATTAAATCAGATGAATTAGCTAAAATTTGGAAACCTTCAGGACTAGAAAAAAATGATGACTCATCACTTTCAGTTCGCTCATTTGGAAATTCAGTCTCCACCCAAATAATCAGAAGACCTGATGGTAGTATGGAAGAACGTAGGACAGTTCGAGACACCGATGGTAACGAGGAAATTAGGGTTACTCGGCAGATTGGAAATAAAAAACACACAATCGTAACTCAGAAAACAAAAGATGGTTCAGAAACTAAAACCGAAGATGTAGTCAATATGGATGAAAGTAAGTGCATATTATTTTTAATGTTATATATTGTCAGTCAACAAATGATATACTATTTTTTTAATGATTCTGACCTATTCCAATTTAAAAAATATGCTATTAAATTAATTTTAATTTATTTCAGATGAACTTAATGGATTTAATGAAAAATGGAAGAAAATTCAAGTTCCCTCTGATAATTCAAGTGTTAATTTTCCATGGCATAAATTTTTTGGACCAAATCCAAAATTATAGCTATTTTTAAGTAAAATAAAATATCACTGTTGAACCTGATTATATATATGTAAATATAAACTATATTGATAATTTGTTATTTATTGAGTAAATTTTTAGTTAATTCCAAATAATACAAGCATTGCATAACGATAAATTTCTTTATTGTTCGATTTTTGTACCCTATAGTCTGTACACGTATAATATATTTACAGTTCTAACAAAAACTATGAGTGAACCTTGTCAGTGAACCTTGTCTATCGAAAAGGTCGCAAATACTAGATTATTGTATGGGTGTTAACGACAATGTTATTAAACACAATCATTTTGCAAATAAAATCTTGTAAAAATCAGTGCCTGGGTTATTATTCATATAAACAAATTTTTTTAAAAGTATAATTGAAAAAATGTTTATAATTTTATACATAAATTACAGACATTGATAATTCAATTATGTCATACAGAAGAATTTAACTTGCGATTAACTTTAAAATCAGAGTGCAACAAAAGTAAATAATCATATTATGAGATTGACACCGATTCCTGGTCAAAAAACGTATTGAACATTAGAAAATTATAATTTATGAAAATATTTGGTTAAAAAGAATTTTTATACTTAAAATCTGTGTATGACATGTATAGTTGATAATAATCAGTAATGTATTATTCAAGAAATAATGGTTACTTATACATTATTGCTATTTATCACAAGCCTTTTGACGTAAAATGATTCAATAGAATTTTTTAACCAGGGTTTTTAATAAATATGTATATATAAAAATATACATTAAATTTGTCAAATTATTGAAAAATAGGATTTTTTAATGGGAGCCCGTCCACCTATATAGAACTTATCATCATTCGCGTTAAATACAACTCGTTAAGCGCACGCGTTCTTCACGTCTGTTTATGCATAGTTATACTCCTACTTGTATTTACAAGTGTACGCGCTTTTCAGCATGTTATACGTATTATATTTACAAATTACTTTTGAGATGACGTAGTGAACAAAGGTACAAACAAAATTTTTATTTTTTGAAATCATATAAATGTTCATAAATTTCGTATCAACTTTTCATGTTCAAGAAAATCGCATTCAATTGTTTTTATTAGCTAAGTAACTGTATGAATCGTATCGTAAAGCAATTTCAAATCTTTCAACGTCAATTTTCTGGGCAATATTCTAAATATCATTTCCATTTTTTAAATGTAATTTACCATTTTTATTCATTAGTAAATAATCGCACACAATACAAACTATTTTTATAAATATAAAACTTTATCTTGGTGGACAATCTAAAAATATTCAACCATCACAGTGGTTACAATAAATTATATTTCAATTTTTATGTAAATTATTACTGTAAAAAATTAGCTTAACAATTTAGAATTAAAGATCTCAAAATTAATAAAAAGTTAAATTCGTAATACTTTGGTTTTTAAAGGAGAAAACAATTTGCTAAAAATTAAATCCCGAGAGTAGGAACACATTACCGTACCTCGGTGACAATCGGTGATTTAAAATAGATATGAAAAATGATTATTCAACCAATATTCCTTGCTATTTTGAATTATTTTCTTGCTGTATCAGACAACGCATAATGGTCAATACGTATATGTGTTGACTACACCATTTTTAATGTTTTTTTTTCTATGTACTCCTAGAATATATATACACACAGTATATATACCATTGGAAGTTTTTGATCACTGGGTAATGTTATATATTAAAATAAAACTCAGCTTGTTTTAGAAAGATTATTCAGTAAAATTAGTACGCAGCAAAAAACTTGATTCGAAATACAAAAAATACTTTTATGTAGATATAAAATATACATTCTTGAGAAAGTGATTCGTTTGATTGATTCAGACAAGATTCATATGAAACCTGTAATATTGCTTTAAAATAAAAATATATTTTCTATTGTTTTAGCTTTCAATTCAAGCTACAGCATGCTTAAAATATACAAACATTATAAGGCCTATCAATATTATTGAAAGAAAATTTTGTTTGAAAACATTGGGAAAATCTATATCATTTTTTAGCGTTTCATACGATTTCACAATAATTAACGTTTGTCTGCAATTAAATTTTCACATGAATTATACATTATAAATATAACACTTTTTTAGCCTTATAGAATAAAACAAATTTATCAACAATTAAAGTTAAAAAATGAAAACACAAAAAAATTATCGAGTGTTAAAAAATGAATAACGGCTGTATCATATTTATGCAGGGGCGATCTTCAGTAGTATACAAATATCAATACAGTCATCTCAATTTAAATAATAGTTAATACATCGTTTAGAGGGAATGAGGAAGAGTAAGGGCGATTATTTCGAGCGCAAGCTATTACATATACTCTATACATTCCATATTTGGCAACCAAACGAATGGAATAAATCGCACGTCATAGGTCAATTCTCTGACATAAGCTCAGTCTATTTCGATATAATAGCTTTCAATACCACTTCGTTATGTACAAAATATTTCCATTTTACTTTTTTTGATCGAAAGTTCAAAAGTGACAGTTGAGTTTGTTCTTTAATCATAAAATATGGATTTTTTCACGAAATAAATCATTCTGATATTATAAAAAATTGCAATATCTCACAATTACCTCTTCGTACAAAATCACACAAATGCGTCATAAGTATTTTACATTTTGCATCTACTCCTTTTAATGACCGGTTTTAAAAAGTAATAATTAAAAGCAATCGACATTCAGAATTCAGAGTTCAAAAATATTTACTTTTTATATTACAAAGCTAATAAAAACTTCTAAAAAACAATTCCAATTTAAAATTTTGTTGAAAAAAGCCACTTTTGATTTCGATAAAATTTAATAACCTTCACATTTATGCTATGCAAAAAAAAAAATTGTCATCTTGGAATAATTTCACTCTTGGCCAAAACCTTCAGTCTCCTCAATGGCATAGTTAAGCTTCTCTACCATTTGGTCGTAGCTTTTGTACGGCGGCAAGTCCAGTCTATTAAAACACGTGTGCGATCTTGGTAACCATGTTTCTTTACCGACTTTTTCTATACAAAATCTTTGCGGACCATTGCTTCCTATAATTAGTAAATATAAAATTCTCATTAATACATACATTTTCAACTTTAGAAAATAATAAAACTTCTTATCAACACACTGTGTGGTAAGTACGACTTTGCCGTAAACTCGGCGAAAAGCATGTTCTCAAATTCGTGTTTTTCACAGGTTATTTTGAAAAATACCGTACTTAGCATATTTGAGAAAGTAGATTCTTGTCTCAAGACAAGAATCTATTTTCCCACACTAGTTTAAGAATGGCATTATGAGTTAAATAATGTACTATTTTTTAAATTATTCTTACCCATTAATTCCGCAAATCCACCTACAGGAACTCTGCAAGTTCCAGTGACAAATTGTAAAAGCCGTGCTCGTTTCTCATTATCTGCTGCTTTCACAAACTAAAAAACACGCACATATTAAAGTCATCCTTAAAAGAAAGGACTATATTTTAAATATTCAACGTACCTGCCAAAACCATAAAACTTGCTTACTATTTCGTGTATAGTGTCTATAAATAGTATTTCTTTGCCAATCATCAACGTCAATTTCTTGCATTCCGCACAGCATAAGCTCAAGCTCTCGTTCGTCAAAGTATTTTAGCCACTCTAACGGTACAACAGAATTAAAACCTTCCAAAAATGCTTTGGTTTGCTCCTCGATACCTCTCGTCATTCGCCATTCCGTCATTAGCCTGTAGAATAAAACAAATGAGACGTTACACAAAAAATTACGCCACGAAAGGAGTATCCGTAAAATATTTATTTATATTAGTACCTTATGTACTCTTCTTTATTTTCTTCGATGACTTTGACTTTATCGCCTCCCTCCTTTAATTCGTGATGAATAACTTGACCAAGAATTTCGAAATCAACACTATAGTATAATTCGAGACCGCATTCATCGATATTATTTTCCTTTATCCAGACCAGAGATTTATAAAATTCTGGATCAATTGACTCAATATCTTTCATTATTAATTTTTTATTTAACATGCGCTTATAAAATGGCATTGTGAATCCACTGTATATAAATCTACCATGATACAGCGCCTAAAATTATTTTAAAAAAACAAATTATGTATAAAATAACTTCTAAATGAATGAATACTGAAAGAAAACATTGCATTTTACCATGGCTATGAATCTACCGATAAACTTGAAGTAATTCAAATGATCTGGATTTACATACGACGCAGGGTTTATTTGTAAACTGTAATTGCTTTTGTTGGCGTACTCGAAAAGGCAATACATCGGGTTAAGAACTTCATGACTCAGCAAGAAAAACCACTCTCTAAAATTACATCATTTTTGTAAAACTAAATCGTTCTATAAAAAAAATTATACATAGATCTCCAATTTTTTACCTGGAAACACCGCCATAATCTAAACCTTCTTCACCCTTGAAAATTATGTACAACCTACGCCTGAGAGCAAACGCTTCGGCATTCATTATCTGATGATAAGAGTCTTCGAAGAGTGTTTGCCTGCTGACTGTGATTTTAATGTGATTCGGTAGAGCGTTTGTTTGACACAAAAATCGAAACTGGGAAAGCTTCCAGCGAAATGATCTTTCGTACGCTCTTGGTACACGACATGATCCTTTTGGTCTGATAGTCAAACAATAAATTTTAATATTTACTTAATAATGTTTTATTTCTAGTGATATTTAAATTTATAACAAGTTCGACATTAAAATTTTTTAAACCAGTAATCAATAAACGTCAATGTAATGATAAATAAGAATAATAATAATTTTGACTGTGTTGTTCATCACTGCGCTAATTAAAAAAAAACATTTTATTTATAAATAAATGAAAGAAATCATAAAATATTTCAGAAAATACTGCATTTTCTGTTTGTATCTCTCTAATAACTTCAGAGATATCAGATTAATTATTAAGTTTACTGTCTTTAAAATTTACATAATATGGTTAATATAATTTATTTTTACTAAGCGTCATAGTCAAGCTCCAGTTACATGTATACAAACCTCGTGGAATATGCTTGTTGTTTACTGTTCGAAATTCGAATTTAGTAAGCAATAACATCTACTACAAATTACAAATTATATCAAACAATTAGACTAAAAATCATATCAAGCTCTCGAATGATGATTCGCATACAATCTAAGCGATGAAAAGCTTATTTCTCTCATAGTTACATTATGATTCCATTTGTATTCGATTTAGATTTAAGTCAGTAAAGGTTTAATTAGACTTGTTATTTTTTGAAAAGCACAAAAATTAGTATAAAAAAAACATACCCTTTCGGAGCACCCGGTCGTGGATCTTGGAATGTAGTCGTCCTCGTGTTGTGATCAACGAAATATCGAACACCGTCCTCGGTTAATCTTATTTCCCAACCGTCAGGCAGCGGTGGTTCATCCATCGTTTCTTGGCCCTGCGTACGTGGATCCTCCCACTGAGTTGTACGATTTTTGTGATTAACATAATACACTCGTCCTTCGGGTTGTCGCCGCCGTTCCCAACCGGCTGGTAGAGGACCTAAACCGTCATCCTCTTCAGCGGTTGACGTTGAAGGACCAGCAGCCATCGCTTGGTGTGACTATAACAATGAAATTTTTTTTCAAGGCAATCCATTAACTTTACCTAAGCTTATGTAACAAATAAAAATCATTACCTGAGGATACAAAAATCTTTGATTTCCTTGCTGAACGACATATTGTCTTTCGCCCTGCCATTGCTGGAAATGTTGTAACCTCTCTGTATTTGGCCTTTGCCAAGTCGTACTTCTTGTATTATGATCGACGTAATATATGCGACCTCGCATATCTCGTCGGACTTCCCAACCCGGTGGTAATGGTTGTGGTCGCTCCCATGAAGTACTGCGCGTATTATGATCAACGTAATATCTATAACATAGACATTGAAGCCATCAATACACTTTGATATTTTTTTATTTGTTTTTCTAATATAATTTTTTTCCTTTTATACATTTATTAGTAGGAAAAAATTAATTATATAAACTCATTCACGGTTGATGCAACGTTGCACGTGAGGAATTTTTTAATAAAAATGGATGTATAAGATAAAATAGTTCAACACACAACCTTCGACCATATACGTCATATCTCATTTCCCAACCAGCTGGTAATGGCTCTTCCTGATGTATGCTTTCAACTTGATTTGGCACACTAGAAGTACAAGGTTGTGCCGATGGTCGGATCATAGTCGAACAATTAGCCTCAGCAGTCACGTCGTTTGCAGTAACGTTATTGTGACTAGCGGCTGTACCATTTTGATAAAGAGGAGTATATGCTGCAATAGCTCTCATACCACTTGCTTCATTCTCTGTTTGACCAGTATTATTGCATTCTTGAATAGTATTTGAACAGTTTCGATGTAAAACTGGTTGGCTAGTTGACAACGAAGGTGCGGCATTCTCAGTGCTTTGAGATCGCACGCGAGCCCTAATGCCGCCATTTAAGATACTATGATTGCTTGCAGTATCATTGTTTACAGCACCTAGAGGAAAAGATGGTTTAGTTTATCACTTTGTTTAAATGAAGCAATTAGTATTATAAAATTATATACTAACAAGGTAAAGATCTCATAGTGTGTAGAGTATTTAGTCTAGGGTGAGATGGGGGAGCAATATTACTCATGTCTATCTTGAGTTTATCAAATACTGTGATTAGATCACCAACTTTGGCCTGACAGTATTCATGTTTGTTACCAGCTAGCAAATCTAAAGTTAGCTCCAGATTTTCCAACTTGCCATTATATGGTTCAAGAATGTGATATAGATTAATTTTTTTTTCGCCAATCAATGTATCCTTGCGAAATGAGCTGTGATCCAAAAGACGAAAATGAAGTAAGGAGTGTGGCGTAACCAAAACTGTAAATTCCTCGTTCCATTTTGGCTGTAGAGTTGATTTAAAGACTTCTGTCTTTCTTGGACTTTTATTGTCAATAGAAAATTCCACATAAGGATTTGGTTTTAGAAAGGATGAACTTCTCAAACTGGCAGCTTCAACTGTAATAGGATGTAATGAATTTAAGAAATATGGTAAGAATTTAAAAAAGTAAAAATGAAAATTAAATTATATAAATAAAAATTTTAGGTGATGACAAAAGTGATTTTATTTCAAAAGAGAGAATTATAACTTTCAAGAATGAATAAAGAAGTATGTAGTTCTAATCTTTTTGCTAGTCACTATAAAGAATACAACAGAGCTACCATTTTAATTCAAGTATAAAATACAACTGATGCACAAGAAAAACATTCTTCTGCATTTTCATTAATATCTAGAGATAAAATTGAAAAAAAACACTCACTAGTAATACTTAGCTGATGGAATCCTGTGACTGCTGAATCCTCCTCACTATTAGACATGGTAAAAGTTTGCAAATTGATTACTGTAATTTACCTATTGAAATTATTCATAACATTTTTGTCCTCTTTACACTGCTGCTAGTACTGCCTGGAAACATACAAGCAAAACATTTATCACTATCAGAGTATCAGAGTTCCGGTCATTCGACGAAGCCTCATACTACAATTTTTAATCACATTCTCTGCTCACAAAGAAACTCATTCCTTCATGAACCATCCACGTATGATATCAGTTTTATGCAATTGATACATAATAAGAATAAACTCCCAATGAAAATGACTCTGCATAGGATATGCTCAATTGAATTGCACATGTAGTTGACAAGGTCTACTTACACACGCTATCCCGACAACAGGTCAATTTAATGCAAAGCTCGCCGTTTTCTCTTCTTTACGATAATATAACCAATGTCATTTTCGTGTGAATTTTATTTGCAGATAGCGATTCTAATCCCAAAAACGTGTCATCGTGTGACGAATATAACAAAATTATCGTAAACATGAGCAGCGTTTGCCCGTGAAATCACTTCCAAAACGATAAGAAAATATGTACGAGCAATATGATAGCCATAAGTGGTATTTAACTCATCGTACCGAAAAACGCATATTACAATTAACGGAGTTTCATAAATTTATATTCAGCGCACGCAACACATTCTCGTACACACAGCTACGGTGGAGCAAGAAAATAAACTCAGCCAAAGTAGCATCGTCCTCGACGTCGTCGCGTGCTGCTGACAAAAACGAACCTGGAGTACATTGATGTCTCGTGGTGCATCTCGGAGCAAGTTTCTTGCTCGTGTTGCACAGCATGCGCGAGTTTCCGCTGCAAATTCTCTTCGGCCCCACCGTCAGCAACGCAACGCAATGCCAACACGAATGCGAATGCAATATTACTCCACCGCAAATACTGCTCCACTCGCGACTTGTGTTATCAACGGGAATTCCACTTTACCATCGCTGCTACTCGCGCCTGTCGCTGTCGACCACCATCTTGCTGTACGTCAACACGTACCGAAAGCAGTCACGCTCTCACACTTGTGACTCGCTCGCTCATAAGTGTGCGCAGCGGCGGCGAATTTTTTTTTACCTCCATCTAGTCACTCTCGTTGCACTGTGCAACCACGCAATCACTCGATGTGTGCAGCAAGTCAAGGCAATTTTCATGGGGTTTAGTAGTGCCACACTTCCTCTCTTAGCTTATCATTATTTTTATTTTTGCAAGCTCGTTAGTTTTGTATGAAAACTAATTTTTTGTCCACTCTACGCCAATGATTAGGGCGTTATATTGTATCCACTTTATCGGGTGAATCATCCTTTTTGTTACTGGTTTATTTCGGGGTTAATTTGAGTTGCTCTTGATAAACAATCGATTTTAATTTAAATCTTGTGCGATTTAAAATGACTAGAAATGCTTTAAATTTACTTTAAAATCACTAACAGTATTGGTAATTGTTGATTGATTAAATTACACTGAGGATTTCTCAAAGAATAAAATATTAAAATTAGTGTTCAAGTTAAAACAATTTTATCGCTTTTGGAAAGAAATGCTACATGCTTACTTACCGACTGATTGATATTGTTTCCATGCAGTAGCGTGACTATCGTCCATACTCCATCTTATCTTTTCTTTATAACGAAACGTCTATATTATTCGTAATCCGCGTCCCGCAGCGTTGGCTTGGTGTTTAGTTCATGGTTGGCGTGGCATGGTTGAACCGTACGTGAATGGCGATGTTAAAATAGTGTTGGCGTATTTTTAATTTTAACACGTGTTCTGAATTCATTTAAAAGTAATGAAAATGGTCGAATCGAAAGTTGAGTATTTGATCGTTGATACGAGTGCATTTATAAAAAATGCTCCTTTAAAGGTAATTATACAATAATTCACAAGGACTCTTTGATACAAACATTATCACGTACTTTTAGGTTACTGTGTTTAAACATAATTACGATTCAAATTAATATTTTTTTTAGGACGTTGCTAACAAAATTGTTACAGAATCAAGCGTTCTCAATGAAATAAAAAGTAGAAGGCAACTTAAAAGATTGATTGTATTTCCTTGTCAAGTTGATGAAATTGAGGTTAAAGAAGCTTTCCCTGAAGATATTGCATTTGGTAAGAAATTATAAATTGCCAACTTTAATCACGGTTAAACATTGCACATGAATATAATTTAAATAATATTTTTCAGTAACTGAATTTTCAAAGAAAACTGGTGATTACCCAAGTCTTTCATCAACTGATATAAAAGTCATTGCACTTACTTTACGTTATGAAAGAGAAAAGGTTGGAACAGATCATTTGAGGAAAGAACCAAGTATAAAGAAAAAAGTAGTTGACAGTAGTACACATAGTCTTGATGATCAAGCTAAAAATTTAGCTGGATTTTATATGCCTAAAAGAAATGTAAGTATCTTAATATTAAAAAATTAGAAAATATGTGTTTATTGAACTATGTATTAGTTTAATGTATGTTATTTCAAATGTAGAAATTTGAGGAAATCTTTGATGATGAAGAAGTTGATGAGGAAAACACAGATAATAAAGAAGTTGATGAAAATACAAAATTAGAAGAAAAAAGTAATAATAGTGATAATAGTAAAGAACAGAAAAAAGTTAATGAGTGCTCTAACTTTTCTACTGAATACTGTCAACAGTTAGTAACTGTTAATGATGCAAATGAGGAAAGTAAATCAGAATCTGATTATGACACTACATCAGACAATGAAAAGGAAAAAGTTAATGATTTAAATAAAAAGTTTGAAACACTAAATTGTGACCCTACAGAACTAGAAGTTGATTGTGAAGGAGATTATACAGTTGATGATATTTTGAAGCCTATCAAAAATAATTCTAACAAAGTAGGTGAAGGTATTAACAATGAAAAAACTCGAGAAAATGATGAGAAGTGTGGAGAAGATTATGATGATGATGATGATGGTGATGATGATGATGATGACAGTGGCTGGATAACTCCAAGTATGTTTTGCAACTGTTTTTAAAGATATAAAAAATATTCCTTAATATTTATTTATTGATGAATAATTTTACTACTTGATTGTTTTTATATTTCTACAGGTAATATAAAAGATGTAAAGGTAAAAATAGATTCTGGATTGATCAAAGCAAAACCAGCTACTGTAGCATGTTTAACTATGGATTATGCTATGCAAAATGTAATGATGCATATGGGTTTAAATATATCTTCACTAGAAGGAAAAGTCATTAAACAAATGAGAACATTTATTTTGAGATGTTACACTTGTTTCAAAACTACTGGGATTATGACCAAAATTTTCTGCCCACATTGTGGTTATAAAACTTTGAAAAAAGTGGCAGTTTCATTAGATGATGATGGAAACCAGATTATACATATTAATTACAAAAAGCCACTTACATCTAAAGGAAAAAAGGTAACAAATTTTGAATATATTTCCAATTTTTTTCTAATAAAATTAATTATTTAACTGGAAAATAATTATATTTACAGTTTTCTCTGCCCACATTTAAGGGTGGTAAACACGCCTGTAATCCCATATTATTTGAAGATCAGCCTTTACCTGATCAACGACCTACTAAACTTGGTCGAGCTATAAATGATCCTCTCAATGAGGATTACCTTGCTAGTTACTCACCATTCCTTAAGAGAGATGTTAATTCAAGAGCTGCAATGCTTGGTATCAAATCAAATGCTCCTATGAAATATTGGATGAGGAAAAATCCAAATGAAGCTCAGAAACATAGAAAATAATTTCAATTATATTAATGTTTTTATTATATTTTTACGTTAATTATCTTAAACTTCTATAGAATCATATTTTCTAATCAATAGTTATAGTTGTAAATATTGAAGTGACTAGTAGTATATTGAACTTCATACAGCTCATTTTCATATTTGTGAATTGCATATCATCGTTATCATTTATGCAACAAGTAACTGTAAATAAATTTTTGGAAAAATTACATTTTTATTGACTACTTAATTCACAATTGATCGATTAAAACTATAATAGATGAAATATATGTTACTGATTGATGATACCACTTTTAATAATTAGGTGCAACAAGAATTGCAAAGATGTGTTCAAGTATAATCGTTTTGACGAGTGAGAAATAAAACATATTTTTTATATAAACCATTTGATAGATTAATCATTTTAAAAAGATAATGGTACAGATTAGTATGTTAATTTACAACATGTGTAAATAATTTCTGAATAAATCTGCTTGACTATCACAATCTATTGTAATGCAATCATGTTTACTAAATTATATTTACTCGTTTGCAAATAGTAAAAAAATTTGCTTCAGGTGAGGCTCGAATTCACAATCTTATATTGTGCCTTAATTTTGGCAGTTTTCTAAACAACTGTTACGGATTGTTACTTAAAAAAGAATCATCATGAAATTTTTAATGAAACCTTTTGATACTCTGCTACAGTATTATCATGCCTTATTAACTTTATGATTGTACTGAACATCGTAAGATAGTATAAATCAATGAATTATAATGACAGGGATCATCGTTGCATTATACAATTGCGCAATAAAAAGCAAAATAGCAGTCGAAAAATTCAGATACAAGTTAATAATTTAGATACCGAAACAGTATATAAGAAATTTTTCCTCTGCTGCGATCCATATGTAACGTAACGATGTGTGTATAATTATTTTATAATTTTGTGTACCGTTGCTCTGATTTCATAAATTCAATTCAATTCAATCTACGCACGTCTATGAAGACGGGAAAACTTGTAATTTGTGAAACTAATGTAAGTTTGTTTTTATTTTCTGCGCACTCTTATACGCGCAAATTAGAATATTCTTGAAAAAGTTATCATATAGATAAAAAAAATTGCGAATTCTTTGAATGATGAATTTTTTGAAATTTCAAGCGTAAAAAAATAAATGCCACATTTTTTTCATACGTTTACGAAAATAGAAGCAACGCTATCGGATTATCTCCGATCGTACAGTTTTTGTCGGTCATGCTACAACTAATCGTATTAAATATCTTTCTTTGTGTTAATATGGCTATTTCTACATTTAGTAGAATTATAAGAGAAGGATGTTTCTTGGAAAATTGATTATTTTTTAACAACATCAAGAATGTAAAGTTAAATCAGCAATGAGAACAAAAGCGGATTACATGTAACGAAGAAAATGTATGTTCAACATACAAGATTGCTAACCAGTTTAAACTATTTGTTTAGCGTAATTAGAAATATTATATCTAAAATAAAAAACAGCGGAAGTGGAAATAGGAACCCATTGTCTATCTGAAATAAAACAGAGTGTATTTATCCGACAGACCGAATCAAGTCATGCGAAAAAAACTACAATATGCGTCTCATTAAATCATCGGTTCCAAAGTTGGTACGACGCGAGCGCATCAAGGTAAAAAGAGCGAGAAAAACAAGGAGCGTTGATCTTGAAATTACGCGCCTCTCGTATACGCACGCGCGCGCGCGGCCACTCACCAAGTCCGGTTATCAGCTGTTTCAGAGTGCACTTCCGTCTTCTGGCTCCTCCAAACACAACAAGTAAGCATGCTCACTGGAGTGCATTATCGTCGTGGAAGACCTAGAAGATATTGAGCTTGCAAGGAAATCACAAGTAGAATATCATGCTTTGCCCAGAAGTTTGGCACTTTAAAGCACCTCGGCACCACTTCGAGTGCCACGACACCCTTGGCCAAGAAGCAGAAGCCGAGACAAAGAGTCGCAATCGTCTGACGAATACGATCAAGGCACATTACTTCAATCACTCGGTGAGCTCTTGCACCGCAGCTGCTTTCGCCGACACGAGTGGTCCGCGCGTGTTTCGCGGTTAGTGGAGGGGTCGCGGTCACTTAGATAAACGTCGCGAGGAAGTCGCCCCTCTACTTTGTCAAAACGAAACGCAGAGGTTAGACCAAAGAAAGGTTCTCGTGCTTCATTGCACTTCTCCGCCTCAGCGTATCAACGCGATTGTCAATTTGTGGACTGCACTGTTGCACGTGATTATCTGCCACATGTGTAAAGTATTTTAATATTTTTATTTGCTTTCCTCGTGCCCCTGTCTCTAAACCACGAAATTGCATTAAGTTCGTCTGAAGGAATTTGTACGCGCGCGCGCGCGCGTGTGTCGTGCGTATAATTAGGCTTTGTTCGGGTTGACAATGGTTATAGTCATTTGGATAGGTTGGTCAGGTCTCGCCTATTTTTTTTATTTGAGTTCTTAACGACGGTTGTTTTAGCACTCGCATTACGTCTGCGTGCGTTCTTTGTGTTCTTTGTGCTGTCAATCGTGCGCACGATTACGTGCGATTTGAATTGCATCTTACCTCGCGACGATTAGATGACGTTAAGACGTGTACCCCACCGCTGTCGCGCTCGCGCTTTGCTCTCGTTAGTTTGGCGCGTTCGCATTGAGCAATAATTTCTTAGTTTTTTGGAGCTGTTGCCTTCGGTGCTCCCTCGCTTGTCGGAAAAACGAGTAGATACACGTTGCTTTCATAGCGAATGATACTCAAACATAAGTTCATTTCAATAGAATTTTGGTCTATTATCCTTGAAATAGATAATTTTGAGTGATTGCATTCAGTGGCAAGATCACGCAAACTATTCTTAGAATGATTTGCCAGTTACGATCGGTCTAAAAAACAGCGAATGTTTGAGCTTTATTCAAAATTGTTGAAAACGTTGCAGGAACTGTGTGACTAATGGACAAACACTCATTGTAAAAATTTTATTTGCTGTTTTTTTATTAACGAGTTGAATCATGTTTCCTTTGTGACGTTTATATTTCAGAGTGTACTTTGAAATATTTATAAGCAAATAATTACAATAAAAGTGCCATAGGGCGCTTACTTGTTCTGGTTTTATTATTAGATTTCACTTATTGCAGCACAAGCACGGCAAGCAGTGCCATATGATATTTGCTCGTTAAATTTGTAAATTTTCAATAGAATCATTTGATGGTGCAAACGTAAAGCTTTAAATATAATCGTCATATGTCTAAAAAAGTAGCAGAAATAATAATGCGAAACAATTATCCGATTTTTTGACGGATGAACAAAGCACTAGACAGCCAGAGCATATCTTTAATTTCGTAATCATTTTGGACGACGGCCAGGTATCCGTGGTGCTTCCTAACACAAACGGCATTCCAGAAAGATTTAACGAAAGCGTTTTAGAAGACAGCGATTATTATCGGATTGATGGTTTGCGCGCCGTCGAGCTGGTCGACAAAGAATTCATTGAGTCGTTCGTCAAAAAAGGTTTGTTTGTTTTTCTTTTCATTTCTTTGCTTATCGCTTCTCATTCCTCTCGGACAACGCGAACTAAAATACCGCTGCACTTCGTTCTTTCTTTTTATTTTCTTTGTAAATATAAAGCTCGAGCATGATTGATTTTTATTTAATTTTGGTTTTGTTTTGTTTTGTAAACGTCGTCGTTCGCGCGCAAAAGTACAACGCTAACTATTATTGTCGAGACTAGATTTTGACTTAGCTTTTCGCGTTTGGCACTCGCACTCGCGATCGCAAATTTATCCTCTGTCGACTGCACTACCACTAACGTGAAATCCGGTGGGTTCTTTTGTCATTGCAAATGTCCTTTTAGCGCTGTAAATAAGGCTGCGTAGCGTCCGAACGATCTCGGGCTCCGAAAGGAATAATAGTCGGAGCGCAAATGGAGCGAAATTGAGACGATATGGTTTGGTCTTGCAGGAGAGTTGAGTTTGCTGGCGGTGGAGCGGCGAATAGACGTGGACAACTCGGCGGCGATCAGTCCGAGTGGACACTTGCTGCTGAGCCTGTCGCGCGACAGATACCAGCGGCTCGGCATCGAGGGTCGGCCGACCGCGTTCGAGCGCCGCGCGCACTCGCGCTACGGTAAGTGAAGTGGAGCGCGGCGCGAGCGGCGACGAGCAGGGAGTAACAGGGAGTAACAGGGAGTAACAGGGTGAAAGAGGGATGCCGAGGAGGCGCGAGGTGCCGTCGCTGCGCGAGCTCGCACTCAAGTCCGTGGGCGAGTACGTGATCGGCTTCGGTAGGAGCGTCGTGGCGCCGTTCAGCGCGCTGTGCGGCCTCGAGGCCGCACAGGCCGACTCGTACCTCCGCGGCGCGCTGCTCGGCCTGCGGCAGCAGCTCAGCTGCTGCGTGCCGTGGAACCTGTACGACCGCATGGCCACGGAGGTTCTGCTCGCCGTGAGGGACCTCGTGACGGAGATCAAGGCCGCCTACAGCGGCGAGCGGCCCGGCAGCTGCCTCGCGGAGATCAACGTGGCGGTGAACCTCGTGCACGCGGTCGTCTCGCCGAGGCTGCGACGCATCGCCTTCGGCGACTGGCCCAAGTTCATGCGCCACGCGCTCTACGACTCGCTGGCCGACATGAGCGGCCTGCGGGTGCTGGACCTCGGCTCGGGCTCGGTCGGCTGGCGGAGCTCCGACATCGAGCGCGCCGTGGTTGCCGCGACCGGCGCCATGGGTAACCTCACCGCGTTCACGCTCTGCTTCGACTGCACCGACAGCGTGCTCGCCGCGGTCTGCCGGCACTGCTGTGCCCAACTGCAGCAGCTCGACGTGACGGCCTCGCGCTCCGTGACCGACCGCAGCATCGCCTGCCTGCTCAAGTGCGCGCGGCTGCGCGAACTCAAGCTGCTCAGCACCTCGGTCTCCGTGCCCGGCTATGCCTCGCTGCTGCTGGACCACCCGTGCCTGCAGGACATCGGCAGGTACGACGAGCTCGGCGTCGCCCTCGAGCACATCCGGCAGAGCGCGCGCCGGCCCGACGCCCGGCCCCTGCGCCTGCGGGCCTTCGAGTGCCGCGGCATGAGCCCGCGCCAGCTCTACTTGCTCGCGGAGATGTGCCCCGGCATCGTCAGCCTGTCGCTGCTGCGCGACGAGCGCGTCGACGACCTCGCCGTCCTCGCCTCGCTCACCGAGCTGCGCGAGCTCAAGCTGCTGTCGTGCGAGTTTTACACGAACGGCGTGCGCGTGCTGCTCGAGGTCATCGGCTGCAACATCGTCAGCCTGCACTTGGAGCACGTCGGCGAGATCGACCTCGGCGCGCTCGTCTTCATCAGCCAGTGCTGCCCCAACCTGCGCAGCCTGGTCTTCTGCAACTGCGAGTTCCTCGCCACCGCCACCTCGGCGCAACACCGGAAGCTCGCCGTGCCGCCGTTCCAGCACCTCGAGAGACTCAAGTGCGTGGTCGATTGCGCCGAGCCGCATCTCGAGTTCGTCCTGTCGCACTGCGTCAATGTCAGGTTCGTCCACCTGGGCTCCTCCACTGGGATCGGCGACGCCACCATACGGCGAGTCTTCGACAAGAACCCAATGAACAAGCTCGAGGTGCTCAAGATTTTGTACAGCAATGATCTGTCGATGAGCAGCGTGCATCTGTTCATGCGCAATTGCGAGAATCTCAGAAGACTGTCGGAACTGGAGAGCTGGGAAGGAATTTCGCGGCAGGAGCTGTACGCTTTTAGGGAGGAACTCAGGCTCAACAACTTCGACTTGGATACCAGTCCGACATTGTCGCTCGCTTGAAACACGCGCGAATAGATCGCGTTTAATTTTTTATGTGCCGCTATTCCTTTTGATATCGCGCAAATAGAGGCTTTGTAACGTAGCTTTCGTCGCTGCCAGTATACGTATGTGCAATGTGTTATACATATTTAGACGATGTTTTATCGCGTGTACGCCAGCGAGATGCCCATTTATTTTTGCACGAGAAGATTTAAACGCCGACTAAACTAACCGATAGACGTATTTTCGTAACGTAGAGAAATAATTTAACTTGCGGAGAGTATATTTTTATAATGATTTTACTTGTGCTCTCGAAGTTCCCCGGGTGCTCTTTTCATTTTTCAAACAATCTATTTGTTTATTTATTTTCTAAGATTCCTCTTCGGAGTATGTGATGAGATATATTTTTTTAATATTTTTTTTTATGTTTCGCTGTCCCTTTTGTCGGTATCTCTCACAAGTCGTGACAATCGATTTGAAAGACGATAAACTAACCCCTGGAAAGAAATACTACGAAAGGATTCGCAATTGTCTGAACAACCTGCCTGATCTTACATTTGACGTTATACTATCATGGGATCCTCCAGGTAAATCGTTCATTTTAAGGTACAAGAAAATTTTCAATTGTAGATATCAATTGATAATAATCTGCCGTTCTATTAGATTATTCAGTACTCGTTCAAAATTATCATTGAATTTTGTCAACTTTTGCAGAAGAAAATGTATGCCCGTCATCAGTAGCTGCATGGTTCCAAAATCGCGGCTACTCAGTTTCCGTTTGCCACATACAACCAATACGACGGGTAGAATATTCACTCGACATTCCAGTGCTCAACAACACCTATAATCTTGACGATTTTTTCGAGTGGCTTGGAATATTCAGCGTCGGTGGAAACTTGTACGTATAATTCATGCATGGCGTTCATAGTTAGCTAATGAAAGTTGATTATGAAAGTGTATAATTAAATTTTATTGAGGTGGTTGAATGAAAAACTGAAATGACTTTAAAATGATAGTTTTGTTGCTATCATTCGGTAAGGTAAAAGAATGTTTAATTTATTTAAAAAAATGGAATTGATCCATTGATTACCTAATAAATTAACTGTTTACCTTTTCTTATTACATTTTTTTTTGATTTTATTACGTTCATGAATTGCACTTATTCTCAAATATGACTAACTTCTCAACTGAAATATATGAATTAAAGTTTTTGTTTATTCAAATAGTCTAAAAAATGAAATAGCTCGTTATCACATAACTTCCTTTTTTCAGAAAAAATGAGACTGAACACGATAAATACGTAAGTTCATACAATTATTCTACGCCAAAGATGGAAGTCGGGCAAGTTCAGTATTTGCAGTTTACGGGTTTTTTTTCACGCCTTAAAGTGGAAAAAATTTACAAGATGTTTAAAGCCTATGCAAATTCAAACAATAATTTACCGTGGTGCAGTATGGATGTGCAAGGGTTCGCTGACAGTCCGGTAAGCTGGGGCTTGAAGGAGCACACCTTTTACATCGATGGTGATAATAGTTTTACCATTGTTTTGCGTCCAGGGGACGAAGGATATATTTTGCGAAAAAGTTTGAGCTCAAATAACATACCAAAAAATACACAATAATAAATTAAAGTCTCTTTGGTTTCCCTGTATCGAGAACTTTTGTATTTTTTACATGTACATATTATTATCGTTACGCCATGAAAAAAATATGCGAAAAATTGCTTATATAATGTTTTTTTTTCTAAATTGTAATCATTGCAAAACATTATTTAACTTTTTCTCTCAATGGCTGTGTTAAGAATAAACTTTTTTCAGTACTTTGGAATTAAATCGTTGTCGTTACTTGTCACCTAAAAACAACTTACCTAGATAAACAGAAATCAACATTAAAATATTAAATCAACATTAAAGTTCATTACAAATATACATCGCAGTGGAATGATTTTTTTCGCATAAATACTGTTGAAACAAGCATAAATACTTGCAAAGAAAGTCTTTAAAAATATTTAGTTTAAGTAATTTCATAACGTCGACGAACGCAAAAAAAATGTGCCGGAATGCAATTGTTCTTAAATACTTTTCTTTTCTTGCGTGCGAAAATCTTAATTTTTCAAGCCTTCTTTGTTATTGTTTTGGTCGTTCATCAGCTTTTGAGCGTGTTATACTCTTGATATAGTCTTTTAAGGGTCAATGACTAGATACACCACAAATAAGCTTACGTCTCAATTTGCTGGATCGATGCTAGAGAATGAAACTGGTATTAGGACGAATATACAATGGTAAGTTTTACATATCAAGAAGCACACTATCAGAATCGAGTTTTAATTTAGAGCTGCTGTAAAGATCTTCTATGCCAGAGCCCATTGACAATCGAGATCTTGATGAAGCCATCAATTCGCAAATATCATCCATATCTCTGTTATAACTAAAACCATTTCATATTATTTTTTGGTAAAATTAAAATATAATGAAAGTTTGCTGTAATTATTAAAACACAATGATAAACTTACCGACTGACTGGCCGACTAGGATTTCCCGAGGAATCTGACAAGGCTTTAGCATCTAATTCTTCATCGAAATTCAGCTTTGCACTAGAACCTGTGCATATGAAGAGTATTTTCTCAGCGAATGAAAACAATTTTTTTGAAATTTAAATGCTAACATTAATAACAAAACCATACTTGAAGGTAAAAACATTGTATCCTTCAAAAGATCTCCACTCGTGAATGGTAGTAGACTGTCATCGTCTTCGTCTTGAATAGTAAAACTACTAGCCATGGTATCAACATTTATTGACTCAACCATATCCAACCATTGCTGGTTATGCGAACGAAACTTTTCAACTTTTATTCGCGCTGCCCAATCTTCATCACAAAGCTAAAGCATTAATAATAGAATAAAAATTTTACAGTAACATGTGTTGCTTAAAAGACATAACTTACCGCAATCACATCTAAACATGCATCACAGATTTTTCTTATAGCTGGATTTTTGTCATGCATCAGGTCTATAAGATATGCTGGAGCCTCTGTAAATAGATTGTAACATTCCAAATCTTGAACAAAAATCGACACAACACGTCCAATACTTACCATTACCAGTCTCACGAATCAGGTAATGTCTTGTTGATTCGTGTTTCGATACTTGATAGAAAACGTAAATTATTTGTAAAACCATTTCATCATCTTCTTGTTTGGCTGTAAACCAAGAAAAATTTAATAAATATTTTCTTATAATTACATTAAGATTTGAATTGGCAGAATAAACCTTTTAATAACTCAATTAAAGATATAAGCATGTTAGCTTTGCATATCACTTGAGCACAGTCTTCATCAGCAGCCGCCGTACCTAAGAATATCACAACTTCAAGCACCAAATCATCTTGAACTTTGCCTACAATAGTACGAATTTTAGTCACAAAATTCTACGAACCCACAATTTTATATAAAAATTCAAATATTATTTTACCTGGAACAAGATTATTTCGGATCCACGGAATCAAATTGCACCTTTGGAGGATTTGCGAGTAATCCAAATCTGACAACGACAAATTTCCCATTACGCCTATAATTTCTAGTACAAAATCTTGATTATCTGATTGTGTTAGAGCCATTGCGAAATCACCGACAAACTCCTGAAATTAATTTGGTCATAATTTTGTTCATTTTACGGTATTTTCTAGGTAAAATTAATGGTGATTTGATCTATATGTAAATTGTATGCTTACAATAAAAAGTTCTTTTGTAGAATCATGTTGTGAAATATTCCTCGCAATTTTCATCAACAAAGCATTTTGATTCTTAAATGCCTTTTCAACTAATCGTTTTAAACGATTATTTTGCACTATCATCTCAGCATTTCTGTTGTTTATAGCAAGATTAACGCATAGTGCTATCAACTCTGGATACATTTTATCGTCATCTGAATCCAAAATCATATCAACAAGCTAATACGAAATAAAATCGGGAAAACGTTAAAATTTCCTTCATTACGAAATTTTCAAAATTGTTTAAAATATATCACTTACAAAAGGGACAAACTCTAAACTAGCAAACATTGCTTTCACTTTATCATCAATACTAAGATGGTACAATAATCCTAAAATCGTCTGCTTGTTTATTTCATCAAATGCAAGTAACTTAATGAATTTTGGCAATAATCCAACTTTTATCATTTTTACTCTGAGCTTTACATCAAATGATAAATTGAACATAAATTTTAAAGTACTTGAAATTAAATCTGGATTCGTATTGCTTAGAAGTCTGGGTAATTTTTCAATAATGTTTCCTTCTGCCTGTTTGCCGAAAAAATATTACTTATCGAAATAAACTGATCGAGATATGAAAGTGTTGGTAATAATGTACTAACCATAACGTCTTTGTTTTCTTTTAATATAGACAGTTTCTTTAAAAAAGTAACAACTAAAATCAACAGATCTGAATTAGCCCTGTCTAATGTCTTTAAAAGCATTCCAATTACATTTTTCTTAGTCATTTTTCTTTCTACATCGACATTTTCTGCTATGTTAAGCAGCAGGTAAAAGGCAACTGTAAAAATTATATACAGTATATTACACATATAGATAAAGAAAAATAAAATATATCCTCTAAATATTTAATTGCTATTAATAATCTAATGCAGACTGTGACATACCTTTCAACAATTGTTCTTGTTTTTTTACTAAGTTCTTAAATTTCTTACGACTTTTTTCAATATCTTCTTTCAATCTTTGAATTTCATCATCGGGAATACTGATAGGTTCATCAATGGAATTCTTTTTTATTTGCACATCAAGAGGACCATCTGCAGTCCACATGTCATCAATTACTTTCATTTTCTTGTCTGAACTATCGAGACACATAGCAGGAAGTAAACACAGCCCGGTATTATTTTCAAAATATCTTCTTCGCTTTTCAAGATCATCTTTCCACTGATCATATCGAGTTAATTCATAATCTATGATTTCCATACAAAGAGAACCAATCTGTTAATTTAAATAGCATACATATTAATATTTAAAATTTGATTAAATAATTAATTACATTAATAATATATATGTTAATATGTAATAACTGTCAATCAATAAAATACAATTATTTAAAGCTTGTAAGCCTTGAATGGAAGTAAATATTAGTTTACAGTATTACCCTATGATCCAGAACGTAATTGTGAAATTGACTGTATGTTGAAAAACAATAAAATATGTAAATTATGTTTATAGATAGCTCGATACTTTTTTTCCAGTCTTCTCTCAGTACTCGGGCTAAAACGCTAAGTAGTGATTCTAAAAAAAAAATTAATTAATAAACATGATTTCTTATTGTCATTCACAAACTAACAGTAGCTCTTTTTACTATTTAGTACCATTTTTAGTAAGTTCTTGGAGATTATCTGGTACCCTTGCTAATTGTAACATCAGCGAAGATCCTTTTATTTTATCCGGTATTTCATCATAAAGTAGTTCCATATAACTATTGACATTACTTATTACTGCTCTCTCAGATTCTGAAGCATCTGTGTTAAGTGAACTTGAAGACATTGGTCTTGGAAATTGACCAGGACTCTGTCTTTCTGTTAATTATAAAAATTGAACAATAGAAATATAATTGTATCATTTTGAAGAGAGATAAACTAATAAAATATTCAAGATTTTACCATCATTAGGATGCTTACGGTTTTGCAGATAATAGATTAATTGCTCAACTTCGGATAATTTTGATTCAGGGATAAGGGAACATTTTGCTATGACCTCTTTTGCAAGTAAAGTTACATTTGTATCGTGGTTTAAACTTTTAAGTCTAATAATTTTTTGACATTCCTGAAATTATTACAATTAATGTAGATATCTTTATGGTTACTTTTTTAAATATATATAAAAATTTTAGAAAATAAACAATCTCCTTACTTTTCTATTTCCCAACATTGGATCTCCAAGCTCACCCAGAATAAGAGCCTCAACATCATAATTCACTACAAGTGCTTTTTCTGTTGGATGTACATCAATATTTCCAGCTCTTATTTTCCTTAAAATATTGATATAAGTATTTAAAAACTTAGATTTAGTTAGAAAATACAGCTTCATAATATGATTCAAATACTTAGGCAGAGCAATAGTCATTAAATTAAAATTAATTTTATTTCAAAAAGATTATTTAACTGCATTTAATTTAGAAAAACACATGTTTACAGTTAAAACAAAAATTTTATTCAACAAACAAATTGTTGATTACGGATTTACTATTAATTATTAATAATATTAGGTTACTGTCATTGTTATATTGGATTTTTAATTTAATAACACAAAAAAGGTTGATGTATCAAATGATGAGCAATTCCAAATTAAAATTCATTATCACTCTGCAAAAATAATTACATCGACATAGTAATGAAAACAATTGATTTACCTTTTGATGTATTTTGCTTCGTCCATAATTGACGGATATATATAGGGGATGAAAAGATAACGGCGTGTTTATGTAGGAGAAAATCAACGTAATTTCTCTTTATCCAAAACTCTCATATAGCAGCCGATCCATCTTGAATAAAGAAATTAAAAAATGTGCAAAAACACCCATCCTCAGCTGGCAGACAACATTTTCGAGGGTTGGTTGCAGCGGCAACTAAACCCAATTGACTTTTTTCTGCCGTGTTCTCAATATAACACACACGCAAGGATCGACCCTTAAAGAAGGCCTCTGATAGGCTGAAAAAAGCATGGCAGTTGACATTCGAGTAAACAAATTTATTAGAGGAAACGAAAAATCTATTTAAATTTGATAACACTAGATAAGTCATGCCGAAATATTGGTGATGATCCGCTTATCAGAGATTACCAGATATTTTGCTGTCGTCATCGACATACGCTTGGAAACAATTGTAAGTAAATATTATTGTATAAACCGCTTTTATATCCATTATTAATATGAAAATTCATAATATTCACTAACATATAATGTTTCTTTCGAATGAATATCATCTAAATCATACAAAGTATATTCAAACTGGAAGCCATGGATTGCCAAAAAATTATTGTTGACTGTGATGCTGGTGCTGATGATGCTTTAGCTTTGATAATATTGATTGAAGCTCATAAACTAAAAAAAGTAAAATTACTTGCCATCACTTGTGTGGCTGGAAACACTAAAGTGGAAAATGTAGTAAATAATGTATTCAGAATATTACACTTGTGTAATAGCACAAACGTAAATAAAACTATTTATGTGAAAATTATTAGTTAGGGTTGACATGATTTCAATAATAATTTAATTTTAAAGATTCCAGTTTATAAAGGAGCATATTCTCCATTACTACATGATGTAGATGCTGCCAAAAGAATATCAGAAAATTTATTTCATGGTTCAGATGGTTTTGGTGATGCTTTCAAAGACAAACCTGATATAAGCAAACTCAAAGAGGAACATGCTACACAGGCATTGCATCGTATAGTTACTGAAAATTATGGTGAAATTATTTAATCGTTTGAGAATTTATTCAATAAGACTTATTTAATTATTTTTAAACTTGTAGAAGAAGTTTCCATTCTTTGTATGGCACCGCTAACAAATATAGCACTTACAATAAAAATGTATCCAGATTTTGCACATTCTGTTAGAAGATTTTTTATTATGGGCGGTAATTTTTCAGGTAAAAAATGATATTTGAACTTAAAATAATAAATAATAATTACTTGATTAAATAATTTTAGCTGTTGGTAACATTACATCCCAAGCAGAATTTAATTTTTATTTTGATCCAGAAAGTGTTCATATCGTATTTTTTAATGCTGCACAAAAATTGTGGTTACTGCCATGGGAAACCACTCTTAAATCATCAATTTCTTTTGTAAGTTTTTATCTTGTTTTTTTCTACTTTTTTTTTTTTTCGAACAGGAACTAAAGATAAGCAAATAATATGTCTATATTCTGTCTATTCATTGTATATACTTAAAAAGTCATTGAATATTTTAGGAATGGAGAGATAATGTTTTTGGAAAAATAGATACACCAGCAGTTGAATTGATGAATGCAATAGAAGAAAACATTTACAAAACAGAACATAGATTTAAAGAAAGTTACAACCCATGTGATTTTTTTATTGCTGCAATACTGTTAAGACCAGATGTTGCTAAAGATATTGGATTCTATTATATTGATATTGAACTTGGTGGTACGAAAACAAGAGGTCAGGTTGTTGTGGATCATTTAATGTCCCATGAACCTAATGCTTACATCATTCAAAACATAGATACTGAAATTTGTAAGGATCTATTAATGTTTGTGGCTAATCCAAATGCAGAAAGCAGTCAAGTTCTATGGGAATAATTTATTTTACACTCATCAGCTTATATATGTACATACCACGGATAAATTTAATCTTAACCCTTTATACAATTTACACGTTCAGGAATGTAACATCCAGCATAGCCTTGACAAGAGACTATATTTACAACTCTAGTTAAAGACTTAAATTGTAAATATTTTTGTAGATATCTATAATTATAATTTAAAAAAGAAATTTAACAAAAAATAAAACATTTGGCTTATTGATAATAATTAAGATGTTGCTTCGCCTTGTTCATTTTGTTGAGCGTCCTGAGATTCTTGAAACTGCTTCCTGGCTTCCCTATTTGATTTCAATAACTCAACCAGCTCTGCATGAATATTATCATTCTTTGATTCTAATGAATCCAATACTAAATTCAGCTGGTCAAGTTGGTCATTAATTGACTGGAATTCTGGAATAAACAATATTGCTTGGCTATTACTATTATTTGAGAGTTAATACGTAAAACTAAATAAGTAAATGTAACGGTGTTGAAATAAAATGTATAAACTGTTAATATTAATACAATCGACTGTTCTCAAAAAGCACTGTACGAGCTGCTTTACTTTATTTTAGTCTAAAAAGTTAACGCCCAAAATCTCGTGATCATTTCAAGTACACTCGGATTTTTCTGAGAATACGTAACTGCAACACGCCAAGATACGTATTTAAATAAACATACCTTCGCTATTTATTTCCTCAACCTCTTCCGATTCTTCAACACCATTTTCTGCGTTATCTTCCTCATTTTCACTCGGATGCACGGCTTTCGCAACCATATTTTCGTCTTTTCCTGCCATTACAAACAGTTTGTAATTGCACTATCAGAATCAGCTGACAGCAAGCTCATTCGCAAATGTTGCGTGAATCTCGTGAAAATGCCGCAAAAAGAATTTAACGCTTTTGATTGGCCTACTTTTCGTCGCGGGTAGTTTAAAATCCATTCAGCTACAAACAATATTTAGTTCTGTAAATTTCTAAATAAAATTAAAATAATACAATTTTATTTCACAACTTTCCTATTTCCATTGTCTTTATTTAAATAATCAATTTCGTAAAATTAAGAAATCAAATTATTTTCGATTTAAATAGCATTTCAGCTGTTAACCAAATTTATCTTAAAAAATTATTCAACTAGATTTCATGTGGAAACCCATATGTATGCAATCAAAACAAATATTTTATTTAATAATTGATTTTATAAAATTTTCGTATAAAATAATATTGTAGCTATTAATTAAATATGAAATTTTCGAACACATTGAGAAAATGTGTTAATTGGTAACAATAAAAGAAGTAATATTTATTGTATTGTTTAGAATGTATTTATCTTCTTATTACTTTTCCAGTCCTCGAGTTGCCCGAAACAAATTAAATTTCAATTCATCAAAATTTGATTGCATAGAAAAGAAATCGTGATTTATGATTGGAATTTAATGAAGACAGCGATTTATAGTCATGAGAAATTATTGATTTGATATGAATAAGTGTTGCTTAAAAAATTGGCAATAAAATGCCAAATTGAGTCACGAGTTAAATCAAACTGGAACTTATAATGAATTAGTTCGAACGATTGGGACGTTCCAAATCATTAATTGGAATTTAGCACAATTTCAAGCATTTTTGCTGTAAGTAAAATGCATTTTGCTTAGCTTATTTTTTATTGCCGTGTGTTTTCTACATATGAATATAAACACACATACACAAATTTATAAATATGAAAAAATGATGTTATCGAAAAAATGCTCCACTTAGCTCGAAGATACAGATTCAAACGAACAAAATGAGTCTTTCCCCCTCTTATAACTCGAATAATTGATCACTGATTTCTCAACATCCTTTTCATCGATCTAACTTTATAATAACGTGTGTAGAATAAGTATCAATTAAAACAACGCCTCATAATTGAGAAATAAAAGACTTAATATACAATATAATTATACCAATTTGGTACACTTTTACCCCGTGTTAATTATCCAATACTTGTCAGTATTATTCTTCTTGCTACGCAGCCGATTTGTGTCTCGCAGCTCTCGCTGCGAGAGATCTTCGAGATGTCACACGGTCCTACCGCAGAAGCTAGAGCTTGTCTATGGGTAGGCGGAATGAGAAGTGCTGAAATTGCACCAAGGACAACTGACGCAGCTACGAGAGCAGTCGATCACCGAAGCAGTTCGGTTACGACGCCAATGCGTTTCAGTTGGGGAGTTACGCCAAACCGAGAGCTTATCAATATGCAAAATTACACGGTTGCGACCAGCCCGAATCCCGGCAATCGCGCGCCCATTGTGCTGGAAAACATCGAGTGCAACCACGTCGGTAACCGATGCCGAGAACAGGGCAGCTGCTGCTACGTCCAGCTGTATGAACGTGGACCTGACCTATCCTGACAAGAATGACACCATCAAGCTCTACGCCGGCTGCATGTGCGTCCTTTAGATATACGACGTCTCTCTCAAACTCCACAATCCCAAATTGCTCTTCAATGACTAGTTGCGAATCACAAATCTATAAGATCGAATGAATTACTCCTCTCCAAAATAGTATTACATAGTTCGGTCGTGGCCAATAACCCAAATCAAAATTAGATCGTTTATTTTGCAAGCAAAGTCAACCTGAATGTTATATTGTAATAACACAACGCGTTTCTCTCGCTTTAAGTACTCGGCTATACTATTCTGACATTATTGCTAAATAAATAAATTAAATGTATTGAACTTTCAAGCGGTCAATAAACAGATTTGTATCAAATGCTACGTGGAATTCTCTTCGAAAGCTTCAACTTATTTAAAACTCATTTAGTACTCAGCCTTGCAAAAATGACTTTATAACAAGAATATCAAGTCAAATTCTTTCAAGATTTGTGAAATAAAGAAAATAGTTAGTTACAATTGAAAAACAAGTAGTTTTATTTATTTTTTTTTATAACACTTTTTCATTTTCTGGTAAGTCTATGGTAATTAATAATTAACAAGAAAAAAACCTTCTTCATCAATGTGTCTACAGTAATTATTAAAAGGTACAATTAGCAAATTACTATGTTGTGTATTCACTTTGTGTAATAATAATAGATAATAATATAATCATAATATTTTTTTCGTCTTTATAATTATAGCGCAATCTCATAATCTTTTGTGTTCTCTCGCGATTTTTCGTCCTCTTTATTTTTCTACAAATATAATAATGTTTATCTAACATTCTTACTTTTTTTGTTTTGTCTCTGTTTGCACATCCACAATTTGGATTATTATCAATCGGCTTGTGTTGTTTACTTTATTTTTTTGTTAATTCAATTGTCATTTGAATCATCATTAATATTTATATTTTATTACTAAAAATACAAATGTTTCACGTGGGATTAATTTTTTAAATTCATTTTGGAGAGCAAAAACTTTCGAGCTTGCTTGCCTTACATATACTGACAGAATAAATTTCTTTTTTTTTTAGTATTTTTACAACGTCCTCGTACTCTCCGTAAAAAATTAAGGGGCTCGCGAAGAAGAAATTTACACTCGACAACAACGTCGTAGTCGTATCCTCTTACCAAGTATAAAAGGAGATTTGTTTTCGTCAGAGTCACTTTTCTTCACACGCACACACGCACATACGCACGCATGTACACACACTCATACACACAGCGGAGCTTTTATTTTTTATACAAAAATGACTCCATTAAGGACCAGACTTTCGCCTTGCGTTTATTTTTTATAAATAATCATTTAATCTTATATTGTACATTGAGAGTTCACTCGGGAAAGCTATGCATACGCAAGTTGCCTCGGCAACAAAATTATTTTATTCTCTCATATTCTTTTTTTATACTATCCTTACTAATTTTTAGATAACCTACTTCATAAGCCCTTTAATGTGATCAGAATTCACTTACAACTAAGGTACCATTATGTACACACGAAGCTTGATCCATTCAATCTTTAATTTATACAATTATTTCAACGTTTTGTGATAAAGTTATAACATGATAATGTCTAGTCTATCTAACTGTTTGATATCAAAGAAATATTTTACAACAAAAATTACAATGTTTGATCGTAGCAATCTTTTTTTCTCTTCCTTTCGCAATGTCTCTTTTTCCAAGTGCGGAATATTGTTCCTTACTTTTTTTTTGACATTTAAGACAATTAAAATAAGCTTTCACATTACACTTTTTCCCATCACAATATAAAGTAAAAATCAAAATAAATTTAATTCTATTTACGCACATTTTCTTTTATGTACAACTTCTCATAGAAACGTAGTATATTTTTACTATATGAGATGGATTTATGCATATACTATTATGTACAAAAACAGCTTTCTCTCCCTAAGATACCATCAACTTTCATGCAGTGAATAATTTAAATTGAACCTGATATGAACATATGAATTAACTATAAAAAATATAAAAAAGGAAAAATAAAAAAAGAAGCTGATACAAGAAACTCGATTGGCGTGTCAAGATCAAGTCGGCTACATAAAAAAAAACAGATAAGAAGACTTCAGTTCTGAAAAATTTCTAATTTAAGCGAAGATATACAATTTTTAGATCATTGCAAAATCATTTGATTCTGAAAACCTATATAAAACTAAAAAATTCTATTCCTGTTAGTCCAGTTTTATAATTTTGACTATTTCTTTTATATCCTCTCTTAAACAAAAAACCAAAAAAATATGCACAAAAGCGACACGTGAAAACCTTTATGCTTTTCTACTAATAACATTGACACTTTAATCGTATATATAAATAAACATTTTTTAACTTCTAAGTAAAAAAACAAATAAGAAAGGGAGGGGACTCACATATATGATTGACCGGTATACAGAATTACTTGCGTGTGTGATGTATTGCATTTAAATGAACCTTAACCTAATAATGAAGAAGAGAAAATAAAGATAATAGAAACACTACAATTAAGCTATAGAGTAGCCAGTATTATTCGATCATTGCCAGTTATCACTGAGAAACGCATGTACACGTAATGGTAAACAAGAATATCTAACTATAAAATTATAGGAAATCATATTGCTTCATTTTCCAATGGTGTCAATATATAATCTAACGATTAAAGGAGACTAATTAAGGAAGATATCGATGTGAGCTTTTAACAATTCAAATTTTGACGACGACAAAGAGAAGTACGTCATAATTTAATATGATGAAGATGATGATGAAGTTATAATATTTTAAATAGTTAGATTTTCTTCCATTTTTGTCGATAAAAATTTGAACCGGTTTTGGTATTTACAATGAAAGTGATGCGTCGCACACCTCCAGAGAAATTATTTACAAAATATATAGCGTTTGTTTTATGTATTAATTATCGTGATTAACATTTTTTCTAATTTTATCATCTGTTCAGTCACCGTTTATCAATTACAATTATCATTATTACTTTTTATAAAGTTCGTGTTTCACTTATTCACCAACGCTGTATTTTTCGAACTTGTTAAATAAGTTTCAACCATCCTAGATACCATATAAACTCTGTAATAATTTTGATCAACTGATAGACTACTGTCTTCTTACTATGAGAATAAAGTTCTTTTTTTTTAATCACACATATGCATTCGAAAAATGAACTATAATAACGTACAGTATTCAAAAGACAAAATAATTTTAACGCGAAACGAACAAGCAAAAGTCTATCAGTGACACATATTTTCTGACGAAAAAGTTACTTAAGAATAAGAGCACAGTCTTGGTCACCGGAATATTCGAAAAAATGTATATATAGCATCAAATTGTTTCAAATTAAGCCGAAAAAAAAAAATAATAAAATAAAAAATTCAACAAATCATTGTTTAAATCAGGCAATGGAACAGACATGCGTGTAATTGTGCGACGGGAGTGGATTCACCAAGGGGAGTCCAGCCACACAGTGACAGCGAGTAGAGTTGTTGGCTTGACCTTGAGCGACGATCCTAGCTAATCGCTGTCAAGGTCACTGTCCGAAGGTCATTTGTTCTCGCGAGATATCCTCCGCCTCTTGGACTGCTCCGTCGCCTCGGCTGCCACTAGAAAATCGTGCCCGCTGTACGAGGTTGTTTTTCGTCAATTAAAAAATGGTTTGATCGTGTGTCTTTATGTGTTGATTGCCGATTATTTCTAAACACATCGTATGCTCAATGTACAATGACAAAGTAACTGCTTTATGGAAAATCTCTTTTTCTTTTTACTTTTGCAATTCAATTTATTTTATGCTTTTAGCTTTTATTTGTATTTACATTTGGTTTTATTTGTTAGGCAGAATTCGAAAATCTATTTTTCAATTCATTTAAAGCTTTCGTTTGTTTTTTGCACACACGTTTTAACAATTTCTTTCAACTTAATTCTAGTGATTTTAACAATGAGAAAAATCGTTCGGTTGATTAAAATTATTGGAAGTTATATTCGTTCAGCATATCGAAAATGCATGCTATGCCAATGCAATCTTTTATTTTATACATTCAATATACAATATAGTGATGTTACGTTGTTGTAAAATTATAAGTACGGCGTTTTGTTAGATAACGATAAAAATAAAACAGAAAAAGGTACTATTTACGCAGTAGATAATAAAGGTGGAAACATAAAAGTAATAACAGTAGCTTAAAAAAACTAAATATCAAACAAATTGGCTAATCAGTACATCGAGGATACGATATATTGATAAGTGATAAAAGAGTGAAGTCATGATAATGATTGATGAAATGAGAGTGCGTAAATATATACTTAGCATAATAATAATAGTAATAATAAATTTCTAAAGAACACAGACGGATGAAATTTCCATAATAAAGAAGTAAACTCGCACGGAGATATTTGTTTTAAGATTATATTTAGAATTAAACAATTTAATATTTTACATACATATTTGATATGAATATTGTTGGAAATTCTTTCTTTACAAATAACATGAGAAGTTAATGTTGTACAAGTGTATTCCAAATACAAACCACTCTCAATTAAACTAATAAACTCAAATAAAATTAAAAACTTAAAACAAATATATATAGGTATTTTTTTATTCATGGACTGGTATTAGGTTCCGTTATAATTTATAGTACATGATGTTCAAATAATATATATATATATCATATATTTCTTTCTCTAATTATAGAGCAATTATTATGTATAAATTCATCATTCTAGCTCTCGTAGATATACATAAAAACAAAACAAAAATTTTTTTTAGTCCATTGTCCATCAGAACTTTATGCGACTATACGTATTTGTTTTTCTTCGATATAAAATCTATCTATATATATTACAAAAAAAATGAAGACATACATGACAACAGTTGCTTTGATTTCACCTGCCTGTATTCTCTCAACGTTTTTCTATAAGATAGACATTTTTCTTTATCAAAAAATCCGTTCCGCACAATATATGTTAAAATGCTCTCAAGGGGATGTGAGATTTCCGAAGCTGCCAAATATCCGTTTAATCTTCTCTTTTTTTACAATAATTCATCGCTTTCTACTGCTTAATTACAAGTATATTATTGATTAGACAATCGCTGTTTCACAATTGTAACTTAAAAGCTCGCATCCATCCGTTATGCACGGGAACAACAAGAATGTACAATGTTATTATATTTCTAATTTCCCGTGTGTATACGGCGATAGAGCGTACATCCCCTTGCGAGCTTGCACACAATAAATATCTCTCTCTCTCTTTCTTTCTTTCTGTCTCTATCAATGGCGTGTTCGTCCATGGAGAATGCACAATTATCACAGCAGTAATATTTATTATCCGCGCGAAGAAAGGAAAGAAGCGATTCAACGCGCGCATTTATTTTTATTGTGTGTCGTGTAGTGTTTCTCTCGGTTTTCTACTCACCAGCAGCTCCACTCCTTGTCTTCCTTCGATTGACGTCTTCCATGGTGCGAGAGGCTCCGCGGGTGTTACCCGCTGGAGTGGCCAATGGCGAAGCAGTGCTTTGTCGTACGGAGCGTCTTGTCGTTACTTCACCAAGCGACTCATTACTCGAAACAGAACTCCCGCGTAGCCTCTCTCTTACTGCCGTCGTATTTACCGTCGTCGTCGTTGACGTTGTCATTGCTGTCGTCGTCATCGTCGTCGTCATCGTCGTCGTCATTGTCGTCGTCGACGTCGTCGAAGCCGTCGTCGTCGTCGTCGTCGTCGTCGTCGTCGTCGACGTCGACGTCGTCATCGTCGTTAATGTCATTGTCGTTGATGGCTGTTGCTGCTGCTGCGTTATAGCTGTTACCGTCGTCATTGTCGTAGTTGATGTTATATGCTGTTGTTGCTGCGTTTGCGTTTGAATGGGAGTTGGGGGCTGCTGGTGCTGGGGTTGTTGCTTTGTCGAAAGCATACGCTGTGTTCGGCCTGTACCTATCGTCGAGTTTTGTAGGTTCCCAGGTTGCTGACCGGTCGTCGTAGGGTTGCCAGTGTTATTTCTGAAATTCGAAAAACTGTTAGTTCCATCGCAATGGTTTCACAACGTAGACGGTAAACTTACTTTTGATCTTTGGGTTTTGGCGAACCAGTTGACAAATCGTCAGCTGCTCGAATTTTAATTTTTGCGGAAACTTCAGACAAATGTTCGTCGTCAGATGATTCTATATCTACAAGCATTGGTCCTTGAGCTAAAATATTAATTAAGATCGATATTTAATGATTTTTAATGTAGTAAAAAGCTATCTACGAAATATGCACACAAACTAAGATACAAATAATATATACAACTAATAATAACTAAAAATAAACACACAAATCTAAAACTTCAAAATTACAATATCAAATATCATAATATTCAAAATATATATACACAACATCAAGATACAATAAAAAATAAAGGTCCTTTTTGTAAGATCAACTTTTTTATAAACTGGCTTAGTCAACATGTCCTTTGAATCTTCGCTACTAAATTTATGTATATTTTACTATAAAAGAGCAATAATTTATCTATAATTAATTCGTTATTATCTAATCCACAGGTTTCAAGTCTCTTACTTTGGAATATATTAATACTGTTATATAACTTTCAGCTATAGAAATGTGGCTTATATTTGTTATTTTACAGTTAATAAAAATACGTACATAGCTCAACAGATTAATGATTTTTAGGAATTTGAACGATACAATTGTATTTAGTGTTATCTTTTTTAAATAATTCGAATCAATTAAATTATTGCAATAATCACAAAAATAAGTAATAAACAACACAAAATATAAATATATAAACTAGATCTGGAAGAGAACATAAACAATATTATAAAACAGAAAAATAAAATTTTTAATTAAAAAAACAACGCCAAATTCCAAACAAACAATTCCAAAAGTATCATTTCTTGTACGTTCCTAAGCCCATTAACCAATTGAACGTGGCATCGTCAAGTATGAATATCAATCCGCTGGTCATCAGAGAGAGTATCAATAAACACCTTTCTTTGCCCTGGACAAAATGTTGCATGCCTTCTTGGCCGGATGTAGATCCTTGGCCGAAGTGAGTTGCCTCTTATTAGGACCAGTAGTGGTAGCCTCGTCTACGTCCATGCAAGCCTTAATAAGTCCGGCGGCGTTCTCCGAGCATTTTCGTTTACCTGTCCGTTGCTGGTGCGGCTGCGTCGGCTCCTCGTTGTTAGAAGCAACGCTGCTTTCGCTCTCCTGCCTCTTGCGTTTGCTCGTGGTCTTGGGCAACGGCGACAATTTGTTAGTCTTGGCTGGCTGCTGCACGACTGCCGATGCTGCCGCCGTGGTTTTGGCATAAGGCGAAATACTTCGACGTTCGGCTGGACTGTTCAACGACGTCTTTTGCGAGCGAGTGCGAAGAGAACGTTTCTCCGCGCTAGCCCCAGAATCGTTGGGGATCTCGATGAGTAACTGCTCGAGCAAAGACTTGCCACGTGTCCCTTGCTCATGACTGTTGAAATGCGTGCTTGTAGCGGTGGTAGTGGCCGTCGCGGTCGTTGTCGTGTTGGATTCGTCGGTTTCCTCGATGCAGATGACGTCCTGGCGACCTTCAAGTTCCTGCTTCCGTCGACGTTTTCGCGCTATCACTGTCGTTACCACCGACAACTCGGCGTTTTCCGGTGCTGGACTCGGAGTTTCGTCTCGCTGCAGTACCGCCGGATTCGAGTATGTGTACAGCGGTGGTGTTATTCGAATCGGCTGTGGATCGTCGTTTGCCAATGGTGACTGCGCCGCTTCCTCTTTCACTTCGATCTTTGTTATCTCTTGTTTGATTTCCTTTGTCTCCTTTGTCTCCTCCGCCTCTTTCATTTCCTTCGCTTCTTTTGCTTCTTTCGCTTCTTTCGCTTCTTTCGCTTCTGTCGCTTCTTTCGCTTCTTTCGCTTCTTTTGCTTCTTTCGCTTCTTTCACCTCTTTCGCCTCTTTCGCTTCTTTCGCCTCTTTCACTTCTTTTACTTCCGCCGCCAGCACTTCTTTTATTTCTTTTTTCACTTCTGCACCTTCAAGTTGTTGCTGCCTCGTATCTTCGATTTCCGGCTCCTCTTTTTTTACCTCCAGTTCTACCACGTGGTTCTCCGTAACAACAGGCACTGCACTAGTACTACTATCACTTAACCTAGACTCGCCGCCCTTGCCGCCGCCGACGAGCAGAGTTGGCTTTTTGTCCTCGACAACATTAATAACGTTCGTCGCCGTCGTCGTCTCTTCGTCATTATTACACTTGGGTTCCTCTTTCACCATCACTACCGTCACTTCCGACGACTGCACTTCACTTATTACCGTCGGCGTCGTCTTATCGCTGCTGCCGTCTTCCTCAGCTTTGACATCCAGCTCCAAGTGGTTTTGTTCCGCTACGGCAACGTTTGAACACATATCGTTACTAACTGTCGAGGAAGGCACGTTGTTGCTCTTGTTGCTGACTGCTACTATCGTCGCCGTTGACGGTTCCACTACCACCTGAGACTGTTGAGACTGCACCGGCCTGTGTAGCGGGGATTCACCTTGATTTGGCGACTTCTCTGACAACGCGTCCATCGACTCAATACCACTGTCTTCGGCGCCGTTATTATTGTTGGAGGCGTTAGCACTTGCTTCAAGGGTAGAGTTCTCCAACAGTCTCTGCTTGACTTTCGCCTCCGTGACGTTGATCTCGCCGATCGGTAGTATAGCTTTCTCCACTAACTCTTTCGCCGCTATCACCACGGATTCAGTCGTCGTCACGGGGTTTGACGTTTTTAATAGCGTCACCCTTTGAACGGTTGTCTCGACTTTGTTGGGCGCGATGTTCATCTGTTTGGCCAATGCTAGATGATCCACTACCAGTTTCTGCCGATCGTTCGCATGATTCTTGAGCTTTTCAGCCAGATCTTCTTGAATGAAGCTTTGAGATTCCAAGTCTTTTTCATCGACAAGGCTCAATCGGCGACGTTTTTCTTGACTCGCTAGCTCCTTACGAACACCATTGGGTTCATGTTGTCGGACTGGCTCGCTAATACGTCGCACTTCGCCGACTTTTTTAAGATCATTCATTTCCGTCGGCGTCGTCGTTGCCGGTGTTATTGTCGTCGTTGTCGACGTCGTTGTCACCGCCACCGTTGTCGTATTAACAGACTCTGACGGCGATAAACTTTTCTTGAGACTCGCTTGAGGGACAGTGCTCGTGGCGATGGCCGTGTCCGGACCCTTATAACCAAGTTTCCGCCATTTTGCTGCATTATCGAGAATCCGTCCACCAGAGAGAAGATTTTGTTCTCGGTGAAGACCCTCTATAGGTTCCACTTTCTTCTTTGAGTCTCTTCTCTTGGTTTTGCCTGCAACGAAATGTGTTGATCTTTTTTTAATAACCTGAATTTAATAGATGCTAATGATCACTTATTAAACTATACCACAAAAAAATAGAACTAAAAAATTATAAGCAAACGTTTATTTGTTTTCTATAAAAAAATTACTTTGGCAATTATACACGTTATTTTTATCGTAGTTTTCATTCACTTTCAGTGCAATTATAAGGTGGAAATTATTCTTATATCTGGCCTTGTTCCTTTATTATTTTTCAATGAACATTCGAAAATCATGAAAAATTTTAGTAGTCTGTAGTGTACTCACCTCCGCCAATTTTATGCTCATTCGTGTGATTAACCAGTTCAGTCTCTGCCAAGACTGCTTGCGGCTGTTGTAGTAGTTGTTGCTGCAACTGCTGCTGTAACTGTGTTTGCGTATTCTGCATAACCGGTGTTTGCTGCTGCAACTGCTGTTGATTGAGTACGGAAGGTTTGTGCTTGAGAGGCGATGGTATTCTACTGTTTAGCGGCAAATCGTCAACGTCACCGCTACTCGTAACTTTGTTCGGCGGTTGTTGCGACTGTTGTTGCTGATGTAGATGCTGCGGTTGTTGTTGTAGTGGTAGCCGCGTTCCTAATTCCATTGGAGATGCGTTACCACTTCCGCCACTACTGCTACCGCTACTCGTATTCTCCTGTTTTAAGGCATTGCTCTTGGCCACCATGGTCACGAGCGCATTGTTCACCTTCGCCACGGCATTCGCACTGTTTACTATGGCGGAGCTGGATAAAGGCATTTTTGAGGAGGACGATGTTCCTGAAATAGTTTTGTACAGTCAAGTGTAACTAAATATTCTTTTTACAAAAACTTTAATATTAATATCAAACATTACTCACCGATAATCATATTAAGAGATTTCTTCTGCAAAAGCTTATTGCCATCGGTAGCGTCTTTCATCTTCTTCAGTTTCCCCCGGCGTTTAACGCCCGCCGCATCATGATCAACTGCTTCTTTCAGCAACTTCTTCTCTTTCTTACCTATTTGTACAACCGAGGCGTTTCGACCTCGTAATGATATATGAAGTGGCGGTACTCGCGGTTCTTCTGAACCTGGACTCGCATTACCAGTAACTGCCGCCATCGCACTTGGACTGCTACTGGAACTTATCGAGCCACCGACGTTAACACTACTGTTATTACTTGCATTGCTCGCCGTAGTTGCATTTGCACTTGGCGTAATGGGCTTCACTGCTGTCTTGTCCGCTTTGCGCACCGTCGGCGCATTTACGAACGATACATCCACTTTGTATGCTGGCGTCACTGGCTCTGATTTTTCGAGTTTCAGTCTGAAATAGGTTAACCAAGAAATTAATACTACTTTCTAATTAATAACGGATTGAGCTGAGAAAAATTAGTACCTAAGTTTGATTTTCTCTGTTGGCATGGGACTATGCGAATCCCTATTAGATTTGAGTCTGTTATGTTTCAAGCTGCCTTCACTTGCAGTGGACTTCGTTGTTGCTTCGGAATCCGACTGATCAGTATTGGTGGTGGTGTCGTTTCTCCGCGAGAAGTTACTATCCGCGTCATCATCCGAGAATATTGAATTAGATCTGTCGTTTGACGGCGATTGATAAGAAAAGAAGTCATCCTGTGCTTCGAGGGCACTTTCTGGCTCCGATTCCGAAGTATCGCTAGGCATTGGTTCCAGTAGACCTGACAACGGATTTATCAGATACTGTCTAGGTTTACCCGACGATGTATATTCCGGTTCCGCAGGTACTTCATCGACTTTGGCTGACTCGCTATTTGCAGTTATGGTGATTGGATTGTTGCTCAGATTCGATGTCGAAACGGTTGTATTCGTCTGTGGTATTGCTACTGTTGGGGCTATCACTGTCTTCGTGAGATGCTAAAAATAGAAAAGAAAAAGAGATACAAATAGGTTTCTTTTAATAGGATGTAAAAAAGTGCATGTGCGTATATACTTTCGGTAAACTGCCGCCGCTTTGCGAAAAGGCATCAGGTGCCGTTTGAGCAACAATCGTTTGCGGTGCTCCGGCGACAGCAATATTTTGTTGCTGTTGTTGGTGCTGCGTGGTAGCTGTCCACGTCGTGGTCCCATTCGTCACATCAAAGCTATTCCTGTTCAGTATATTTTGGCTATACCGGAAATCATTCGTTGTTCCAGCATCTACATTCGCTTGACTCTTCGACTGATTCAAGTGTATCTGTTGCTGCACGTTTAGCGTTTGTTGTTGCAGCTGTTGTTGCTGGGTTAGTAACTGCAATTGTTGTACTGGGATTTGTTGTTGCGACTGTTGAGGTACATGTTGCAGTTGCTGACGCTGTGGGTATGGAGGTGGTGTTTGTTGTTGTGGTGGCGTGCTAACAGTCTGCATTGACTATAATAAATTGATTTTTTTTATTTTTATCATTAGTCATTATTTTAAGTTAAATGCGATATTTAAATACAATGTTATTTCCCTGACTGTTCTCTTACAAATACTAATGTTGATATATTTGTTAAATAGGGGAAAATATTACGAAACAAAAATGAAAGAATTAAAGTACTACGATGACAATGCAAATATTCTATCTCGATTTTTTGTTTAGTAAATTATTATTTTGAATTAAGAATATCATGAAAAGTTTACTAATAACTTTCTAATAGGTAACTTAACATTCATGACAAATTTTAATTGTTAAAAATATAATTTATTGTATGTTCATAGTTCATAAAAATTGCTTTCTTTTTTGTTTTTTGAGAGAACCTGAATGAAATCTATTTTTCTTCATCAACGGTATAGGTACCAACTCCGTTTTTCCCGCATACTATATTAAAATAAGTATTATATAAAAACAAGAATAAATTAATACAATAAAAAACACACCCTGATTGGCTGATAGACAAGCCGCTGCTGATTTACATTGACCCCCACGACAGTTTGAGTTTGCTGAAGCATCGGTTGCTGTTGCTGCAACAGTTGACCGGTGCTCGTGGGACTTGGCTGTTGTATAACTGGCGCTCCGGCGGTGATCTGTTGCTGCATTTGCTGCTGAGGCTGTATCAGCTGCGCTTGCGTCGTCAGACTTTGCTGCTGCTGGTTCAGTTGTGATTGTTGTTGCAATAGCAACTGCTGTTGCCGTTGTTGCGATGGTGTCCTTACCTATAATCCATTCGTATGCTTGTTCTTAAGATTCACAGAATTAAAAATTTTCATTCCATAGCGAATTCATAGCAACTTTTTAGAGATAGAAAAATGGATACTATAAAAAGAAAACTTTTCCCCTAAATGGTAATATGGTGATAAAATTAAAAAAAAAGTTAAAGAAAGAACAAAAAATCAATTGCTTTAGCTGTAATTGCATATTCGAAAGTAAAAACTACATCGAATTCCTATAAAAGCAAATTGATTTCCATGTAATATTCTAATTATTAATGATAGCAGTATCACTGTGATCTATTTTACTGAAATGAGATTGACATTGAATTTGACAAACTGATACAATAATTTAAAAATTGTGCATTCATCGCCTCCTTTGGTGTTTGTAATTTATCAGTATAACATTTTTCAATATTTCATTCGTCTAATTCTGTATAATCATGTCCACCGTTTAATCACAATACACTTAAAAAGAAAAAAACGTCAAAAGCAATTAAGAATAGCTAACCTGTTGACCGTTAACAGGAAACCTTGCGGCCAACTGCGTTTGCACCTGCTGCTGTTGAGTGGCAGGCCTATAAGTGAGTTCCTGCCTGATGGGGAACTGCTTCTGTTGGATTTGTACTTGCATGGCCGTCTGCTGTGGCAGCGGTTGAGGCACTGTTGACGGAGCATTAACCTGTGCGAAAGCTGAGGGTCCATGTCCCGTTCCAATATCCGCGATCAATGCTGTCGACACGATTAGATCCTCGGTTCGCAGTGAATCGAGGCTCGTTGGCGGTGGCGACTCTACCAGATCTTTCCTTCTGACCGTTGGCTTTTTTTGTGGTCGTATTCGGTTCGCTACCGATACATCTACCACTGCTGGTGGTAACATTTTTTGTTGTTGTTGGTGCTGTTGTTGTTGCTGCTGTTGCTGTTGAGGCGCAGATGTACCACTGCCATCATTTTGCAATAGATTAACGAGAAGGGGACTCGATAAAGCTACTTGATTGCCTGGCATCGTTGCGGATACGCCGATTACTGAGTTCGCTGTCAAGGCATTACTATTATTCGGCGATGGACTAGATGCCATGACGTTCGATGATTTGTACTGACTTTGACCGACAACTGCCACCTGAAAAATTAATTTTACATATTGGATAATGCGAAATTAGCATTTTTTTTAAACTTTATAAGCTATTTGAATTTTTTTAAAACAAATATGATGAAAATAAAACGGTCAGAAAACTTATGTATATCATTTATCAACATTGAAACAAATGATTGACGTAAAAAATTGCTTTCACAATTTTTCAGACTTCAAAATAGAAAATCTATCGCAAAAAATAAAAATAGTACATAATTTACCGGCTGCGTTACCGCACGAACAGCCTGTGGCGAGCTATCACCCGCGATAATGCCATCCTGGTTGACAACAGTAGCGGCAGCATTGGCGGCTGGATAAGGCGGTGGCGGTTGATTATGATGCTTGAATTGCACTGGTACCGCTTTGACAGCATTACCCGCGGCTTCGACTCGACTGTGAATAGCTTGTGCCGCGTGTGTCATACTGGCAAACGGGAAAGGTCCATTGTAACTTGGCGTCCTCGGTGATGCACTACTGGTACTTGGAACCTGAAGACTCGTACTGCCACTGGTACCGCTCACCGTGCTTGGTTGAGCATTCTTTGTAAGAAACGCTGGAATTGGATCACAGTCTGTGGGCGCGACCACGTTCGGCGAACGGAATGGTGGTGGCTTTTCTGACGATGGACCTACACACACACATATATGTATTTAGCAAAATATTTAAAATAAAGGCAAATGAGAACTGGTAAAAACCGTGTATAAGTACCAGCTGCAATGATTTGAGCGACATTATGAAGTGTCGACGAGATGCTGGCAGTCGCTGCGTTGCTAGGTCCAGGCACAGAAGTAGCATTACTGTCTAAACTAGTTGCATTATTGCTGGAATCACTTTGGGATTCTTTGCTTCCATTTTCTTGTGACGCTGGCCCTGAGTGCAGCACTATCTCTTGCGTTTCCCCGCCATATCGTCCAGCTATCCTTAGTGAGATCACCTATTGACAAATTAGAAACATTTGGTAAGTAATCAGTAAATTAATAAAGGTTAAGGACAAAAAAAATAGGATTATACCTGATCTCCTTCTACTTGAACAGAAAGTATACCGAGCTGTGTGAGGGTGGCAGAACCTTGGGCTGCCAGCTCTCGTAACTTCAAAGCAGCTTCTTTGGGTATCGAAAATGTTACCCGCACTGAATTCCATGGTTCTACTTTATCAACTCTTAGCTCTTGTTCCTTATCTACAAGGAAATAAAATCATTTATCATTAATCCAAATTGTGAGATTATAAAAGTTCGCTAGCTTTTTAAACTGTTTGTTTACCTTTGCAGACAAGGACTTTGAGACGGTCAACAATAACTTTGAATTTTTCTGGAAAATCTGGATCTTGTATGTCTCCCTCACACGTTACCACTGTTTCAATTAGATCACCATCACTATCAGCCGCCATTTCTAAAAACAGACGAAAGATTCATAACTTGTTAAAAAAATAGATAGGTTAAGTTTGGTGATCAACAAGATTTTGAACAACTGGATTTGACTGACAATTACAACATAAAATTAGAATGAAAAAGCAGAAAATACTTACCAACAATTAATCACATAACTACCCAAGTAACCTGGGAACACCTTAGGGTACAGTGAAATCTCTGCGTAGCAAAATGCTGCCTTTATAATTTGAAAGCAAACATTCTAAATCCATCCAGTGTCACATATCTATCAATTCTGCTTCCTACAATAATTACAACATGGTGATTAGCTAATTAATATACAATGTTGAAAAATAAATAAGTGAGTGATAATTGTGATATTATTAACTATACTGAACATATTCATTCTTCATTCACACATACTTTGTTATAAGGAAATAAATAAAGAGTCTACTACAATTAACCTCAAGACATAGAGTCAAAATGAATTCTCTTTTCCATTTACACACTAGAGCCATGATCATAGCATAATGACCAACAATTTTTTGAATACTGGTCAAGCAATAACTAAGAACAACTTCTGCATGTTAATAATCAATTCATCAAATGAAATAAGATAACAGCCCTGAGAAAAAGTAAATAAACTACCACTACTGGCAGCAATATTTCCTTGGCTCTCTTATCAAGCATACTTTTTTTTCTTCCTCTTTCTTATTCATTCACACACTCTCTCTTCATTGCACAAGGAAATATCAGCACTATTTCTAAGAAGCCATCAGATTCAAGGCTTGATGCACTATAATTAAGCCATCCATACATCCTGCACACCGACTTCTCTAGAGAACCAAGCAAACCTCCCTGTCAAGAGCCTGGGTTGACGATTGAAGAATGACCTAACCAAAATACGGAGCAAAAACAATGAGCATATTTATCGATGAAATACCGTTTACATCTGTTAGCAAGTTAATATCACGCAAACACATTGCACAGACACCCGGTTGTAACTCTCGCGCGGGTGCTTGCATATGCAGCGGCAGCGGTTGCGGCGGCGGCGCGCATGTACACCGACGCACTCTTACACACATACACAGACAGGCAGCAGCAGCAGGCACTGAGGAGAGCTGAGCGCGGGCCACCATTTTGTCCCGTCGGGGGAGGTGCGCGTAAAACCTCATGTCCAGGCTTTAAGCCGTAACATTTGACACATACACACACCGTACACACCAGAGAGCTATGCCCGATCTATCGATATATTCAGCGGCAATTACCCCATTATGTCCCGGCGATGCTGCCGCTCGCGCTCAGTCGAGTATGCCGCTCTCACTCTCTCTCCACCGTCTGTGTTGATCTTTCCACCTGGAGAGAGAGAGAGTGAGTCGAACGCGCGACTCGGCACGACTGCACGTCAACGAGCTTTCTGCGTGCGAAAATAGGGAGAAACAGCAATTGACCAGGATGGTTTATTCAAGCGACGACGTAGTCTCCGTCGTCGCGGATCGGAGATGGGGGTGGCTGGATAGTGGCGGCGCTGCTGAGAGTTCAGCGAGTTTTTGCCTTGCTCTCTCGTTCGCTTCTTGGTGTCTGAAGAGAACCGCTGCGAGCGCGGTGTAACACACACGAGACACAAGTTACTTGCGGTCCTAACGACAACTCCGCGAATCTCGTTTGCTCTTGGCCATGTTATCGCGGCGCGACCAAACGATGCACCACGACACACGAGCAGGCGGACTAGCACTCGTAAAACGCCATGGACAATAACAAGGTGCCGCCATTTGCAATGCGGCCAACTGACATGCGCAAATCAATCGCGCGGGGCACCACGGGAGATTGCTCGCATGCGGGACAAGGACGGACTATCGAATATTCTCTAAGAAAGCGCCTGCGAGAAAGAGATAGATTATGTAGATCGTGCTGGTTGGGATAAAGATTGAGGTGACGCCTTGTGGCGATTTCTGCAGATCGGAAAGACCGAATATGTGTTATACATATCTGTGGGTTGCACGAGGGTCGAGGATGAGGATGTAACAGAAAGACCATCCTCGTCGTCCGATTAGTTATAATGGTTACCGAACTTTTTTTGTATGATAGTTTGCTTGGATCATTCTATTCGAGCTATAGCCTTTACGTACCTTTGCGAGTGTGCAAGCTCTTGGCTTTTTATTTTTTATTGTTTCTTCAATTTTGTTCATGATTCGAGTGTCGATTTTTGATACAATTTTGATTTGTTGGAAATGGATCATCTGAACGGTAATCACACAAGGAATTGCATATAAGCTTTATTTCCATAATAATGACAAGCCATTTCTAACTTAAATAACATTGTCGTCAATTCTTGATTAAAATATAATTAGAAATAAATACATATGTACGTACGTATGTATGTATGTGTGCATATATATCATTCATTTCAAAAATGGAGTGATATTAAAATCTAAGTTTTAAAAACCATAACACAAGTTTTTAAAGTACCTGAAATATTAATTCTATTGTATACAGTCTATTGCATACCATTTTATATCATTTTATACAGTTTTGATCATCTTATACGCATGCAGAAATATTTATAATTTCAACTTTATCACAATTTTAAACTTAATGAATAATAAATCCTTAAAAAATCAAAAAATTAAAAAATAAACTAAAAATTTGGACTGGGTCACAGAACCAACAAACGATCGTCACAAGTATTTCACTACAGAGACAAATACTTATATCGGTGTGAACTGATACCGAGGGGGCTCGATCGTTTCATGGAACCGCCGTCTTGCTTGAGGATACCTTTCTCAACGTTTCTTTTACGTTTGCGGTTATTTCGGAATTTTTTTAATATTTTGTACTTTTTTCTTCTGGATAGAGTATTTTTATTGAAATAATTGATGGTACCTTTCGTATGATAGTTTTGTTTTATCGAGAGGAAAATAAAAATGATTTCAATACTAAATTACTTTTCTATTTAATTTGTAAAAATAAAAAGAAATGTCAACTGAACTCATCAAAATAATTAATATGAAGGGATCTGAAGTGTGATAATCCAAGTCAAAGTAAAAATGAAACAAAGTATGACTAGAAATTCAAATTATTATAAATCAATCTTTTATTATGAAATTTGTGATTCTATCAAATAAAAGTTCAAGACAAAATGTCTCCCATAGATGTTTATTACATAATTAACTTAAGAGATTTAATTTTTCACTATTCAAAAATTACAATTCAAAGCTTTTACATCACATATGGAATAAAAAATTGGAATCTTGAATAGTTGTATAATAATTACTATATACATTCCAATAAATGAATTTATTAATAATTTCGTTCGCCTGGTTTGCAAGATTGCAAAAGACCTGCTTCACACATGACTTTTAGGTGCTTGATGGGATCATAAGTCCTATAAAGTATTAAGTTATAAATTTTTATTCAAGATTGCATATATTTTGAGCAAAATTTGTGTCATACTTATAGAAATTAGCATAAGCTGCTTTCTTTGGGTCCATTACAATCAACTTCCATGCAAGTCCTGTTACAATAGAAGCAATCATAGCTCCAATCAAACCTTTCTTGATATTAGCTTCCAAGAGTCGCCTCATTTGCGGCTTTGCAATTGTTCCAGCCATCTATAAATTTTAACTTATATCTAATGTAATTGTTGATTTGAAAATTTCTATTATCATGTAAACTAAGAACTTTATTTGACAAATTGTTATGATAGTTTGTTATAATTATGGCATTTAACTAATTAACAAAGGAAATGAGGAAAAAAATATTTATTTATTTATCAATTCAAGTCAATATATTCTCTAGTTTATTGACTAAGGAAAGCTGCTAACTCAGAGGATAAACCTGTTGTTTATGTAGAATTGGATACATATATATACTACTTAAAAATTAATATTGAAAACAAAAATCTCACGATTAAATATAACATTAGAATGAAATTCCTTTTTATTATATACACACATACGCACACACATGTAGATATGTTTATGAATACATGAAAGTATATAAAACTGAATAGGTGTAGTAAGCAACCAAAGATCAATACATATGAATAAAAATTATAAAATTATAAAAGAACAGTCACTAATCACGAACATCTGATCGAACATTCCACAATAACTTTTTAGGAAACGTTTATACATTTGATATAAAGTATACTAATTAGGAGCAGTTGATAGAACCTCAAAAATAAATTACGTAATAACTTTTCTGCTAATATAATTTAATAGAATTTTTCGAACATTAGTGAATAAAAAGCGAAAATTTAGTGCAGTAAGAAACTTACTTTTGGTACGAGAAACAAATTATTTGTAAGAATTAATCAGAGCTGGAAAAATCTACTGTGCAGAAAGCAGATATGCTCATATGAAGAACGACATTCACACCCCCATGTGTGCCAACTCTTCGAAGTAAAAAACTTGAAGTTGCCTTATGAAATAGAGTGCTTCTCTCGATTCTTAAAAAATCGATGAGAAATTTAACTGCGTAAAAGATTGCAGGGTGCCTATTCTGAAAAAAAATTTTAGCACGGGGCCTATTCTGAAAAAAAATTTTAGCACATGTCATAAGCATTTATCACATCTAAAGTGATTAATTCTGTGGTAAACTGAAGTGACAAACTGATTTACCACAAAATTTTTTTTCAGAATAGGACCCCAGGTACATAGTATAACTAGATTTAGGTATTCACTGGTATAAATATTATAAATTATTATTGATTATAACTATAATAGCAAAAGTCATCAAAACATCTTAAATAATTCTATTAATTTATTATTTTTTAGACGCTTGAACTTGAAAAAATGTGTAATAATTTCAATAACTCAGCCATGTTCACTGCTCTAACATTAATTTACAAACCGCGAAGTTTAAAATCCGAATTATTTTCAACGACTGAACATTGATGACACCAAACGAGGTTAGCTCAAAGGCTTATTTTATTGACAAGTTGTGCTCTCGCAACTTGATATAACAAACCAATATCATATTTTAAAAGAAAAAATTATAGTACTAACATTACTTGATCTAAATAAGGTAACTTATTAAGAAATCACGTAATTGTTTAAATCAGGTTTTGCAAATTTTTCAAAATATTTTTTATTACGTAATTATGTTTATAAAATAAACGTAATGAAGATAAAAAACTTAAATAATAATTAATTACAATTTGTAATTTTTACATTTTTGTAAATGAAATATAATTTATATGATAACTGTACATTGAAAAAATATAACCAGTCATAAAAGTTTACATATCATCCCAAACAGCAACACTATCCCTTGCAATAGCACGATTATCTCTTCGAACTTTGCCACAAGTGCTTGCTTTTTTCAAATTCCGCCTATTTTGAACTTTCTTTTCTCGCTTCATCATTTCTACTTTTATTCTCTTCTTGACTAAATCATCTGGTATGATTGTTGATGCTGTACTCATCATGTCAGTTGTTGATTCAGCATAGTAAGAATCAGTTTCATCTGAATCGTTATCCTTATTTTTTTTGTCACTACAAGAAACTTTTTTCTGTGCATCCTGCAAACTAATTGGTATCAGTTCAGGTACTGCTGACTGGACTTCTTCCTTATAATTTTGAACATTAGATTTTATACTTCCATCTGTCTTTATTTCAACATTCAATTTTGAAACTTTCTGTTCCAATTCTTCAACACTTTCTTCCTTGTCACTATCTGCCTTATCTTCCTCATCTTCAGTGTTAGAATAATATTCTTCTCCTTTTATTGGTTGATAATCTTCATCGTCACTCAATACTGGATCATCAAAACTAACCTTTGAAATTTCTTCTTTCTTGCATTCTTTCATGACTTTCTTGAAAACTGGATACCTTTCGCTTTCATAATCGAAGCGCCTTCTAAAAAACTCTCGAATACATTGAACATCTCGATCAAAGTACATCTCAGCTTCTTCATGATCAGTTGGTATCATTTGTGGAAAATCAATTATAATTGGTTTCTCATCTGGAGTGAGCATAATATTGAATTCATTGAAATCACCATGAATAACACCACAGTGAGCCAATTTACACATGATGTTCATTAGATCATCGTAAAGTCTTTCTTTGTTTTGAATTTCATGAACATTGCATAGTGGTACACCATCAATCAGCTCCATAATAATACAATGCCTATTTATGTCAATTGGTTTAGGAACAGGAAAACCCCTCCTTTCCAATTCCCTCATAAAAGCAAATTCTTTTGTAGCAGACATTCTTGACATATACAACCAGGACATGTGTTTTCTATGTTGGTGGTAGTATCGCTTATTCTTTACATTTCTAAAGCAAGTCCTACCCAATCTGTGCAGCTTCAATACATAATGTTCCTCATTGTTTTTGGAAACCACATAAATGTTGGATTCTTTACCCACGCCAATCTGATTGCCAAAACGATCAATCAAATTCCTTGCAGTAAATGTCTTCAATGCCAAGTAATCGTAACCAGTATTTGTCAACCTATAACCGTTGTATTTTTTATCCTGTTCGTAGCCAATTAGTCGGTGCTTCACCAACTCCTTAAGAATCTTGTGCAATCCACCGTGGTGAAGATTCGCGATTTGTGCCACGAGAACGTCAGGTACCAATTCGTGATTTTTCATACCCATTTCTATGGCTGTTAAAACACGAAAGTCCTCTTTACTGAGGTAGCGCAACATCTTCACGTCCAACTTGCCCATGATTGTAGTTTATTTGACACTCACGATTATTTTGTACTTCAAGAATTAACGTGAAAGAGATTTATAAACAAAATAACCTCAAATGCAATCATCACTGTGTGACGAGTACGCCGTTCTATTCTGTTTGCGTTTGATTGGCTCTAATGTGCTATATTGTACGGGGTACGGCCATCAACTGACTTCGTGCACTGATTCGCAGATGACTAAGTTGGCGCTTTATTTGAGAAGAATATAATGAAAGAAGGATAAAGGCGAGCAAGTTTTATTTACTGAAAAGGGAGGAAAAAAGAGTTGAGAGAAGATTGGAGGTAGATTAGTTTGTACAATAGTTACATAGTAGCGTTAAAGAAGCATTTCTGAATTTCTAAGAAATTTACATAAAAGATCTGAGATGAGTGGTTGTGGTTCTAAAAGAAATTGGGAAACGGTGTAAAGCCCTGGTCCCATAGGTACATACGTACGGATGCTGACGGATACGGACGCGAATCGCAACTCTAGTAACATCACTAAAAATATCTAGTTCGATTATTTAGTATCAACACTACCGGTAGTGAGCAAAAGTGACTGTTGTTTAAAATTGTAGCGCCGAACGTACCACATTTAATGAACGTCTATCTAACCTTTACATTATTGCAGTCTATAAGATGGCAAATGATAGAGAATTGATAGACTTTCAACTACAATTAGTGGAATTAGGCCTTAATTTTATGGAAGTACTTGAATATATGAGAAGAAGAAGAAAATATATATAAATGATATGTATTAATCATCCCAAAAACTTTTTTTTACATTAGCATACTCATCAATAAGCAATTTTCATGAAAATTTGAAAAGTAAATTGTAGACCTGACATTTGAACATTAAATGTGGTACGTTCGGCGCTACAGTTTTAAAAAACAGTCACTTTTACTCACTACCGGTAGTGTTTGGTATTAAATAATCGAACTAGATATTTTTAGTGATGTTACTACAGTTGCGATTCGCGTCCGTATCCGTCCGCATCCGTACGTACATACCTATGGGACCGGGACCTAAGGATTTTTATTTTTTGAGTTTGGATAGTAGTACTTTTCATTGTTCATCAAACCAAAAAATTTCGTGTTCACAAAATCAAAAAATGTGATTTAGGTTTTCTATGTCCAAGTCGCATGCACATAATGGAGGATCTACTACATTTTTTTCTATGAAGGCTAAAAGCTAAGTTATAATGATTGGTCTTCATTCGTGTAATGGATACTACTATCTGTGTTCTGCACAGGTATTTGTTAAAGAACCAAGGTTTTGATGTTTTATCAAAATAATTTGGAAAATATTATACTCCTTTGTTAATATCGGTATTTATAAAATAATCGAAGAAACGTTCTTTGCAACGCTCATTAGTGAATTACTTAGTCATCGTACGGTAAAAAAAGGGATGAAGATGAACTTATACCTATATTGCTTTTTTGGCGAGATCATTGCCAGATTATTTTGGAGTAATTCTAAAAGTCTAAGTTTTATTCTAAATAGAGTAATGTAAGAGGAGTCAATCATAGAGGTACTTCGTGAGACGGATATAAGAGAGCTTAAAGAGTCAGTAAATATTATGGTTTTGTTTATTTTCTGAAGTATGATGGTTTCTAAAGTTAGTTAAGAACTATAAATTGCTAAACCATCGTAAAGCTCAGAACCTTTTTACGAACCATTAGATTAAAAAGATGTGTAAGAGATTAGAAGGTCGTGAAACTGTCAACTGAATTTGTTCTCCGGGTTTTCGGCTTTGGCAATGGTAAAGCCTTTATCAAGGGTTATAGATGCTTGTATTTGTTGAGCTTCGAGAGAGAAAATATAACAGAGAGGAATAGGGCTAGAATATGGTTTTTTTCGGAATGGTTTAAGAAGAGAAACGGTGCGTAAACATCTAGGAGAGCTATTGTTTAATCAATCAGCCAGATGATATTGTATGGCTGAAATATTAAGATGGCTATATAGTAATTGTTCTTTTGAACTACGGGGAATGCAACAAAGGCCATAATCAATAGTAGCTGAGATGATTGCATTATAAATTAACAACAAAGTCTTAGAATGCTACCTCACCAAATAGTGCACAGTGATCTGATAATATTTTGCCAGCCGAAATTTTACCAATCAAATGTTTTATATGAGTAGACCACGAGAGATTTTTGTCTAGCGTCATATCGAAAAATTTGGTACTAGAAAATACCGGTATTTGAAGTGAATCTACTGATAATGACAAATCTGAAAGATGACTGACCTTGTTAGTGTGGATAACTATTTTAGTTTTTTCGAGCGATAACGAGAGACCTATATACTCCTAAGAGATAAGTTGACTCTAAATAAATTATACGTTCTAAGGTCAGAAGAGCGATTGTAGGATCTGATGTCGAGGTTGCAGTAAGTACTATGACTTCAGCAAATTATATAAACATTCACAATCGATGAGAATGAGTATAAGTTGATTCATTAAGTACTTATACTATATAAAGTTAGGCTAGAAACGCATCCTTGCGGTACGCTTTTTCTCGTTGTAAAGGGGCCAAAAAGGTTTCCATTGATTTAAAAATAAATAGGTCTTTCTGATGTAAGGTTGCTGTAAAATTTTTAAAACATAGAAGTTTTGAAAGACCTATATCCTTTAATAGATAAACTAATAATAGTATTCCATCCATACTTAAGAGAATGTACCCGAAGAGTAAATTTCGTTAAAGGAATTTAATAGTTCTCATAATACTTTGTCTGGTAAATTATACAGAATACGATAATCTATCTAATCAAAGTCTGGAACAGAATTTAATCTGTTTGAGCACGATTCTACAGCAGACTTGATTTCTAAAAAGGTAAATGGTTTATTGAAATGATAAAGGATTGGTTCGGAATCAATAAATGTGTTAGGGAAGTTATCCGGAGTACAGGAACTTGAACAGACGGAATCGATCATGATTTCTTGAGCTTTTCATGTTTAAAATGTTGTTATGTGCTTGGTTGGCTCCTGACGGTGACAGAATTTTTTAATAGTTTAAAATATAGCTGTAATAGGGGCTAATGGTTTCACAAAATTTCAAGAAAACTGAGGCTTTTATCTGTTTAAATACATGTTTGACATGCCTTTTTGCAATTATAAGTTCATCAATTAATCTTGGATCGTAACGAAACATTTTTAAGACATTTTCGCTCAATTTATTAGCTTTTTCGCAGTCAATATCTCACCAAGGAACATTACTGATATGCGGCTTCTTCCTTTCAGTACGCCGAAATAGGTGAGATTGTCGACCAGAAAAAAATATGTGTTCAACAACTTGTTTAATAATGTCTATAATATGAGAGTATTTATCATAAGCACTGTTGGGTGTAAATTCGAAAGAAAAGTTTTCTAAATAATTGCAAAAAGGTAGCTAATCAGGTTTTTTGAATTTTTTAAGATTGTATCTCAAATTTGACGACGATTGTCAGGAAGGACGGGAAATGAATAAATATATTTAAAAAAAAAACCCAAATATAGGGCTTCAGCATCATACGAGCGACACAATAGCCACCACCACCAGAGTCAGAACTAAAACTGACTCACTAGTGCGCTTTTACGATGGTTCAGGCCCTTAGGGTTCAGTCGACTCTATCTTCGTTGGTTGTATGGTGGCTCTATCACAGCATCGGAGTTTTTCGTTTTCAGGTTTCAGGATCAGGCCGATTAGGTTTTTATACCTCATCGACTCTGAAAAAATGGGTTGGTAATATGTAGTGTTAATACTAACTACTAATAATAGTTATAAAGTTAATGAAACTAATAAAATAACTTTATTATATTTTTATTTTATGATCAAAAGCAGAATCAAATAAATAAATCAATATATGTAGTTAAATTAATCGCTCATTGCTTTCTACTCCAATTTACAAACTTTTTGCATGGTATTATGATTAATCTGGACAATATTTTAGTGGTAACTGTTGACTAAAAATTTGAATATTTGTTATACTTTATTAAAATATCTAGTTGTATATTACGTTGTCACATATATTGGTGCGCGCGCAACCAACACTATAAAACATTTAAATTCGTCCGGCGTTGGCAGACTTCCATGAGCGTGTCGATGGCACCACTGTCTGGACAAGTCCGCTTGGCTCATGCGCGAGTTCGTCATGGCGGGCAATTGTAATCGGCCTTTCAACCGCGAAACACATGGATTTCGACAGGCAACGGGTTTCCAGGAAATAAGACGCAAAAAAACGTATTGCGCAACCGGGTCTTCTCTTCGTTAACTTCGGTCCGTTTTCTACCGTTCAAAAAAGGTGTGTCGAGTGCTGAGTAAGTGTGAGTCTGAAGGCAATTACGCCTGGCTGTTACAGCCTTCTTTGTACGTAAGCGGATGAAAGCCCGACGCACAAGACTTTACCCTCTCGGGTATCATCGTCCTTGCGGCATTCTTAAGGAGGCTCATACGAGCCTTTGGTGATCACCCTCTCGGGTATCATCGCCCTTGCGGCATTCAAGGGAGTCTCACACGAGCTCCTGTGAGATCAAATTCCTCAAATCCTTTGTACGTGCGTGCGAGTCAGCTGATTTCGCGAGCGAGCACCGTCTGGTCGTGCGAATTCCGGCGCCGCGTGTTAACAGTCAATCGAGAGATTTGTTCTTGTTTTCTCATTGCGATTAAGTGCGTACGATTCATTTCAACTTTAATTTATTTATCAATAAATTTGAGTTTTTTTATGCATCTAGGCTTTTTTCCCAAAAAAGTGTTTTTATTAACCCTTTCTAATTATCATTAAATCCGTTAAAAATTTCAAACTAATAACAAAAACGAATTTCACACATGCATGCTACCTAAGGCATTATGTGTTAAATGACAAAACATTGTATTTAAGTGGGTTTAATCATTTTGAGGTTATGTTAAGCATTTGTCATTTCAAGTTGCAGTAGCAGAAAATCCACTAGAAATTGTTTGTCGCATACGATTTTCGTGCCTATTGGAGAATCAGCGTTATTATTGATACGAATGCAATCGCCATATTTATATTCTTTCATTTCCCAATATTTTTATGGAATCCCTATAAATAATATGTTAAGCATTTACATATAATAATGAATTTCCTCATGGAAAAAAGTTAAGTGACTTTTATACTAATGTGGAGAAAACCACGCGGTATTTTTATTTAAACCCCTTTTTTAATAGACTTTCATCCATTCTATTTATAGACACGCGCACACGTGTGTGCGAGTGATCAGCAATCGCCACAAAATAACCGCAGGGTATTGGAACACGAACGGCTACGCATCACTTTTAGATTCCTATCTTTTATTCAAGTGGTGTAATAACGTAAATAGCAATAGAATATTCATTAATCCAAGCTCGTTTACCTCACGTCACAATTGTGATAGACGTCCACCCGGCGGGGAGAGTGCGATGTGATGTTTGAATCTTTTACTCTTGATACACATAGCGATGTATGATTTTTGCATAGTAAAACAATAAAAATGAAGATATGAAATTGAACATGTAGAAAATGATTTCTCACGAGAGGTTAGTTAAAACATATAATCATTTACATAAAAAAAACTGACTGCTATATTATCTTACCGGGGTATCAAAAATAAACACCATTCGTCATTCTTACGTATTCGTAGTTTTACGACCTTCTGAAAGAAAACATTCTAAAATTGATATTACATCAATCGCAAAGAAAATGGAAAGCTGCGGGAAAAATGAAAAGTTAAACTCGTCCATTTATTTATAAATTCAGCCAGCGCAGCAATTGAACGCAAATTACAGACTCCGTTCGTATCGACCGCATTCATCGCGACTAGCAATTGTCTCCCTTCTTTCTCTCTCCCCACTCTTTACATGTCTTACCGCGATACATGCGCATAGCTGACTCACGTATGTGCGTCGTTGGATCTATCCAAGTCTAGTACGCGATGACTTTTCGTAGCGTGTATAGTGTGTACTAAGTAGTTCTATACTTATGTATTTTTTGTTTGCTAGTGTATGTTCCGTCGATGATAATTATCTAGAGCATCCCTTATACAGACGGGAGTGCAGATGCACTCGAAAAACTTGCGCGATAGGATAGTAATAGGCACATACTGTGTGTGTAATCAGCAGTAAAGAGTGAATGCAGTTTTTGTTCTCTCACTCTCTTCCGCTGTGGAGCTGGGTCGGATAGCAATTGCATTGGAAGGCCAGGATTCAGGTAAGCAAAAAGCACAGCTACCTAGATTATGTAAAGATCTCTCGCGATCCACTGTAAGATTTTCTGTAAACTAGGTTGGAAGGAAAGTGCAATAAGTGTATTATTATTATTATTTTTATTATTATTCTTACAGGTATATAAACTGCCTCTGTCTAGTGTAACCGCTGGTGTTTTTTTTCTTTAGGGGAAGAGTCTTGGCTTGCTTTGAGTCAATGAGCTTTTGGTTTTTCCCTTATGGAAGCTCTTGATTATTTGAATAACATTGTCTTTGTCAGGCATCAATTCTACTAATTAGAGTCCATTGGGGAATCCTTATCTACATGATAATTACAAATCTTTGCTTGATTTTTTGCATTAACTATAATAAATTTGGTTATTTTGTTTTTTGCTACATTGTTATATTTCAATATTCTTTAACAACAGATTGCTAGAGTTCAATTGTTTTATCTTATAGTAGCATTCTAGTGATAAATGTGGTTGGTGACAATCGTGTATTTTTAATTCTTTGCTCTCAATTTATCTCAAGAATCATCATATGGATTATTTATTCCACTGTGACTGTTCAACGCTAATGAATTTGCTTTGCTTTGCTTTTATGGGTCAAAAACTACGGTTCACGTGTCAATTATTGATATTGTCAGTTGTCAGTTATTGACACCTTGACATTATAGATATGATAATTTACTTAACAACAAATTGTTTCTAGCTGAGAGATATCACTTAACACAGGTTTATTCATCATTAATCTGTCATTTGTATAAAATGCTCTACAATGATATTTGAATGTGTTTCATCATTATCAGTATGGTTCCGAAAAGCTCTTTGATGGACACAATATAAAGCCTGATATAAGCATTCAATTGACATTGTCACACATGGAAAAATATTTTTTTTGATGTTTTATCAGTTAAAATGTCCATCTGTATTTTTCCACCTAGATACAAGTGTCAATGATGTAATGATTGATTGATCTAGGTTGGATGTGACTGATATAATGTCAATCATCCTTAAATTTGGTACTCATGGAACTAGTTCATTCTGCTTTTAGATGCAAGAAAATACTTTCTGAGCTTCAGAATTAGAATCTAGGACAATAATGCTGGAACATATCATCCTTGCCACATCATTAAAAATTATCTTACATACATAATAAATGATTCTATAAATAAGAAAATTGATTATTATTTTAAATAATGACCAGTTGCACCACCTTGCCTCACACCCTACTTATTCTGGTGTGCACCAAAAAACTTGGCATAAGAATTTCTCAAAAATAACATTTAAAGGCGTATAGATAAGAAAGAGAGCTTGGATATGAGACGGGTTTGAAATAATGCCAATAGCTTATATTTTGGAATATTTATATTCATGCAACGAACGTGCACGCCGACAATAGTTGGAAGCTTGCACGGTTTTCAACGCGTCAGTTGGAACACGAGCAATCCTGTGTAAAACTACTTCAACCTTCATTTTAATAGTCCGTAATTACACTACGCGTACACGACTGCGTCTCATCAATCGACATTTCGAGCGTTACAAAAATTCACTTTCGTCCTGCTTATATGTAAAACCGCTAATTGTTTCATACATACACACACACACACACACACACACACACACACACACACACACACACACACACACACACACACACACACACACACACAATGACTCGGTACGCGTTGACAAACGTCAAACGCGAAATTTCCTATTGGTCGTGCGGTAAGTAGTTATGGCATTTTGAAGATAAAACAATGTCGAATCCGACAGCTCCATTACATTGAAAATTGTAAAAATGCTCTTGGAAATTTATCGACTAGTCTAATTGATCGCTCGCACTTTTTCACTCTCCGCATACATAAGTATACATGCCCTTACGGTTAAACTGAGTCTAAATATACTACGTCACGCTTGCTGACGGCCGGGAAAATTGCAGCTGCGCGAAATAATGTCAAATGAATTTTATATTAATGACATGCGTGGCAAATGTTATTTTCCCTCTTTGTTTAAGCGGACGAAGTTGTTTTTTCTTATTGTTGTGAAGAAAATACATTCATCGAAAATTCACTTCGACGATAAAAAAAAAAATACATTATCGCGAAAGATAGTTCTGAAGTTTATTAACTGATAAGCTTTGATTTGTTTTTTCCATTATTATCATCAGCTCAGGCGAGATAACATAGCGAGAGAAGCGTTATACAGCGAAATTTTAGCTCACGACAGGACGCTTTTTTTGCTTTCAGAGGGCTGCATAATTGCAGTCGTGCAGCGGCCTCGCGAACATCATGGATCGAATGATCACCTTGAGCACGCAGAATCCACTGACGTTGCTTCTTAAGTTTGGTATGATGGCTTGGAACAACACCTGCGCCATCGAGAACTGCTCGGGACACGGCGAGTGCCATAACGGTACATGCTTGTGCGAGGTACTTACATTTTTTTGTACTTATACTCATTCATCGAACCATCACATGTGAGGCTTCTTCCTTAATTTTCTTTTTTTTTTCAAATTACGATGGTTCGCGGTCACTTTGAAAAACGATGCGTTTGACAGTTGTATCTGACAATCTAATTCGGTACAACGATGTTTTAACAAGATTACAATGCACACAGCATATTCGCTCTATTAGATTGACACTGTGCGCAAGCTTGTTAGATGCCAGTGTCTGCCGCATTTCTCCTTTTTGTTTTATGGATGTTATGAAAGTAAAAAAAAAATATGAAATCATCATTTGAGGAAACGCATACTGTAAAATACTGTGTGTCTATCTTATGCTCGTTTATACTTGAACAATATTTTTCTTGAGACGGAAGCGAATATTTATTTATCATTGACTTTACTTGAATATCTCCTCTTGAAAGAATAAAATAAACGCGTACGGCAAAACAATAAGAATCGTTAACTTGCTTAAAGAAAAAAAAACAAATAGGATAAAAAGATTGTATCTCGGATTTCGAGTGCATTTTTTCAAATTCCAAGTTATAATAGTCAAAGACACATAAAATAAATATGCAGTGATAAGTCGATACATAATGACTTTTGCAGATTCAATACGACGGTCCAGGCTGCCACGTGCCGAACTCCAGCTATTACATGGCGTTCGCGACGATATTCTTCATACTGGCGTTCGTGTGCCTCACACAGTTGGTTATGTGTGTAATTGCCGAATGGCGAAAGATGAAAGCACCGTCGTTTCTGAGAGCTTGCCGGGTGACCACGCAAAAAGTGCTCTACTTCGTCGTCTTTCTCGCGTCTCTCATCAGGGGTGCTTACTTCACGTCTCCGGTAAGCGACAATTCTCGTTTAACCCTTCGTCCGAAAATTCGTTATGCATACATCAATCTTACTTTTTCATCGTTTTGCAGACGTCATTCCAAGCACCGTGGTCCAAAAGCCTCATGTCGGCGTATTATCCACTGATGTTGAGTGGCGCATCTCTTATCGTGTGTTTCTGGGCCGAGGTGTTTCATCTACCCGACATACGCACAGACAAGCCACAATTTCTCTCCAAGTCGTACCTAGCATTTGTTGTTTTCAACTTTCTCACCTTCTCTCTTTTAATCCTCGAAGTGGTAACCTCACAATACAATGCACAAGATGAGGATGATCAGGTATTTACTTTCGTCGCTCAAACTTAGTCAACTTTTTAACTACGAGCTATTGTTCGTTTGTTTTCTCTTCGCGCAGGCTTTCTACACACATGTCTTCAACGGCTGTTACGCCGTACTGCTCTTCATCGTCGTCATACTCTTCCTCATTTACGGAATCGAAGTATTTTTCAAGGTAACTGATATGTTAGAACTAATCATCTGTAACGTAAGAATATATGTTGTTAATAATATGCACCATAAAAAAAAACAACAGGTTCGTGGAGGATTTTTAAGTGATAGTCAAGTGGCATCAATCGCAACGAATAACAGATTGGACGAAGGCACACGTAGTGATGATGATCCAGTCACTGCGAAACTTTTCGAACCAATACCAAGTACTTCGGCAATGGAACCCACGTTACAACAAGAAGTCAATACTTCACAATTGCATCAGTCGAGATTCGGTTTAATCTCGCAGGCTTTAATGCTATTTATCGTCGTTGGCTTTCTATTTAGCGAAACACTCAGTCAATTTTGGAAAACAAAGTAAGTTTTATTTTAATTGAAGTACGAATTTTTATTTAAATCGAAGTTTAGAATGTTAACTTAGTGTTTTGACTTGTGTACAGAGTACCCTTGTATAGTCGAAACTGGCATGATGTGGTATTTCGAGTTATCGAGGTTGGTGCTGCTCTGTGGTTCCCGTGTGTGCTGTGGAATTGTATGAGGTAAGTTCATTTGGTAAATTACAGCTTTGATGATTCAATTCTAGTATTTACGATTGAAGATAACACGTACATATTAAACACTGCAATTAGTAAGTCACTAGTGACGAACGATGGATTTCATTGTTTTATGTTACGAAAACTCGACGTAATTTGAAATTTTATAATTAACACTCAATATGCTTTTTAAAGCCCTGAACAATTATGGATTTTGAATCCGAAAAGAATTCTCAAGAGACTAGACTTGGATCAAACTAAACATCCTAAGGAAATTGAGCTGCAGGACAAGTCCAAAGCAGCTGAAGCTGAGCGACTTACCGATAATGCTTCAATCAGTAGTAAAGACTGTTGCTGGATTTGTTATGACAGTGATACACAGGACGCCGGTCCTTTAATCCAGCCTTGTCAGTGCAAAGGAGATGTCGGCGTGGTACATCACAATTGTCTTCGTAGATGGCTTGTCGAGGTAATTATGTCTTCTTATCGATATAGTGTTTTTTTCTGTTTGAAATAAAAGATGAGATAGGAAAAATTGCTATGATGCATGGGATAAAAAACCGATGATTCATTCCAGTTTTTATAGTACTTATATGATGAATGGTGATATAATAGTTCAGACAAACATTTTTGTTATCCCACGTAAAAAAATTTTCTCGGAACAAATAAGCGATTCTCTTCTAACCAATTTGATTCTTTATTACTTTTCTACTTATTATACTCTCACACCAGAATCGTATCTTTGTAAATGGTAGCTTCTTTTTGTAATGGATAGATTATGAATTTTTCTTTTTTCGTTTCAGAGCTCAAAAAATTTGGATAGCCTCACATGCAAAGTGTGCGGTACGCAATACAACGTTGAGCATGCAACCAGATTGGATTGGCAGAATGGTTTAACACCGCGACACTGGCTGCATACAATTGGTCTTGTCGTAACGATGTGTGGCTCAGCAGCCGCGGCATGGATAACTATTCAACTCGTCGAAGATCCTTTCATAAGAATGTTGGCTGCTGGTGCAGCACTTCTAATTATATACGTTTGCATAAAGTACGTATCATTTAATTTAAATTACGTAATCTAATTGAAATAATTGTTATGTCACCCATTGAGCCGATTAATTGAAATGATTGTCAGAATAAGAAATATGGTTTATTCATTATACAAATTTAATGAAAAACTAAAAATAAGTTTATTAAATTATTTGTAACGAAAAATTAATTTAATAAACTTAATCTTAGTTTTTAATTAATTAATTAAAAAAAGCTCGAAAATGAAAGTTTTCGAGCTTTTTTATTTAAATTGATTTTAAAAGATTTCATTTGAGTTGTTCAGTTTTAAGAATGGTGTTTAAATGTTAACAATTTTTTAGATGCTTCAGTGTCAACACAGTAGTAGCTTATCAGCGAGCCAAAATATCGTCCTTGAACATCGTCAACGTAGACAATAGCGGAGATACTCAAGTTTCAACGATCAGTCATAGCGTGTCTGTCGAATTGGCAAAGTATTAATATTAATTATATTCCGTTGTCGGAATGCGATAGAAACTATAAAATTTTACGGTTTCTTTTCCATGTATTTCATGGACAGAATTTAACCTTTACGTTAAACATTACGAAAGAATATACTTTATTCCTCTATACAAACTTTTGTGTGTGGCGATTGGTGAGGGCTGTTCAAATAATCTGTTGCATTCTTCACCACTAAGAACGCATATACAAATTGTGCCATGAACTTTTTTTTTCTAAAGCAATAAACGAATGATAAGTTTAATGCGTTATTTCAAAAAGCAAAGACAAAATGAAATTCATAATTTGTTATTCAAATATGAATACAATCTTAATTTTATTTCACATTCATTTGACGATCTATTATTCCATACGGTTCGTCCATCGATTTCAGCATCGTGATGCTATACTTTTAATAAGCAATCAAATGAAAAATTTCGATTTTGTATCGAAAAATAATGTGCAGTGAGGTTTCGTCATTCGCATAATAAATTAAGAAAAGTTTAATATTGTACACATTAACCGCTACATAAATGTAATATTTACATTTTAAGTATTTATTGTCTTGTATAAGGAATTTTGACAATTTATGAACCGTACAATAAAATTTAGTTTTTCTAAAAAACAAGAAAAAAAAACATCAGTCTAACAAGACATTTAAAGTAGTATTTGTAGTCTCAAAAAGGAATTTTAGCGTAATAAGTCAAAAAACGCGATAAGTCAGTCAACCTGATATCTTTACAAATTAGAAATCGAAACAATGAAAAAGATTAATGTGCGATAGTTTTTTTTTTGCGAAAGTATCGAGTCAGTCGTAATATGGTCAATATTGTCGAAGGTAGTAAGTAGCGTTAACATTACCGAACATAGCGTTGGTATAAGAAATACTATTTAACGACGTCTTCTTAACAAGCTTAACTATGTTTGAAGTTAGGTACACATAAATTTTTCCGAAGTAGAAAATGTTAGTTTTATTTATTAAGATTTTACATAAATGACAAAAACACAGAACTTAGATATATATGTAATACTAGAAATAAGTGAGATTCGCGTTTCTTGCTCTTCTTTTTTATACTATCAAATAACTACGTTATAAGTTTTTATACATATATGTTCGAAATTTTTGCAGCGTGGAAAAGAAATTCCAGTTCAAATTATTGATACTTAACGTAATAATATTTTTTATAAGATTCGTTTAATCAAAATGTAAGTTCGATGTCTTTTTGTATGTAATTTTTTAATTACATTGAAAATCGTATAAAAATTTAGTTTTTTTCGTTCGAAAAAATTAAGAATATATTTTTATGAAAAAACGATTATAAAATTCTTATTTGCCTAAATGATTAAGATAGTTATCTATGTATATTTCAAAAAAAAAGAACTGCATTACCTTTCTTAAATACTCTTTTAAGATGAAAATATTTATAATGATGTAAATAACAACTATAATTATCAGTAAACGTAGGACTATGTATTTATAAAAAAAGAAGAGATGATTTTTGCGTTAAACATTAATTATCAAATTACAAAATTTCATTTATAATTATAATAAAAAATGTACACGCTTGCTGTTTTCTCGTCATAATAATCTCATAATAGAATCAAACAAATCAATGTAATTCAATGCATAATGTTCATTTTGTTGAATGCAGTCTGTCGTGCAGAGTGTACATTTGTCTCAAAATTGCTAAAGATAGATTTTAGTCAACTTTCTAGAAACTTCTTAAACTACAATTATTTTATTTTAAGGTCAAATGAATGTCTGTTGTGTTTTAATTAATAAAACGTAAAAACGCAATAGTAGAACATTCACTTTTCTGTTTCTATCTGAAAATTGATTATTGTAAAAAAATTCAAGACAATGAATTTCTTGCCATGAATGTAATACTATCTTATCAGAAATGATTAATTATAAGTATCAAATCTGGTCTAATGTTTAAGATTTTATTGTTATTTTTTACCGATGTGTGAAATAGTTTATTGTCATAATTTACATTGATTATCCCAATTAAGAATTGTATACAAAGCAAAAGAATATTTGTACACATGGAAAAGCCAAGAAAAAATAGGTGATAAGCTGTGATAATGCAATATGTATAAATTAGTAGAGTAAACTTTGAATAAAATTAAAAGATATTCAAAAATATATTAACAAATTTGATTTAATATTTTTTTTGATACTATAAATATATGTGAAAATACCTACATATTAGTGATCAAAGGTGAAATAAAAAAATGGAGTGCATTGTTATTTTTGTATTTTTCAAAAGATATAATTACACTTAAAATTAATATTACAATTCAAACAAATTATTAAATTAAATTTCCAAATTATTTGAGTTCATTTATGTTCACAAAATATTTGTTACATACTCCATACAATCCAATACAGTGTAATTAATACGAAAATTTTTCACGATCCATTGAAAAATAAAAAATAAGTTTTTTTTTTTCAAAAAATATTTTACAATTAATAGAGGGGATAATAAGCTAAAATTGCAATAAGAGAATAAGTAAATAAAAAAATATTTGAATTGTAAAATATGAATTCAAACATAAAAGTTGTTATATTTGAAGGAATTTAAAAAAGGGATGAATCGTTTTAGAAACAGTCCTTCTTCAAGTTTGTTCTTTTTTCTACATTTCTACATATTTACGTTAGTACATAATGCGTGGTTATTTTTTCGGTTGTTATAAATCAATGGATCTGAAAGTTTGAGGTACCTATTTACTCATTAAGACAATTAAGTATGTACGAGAGATACACGTTTACCAATTAAGAGGATAACGGAGTCACAGGAGTCCATATGAAATACATACGGGTACTAGGAATACACAATTACCAAAATTTTTGTAGATTTCATAATTTTTTTGAATTTTCAAATTTCGTAAATATCTGATCCAGCCACCTTAAGTCATTTCGAAGGGTTACTGAGTTGATATTTACAAAAAGTTTAACAATAAATAAATAACGAAATCTAGGAGGTAGATTCCTGTAATGTGCTCCGAGACCCTCTCAAATCGAATATTCAATACTTAGTTTAATATTATAGATATACAAATACAACAGAACTAAAAACGTCGTGTAACTTTATGTTTATTCTCTAAAATTTTTCAAATTTTTTTTTCCTACGGTCATTGGTACTCTTCTCCTTCACGTAATGCACGTTGTTTTAGATGGATTTGATAAGTAGCGTACTCTCCTGTGAAACAATGTGGTGGTTTACATTGTATTCTTAGTTTTTTTCTCTTTGTTGTCAATATTGTAAACTGTTATCGCTTACATTGGGAGTATGTGGTAAATGCACTCGGTGATTTGCTATTTCAACCTATGCTGAAATTGCAAAGCATAGTCAGTAAATATTGCAATGATCAAGTTCTCAACAAAAAAATCACGAGAATAAGTTATTTACCTGCAATGCCGGCAATTGCTTCCGATGCAAAGTATTTGACGTCTACGTCGGTGTCGGTATTAAGTTTGTCTAAAACAGGTTTAACCTGCGACTGTACTGCATTGGGCTTTAGATACGGACCGATCCGCTGGAGTGTCTTGGCAACATTGAATCTTACATTCGCTACATTATCGTTGGCCATTGCCAACACTGTTGGAAGCATTACTTCTGTTGTGATTTCTGGACCACATACTTCTGCTAATACCTGTAATAGCAGATCATATTAGCATATGTATTCTATTCAGTTTTAAAGTGTTTTTAATAAATTATGCTTGCATTAATGCAAAATAGGCAGGTCATCCTGTGAAGATAGTTTTGATCCCTGGACATGGCAAGGACTTTTGGAATAACTGTATTTTGTGCCCACTCTGGGCCGAACTTTTCGACGAGCTTTTTCAGATTCAACGTCGCTGCTTCTCGTATTGCATAAACGTGATCTACCAACCAAGTCATACACAGAGAATTCAACTTTTCATCAAAGAATTCCACGCCTAATTGGCCAGCTAATAGAGGCATATATCTAGAGACGAAGGATGTTCTTAATATTTAATATTTAAAACGTTGAACTGTTTCAAAAGCGAGTGAATTGACTTACTCAATGATTGCCAGTCGTACTCGCCACTTTGAATCCTCGGCCAACTCAACAATCGCTGGCAAAAGAGATTGTGAAAGTTGCTGGATACCAATTACTTCATTTACACAATCTAAATTGCTAATTATGTTTAGACGTACTTCCGGACACTCGTCCTTGAGTTGTGATAGAAATAGGGGTAATAAGTGTTCAATTGTGCTGAAAAAAACAATGGTTAATTTTATGAATTATGTTTAGATTATTTTAATTGTATATTTTCAGCTAGATTCAAAATAATTGTACGTCAACTTCACGTGTATCTATTTTTTTTAGATATTTGCTATTTTTATTCATAAGTATTAGTTAAAACACGGTGCAATATATGACAATCATAAAAATTTAACACACGTAAATTTTGTTTTCAGAATTATTATGTTTCTCAAGATAAAAAAGAATTATTTAAAAATTATTTCAGAAATACTTTAAAAAAATTATATTTGTCATATCAGTCACAATCAAAAATAACATTAATACAATTCTTGAAAAAAAAAATGACTCATTCTATTTAAAGGAAAAAAGGTAATTACTAATCACGCCAATTTACGACAATGAAGCAGTGACGGTTGCAATCTTATAGAATAGTCAATCATTTCGTTATCGTCCATTAATAATCATTGTTGCACTCACACACTAACATAACAACTCTCTCGTTTATCTAACAAGTATATATTATTGTATATACCTGGAAGCACGAACAATGGTCATTTGACCTGAAAATTTTCGTGACTTTCCCGTTGATGAAGCCGTTTTTACAGGCAATTTGTTGCCTGTAAAATGAAAATGAGAAAAACAATTGCCTGATCGAGATCTACAATCGGCCAGTTGGTGGTTGGATCGCGACTGCGAGATGAGCGCCAGCCGAGAGAATGAATATGATCAAGTCTTCCGCGTTACAAAACTTTTTTCGCTGTGAATGCCCTGATACAATAATAGCGGGGAGGGCGATTATTGTTATGACATTCAAGGAGACAATGCGCCGCGCCGTATCTTTGCTAAAAATTCTTTGCGTCACGTGCACATGAGCAACAAGTATTTTTTCTTTGTAACTGCAATGGAACTTATTCTTTTTTCTTCGTTGTCATCATCGTGAATTAATGTATATACATAAAAAAAAACTTCACATTAATGTACAACATTTTTTAAGAAAATTACAATGACGCAACGGTAATTTTTTTTATTTTTATGAAAAAATTAGAAGACAAGAATGCAGTTTATTTCTTTGCATCTCGATATTGATGTAATGTTTAAAAATATGACGTAATCGCGTCGGTTAATAAATTTCAAATTGATTTACGTAATACATTTCTCCGTGACATTTTTTCGCTTATATCGTCGACTTTGATATATATCACTCATATTTTTAATTTAATTGTTAAGGCACTCGCGAAAGATTAATGTACGAATTGAGTGACTATTCAATAATGAAGAATTTCACATGAAAGAAACAGATTTGCAAAAAAGTGTTCATCTTTGATTAATAATATGAACAAGAAAAAATAGATTTTGAGATGCAATAATAACAGCAATAAACTCACTTCTGTTTGCCGAGAATAGGACTAAGTCCCATGATAACGCTAGCAAGCGCAGATTTGACGTGCTGATTGGCATCGGCAACGAGTTCTTTGACAAATGGTAGGATGTTAGCCATAATGATGGTCTCTTGATAGTAAGTATCAAGGTTCTGGCAGAAGTCGCGCACCTTATCGGCAGCAGCGGCTCGAACTTCAGCTTCAGAATCCTTTAGGAGTACTTGGAAAGCTGGTACAAGATCGGTACGAGAAATTTCTGGACCTACAGCACGCTGAAGGTCCGTGAACTTGTCGGCGACCATGTAACGTACTCGCCATGACTGATCGGTTGCACATTGACGCAATGTCGGCATTACCAACTGTTCTACGTCCTCTTGTTGAAGGAGAGTCGCGATACTCACGCAGGCTTCTACTGCTAACAGACGAACTGAGTCCTAAGAATAGAAAATGAATTTGTATGTAGAATCGTTATAAGACATTCCAAGATTATAGCCTACTTGTTCATCCTGTGCAAGAATGACAAACATAGCAATCAAATCAGACTTCAAATATTCATTTTCAACAACTTTGGCAAATTCTCCTAATTTAGCAGCAGCTGAACGACGGACCATAGGTGTATCATCTTGACACAAGTTGCGGAAATGATTTCTTAGTTCAGCTAGAAGAATACAAAAACAAAATATAGACTAATTGATAAAAATAACTTTGACTTCACATAATCCAGTTGAGTCATTGGTACCTTTGATTGCATGGCTAACACGAGGATAACAAACACTGAACAAACCACATGCAGATGTTCTTGAAGTGAACCAGTCACCAGAAGCAAGACGCTGCACTAATGGTACAAAATATTCCTCCATATCTTGTGGAGTGTGTTGACTGGCTATATTGCGCAGTGACTCTACTGCTTTGTCTCGAACAACAGTTTCTTCCACAGTTGCCAAGGATTCTAGGGGAGGCTGCAATTAAAAAACAATTTAGGTGCATGCACTTTCCAAATCTTAGTTAAAATGATTAATACTTACTAATAAACAATGCACATATTCTGGTCCACCAACAAGTGAATTAAATTGTCCTAGTTGTTCAGCAAGTGCTAAAAGAACTTCATCCTCATCGTATATTGTTTCTGTCAAAAAGGGAATGAGTTCTGAGCGAGTCCTTTCCATACCCAGAGCCAGGGCAATGGTTGACAATTTCTTAATGGAATTAAGTCGTAGCTGAAATGGACATTATTAATTAAACTGTCTAATCAATAACAATACAAGTATGATTTTCATATAATCTAATTTATACTTTTCACATATATGGAGCTGCCTGACAGATGTTTGGTGATAATTAAAATAAAATTGAAAAATAGTAGTTTTATGACTAGATTAATCAAAAATTGGTTTATATAATTCATTCTGCATACAGAAATACACAGTAGTTTGTGGTTTGGTATTATTTATTATTATTGCATTAACATATAATTGCATACTAGTCTATGTACTAATACTCATAAATCATATCGAGACAAATGACATAAAACAAAGTAAATAGAAGTACTGATTATGCGAAACAATCCCCCTCAAAATTTTTAATCACTAGTCAACTTTTCCTATTCAATTGAAATATGATCATCATTTCTATCAAACATCAATCTGTCAGAAGGCACGACTATAGGAAAAAGTTGCGAGGTCAATAATTAGAAGTGTATAGCGCAGCATTTCTAATAAATTACTAAATCGGCGAGCCACATGTGTGTACACGCATACATATACACATATAGAGGCGGCAGCGACAGATAGACCGAAATACATGTAGATTGGCAAGTGTACCGGGCGGCGTCTTGCATTAAGGCGAATTCAGCTATAAATCTACTGACCTGGACATCCTCGTTCTTGAGTTCGTCGATGAGGACGGCGATAGGATAGAGGCTATCGTCGGAACTAGCCTCGCTCGTACTCGCTGCTGCCATTTTGTTGCTGCTCTGCTTGCTCTCTCAGCCTAACGATCGAATCGTCGTGCCGCTATGGCTCTCTTTCTCAACCTCTCTCTCTCTCACACTTGTGTGTGTGTGTAGGTATACGTACTTCTATACCCGCCGCTACCTCTCTTTATGTACACGTCGATGCCGCGTCTTTTTTTGGACTTTCCCTAGCCTTATGTTATCACCTTCTTTTGTACGATCTCTTCGTTTATACAATTAAAGCATCATCAAATATAAAGCCGCTGAAGATTTCCCAGCGATCTATATAGCTACTATTTTAAAGTGGATATCGTAGATTGCAGCAGACCGAGGGACCGATTCCATGAATCACTGAGCGCGCAACGTCGTGATCAAAAGTGAGGCGAGTGGCACTGACGAGTGCGACGGCGCAACGCGATGTAAATATGTGTTGCATGCGTAGTGCGCGTGCGCTTTACGAAAATTCTATCTGACGTCATAGGCGAACGTGGTAGATAGGAGTTGAAATTTTAATTCAGACTTTAGTTTATTTTGATAATAAAATTATTTATATTGCATTTTGTTCTCAAAAACCCGATGTAATTACTTTATTTTATAAGCTATACAAAAATAACTAATCCCATCCGTAATTATCTGTTACCATAAATCAAACTTTGGTTCTGTTCGCGCACAATAGGAATTAGTTTTCACCAAATTCAAAAAGGAGCAGCTTTCATACATTCAAGAAATGTTTTCTGTTTGAATTTTTTAAATTAATTATGTTATTTCTTATTTCATTGTCGCGGTTGATCTCCGAGGAGAACAAATGTGTGTACATAGCGCTCTTCTCGGAAAGCTGAATTATTATTCTAATTAGCAGAGTGACAATTATTTTGGATTTGTTTTATATCTCAAATATAAACATAATAACGACTTACTCCAACACAAATTAATATTAATAAGTAGAGCGGCAAAAGACAGCAAACAAGTCTAGGTATTTAAATACAAAGTCAAAATAAGAAAAGACAAACCCAATTAGATTATTGACTAAGTAAAAACAAGTATGAGGTATTCCAAGAAAATCAAGATAAAAAAAGTGAAGAAGTAAAATCAGTAGAGACGAAGAAAAAATCACAACATTCGCAAATCACCTTTACGTACAGTATTCAAACCTCTTCAAAGTATAATATGGCGAACAAGTAGATACATTACTCGAAAACCTTGAAGTCTAAGACAGCACACCAATCGTACCGATTAAAATAAAGAAAGTATTGCAAATAGTGAATAATATTATTAACAAAAAAGCTCCTGGACTTGATAATATTACAGGAAAAATGGTCAATTAAGAAGTTGCCTCGATAGCAATAAGATACATGAGAATTATTTTTGATGCATGACTTCGATCTGCTTTAATACTTATTTCCTGCTTAATGGAAAATAGCAGAGATTATTTTAGTACCCAAACACGATAAAGAAGCAGAACAGGTAACTTCGTACAGACCTATTAATATTTGACCAGTACTTTCCAAAATTTGTAAAAAATATATTCTGTAGCCAGAATCAACCTAATAATAATCAATAGAAAACTTATTTTCGGTGATTAATTTGATTTCAAGCGTAATCATTCCACGACAAATTAAGTAAATAAAATGGTATCTGTTGCGAGGAAATCTCTTAAAGAAAAAAAGTATTGCACCGGCATATTCTTTGATGTCACCTATAGACGTTTGATAAATTAACTCTACTCAAGAACTGCACAAACTCAAAAATATTTTACAAAACCCATTTACAAGCTTCCTAAATTTACAAAATAGATCTTATTAAGTGAAAATAAATAAAAACGTAACAAAACATCAGTTAATAGATGCAAAAGAACCGTAAAGCAGGGTCAACATCTTTCACGTCGTATCGACCAAAGTTTCCAAATATTATTACAGCAACATACGCGGATGATATATAGTAATTTTAAATATATCCTTATAATAATTAAATTGACTAATTGTCTGATTGTGTTAAATAAATTATAAATAAACTTGGAGTAATAAAAAAAAACAAAACATTTGACATATAAGAACATTTTTTTCGGTAGTGCCCCCACCAGTAGGACAAAATGATATCATATACTCGGCGTGATCTTTATGTTGAATGAATAACAATTTAGGTTATAATCAGTTCATATTAGATTAGTTTGAATATGGAATGTTAAAATTTCTATTTTTTGCACTGAAATAATAAATTACGATACAAGTGCGGAAAAATAGATTTTCGTCTCGTAGGACAATACGCCCGAGTTATGTGAAGATTGAGGAAAGTCAGACACGTTAGACGAGAATCTCTTTGCTGAACATGTATCATACAGTATTTTTTTATGCAAAGTGTGGAAAATTCGATTTTTAGCGTACGTTTTTGGCCGAGTATACGAAAAAGTCGCACTATACAGACAGAATGTCGAAAAATAGACTTTTCCAAACCAAACTTTCTTAAAATGTAACGTATTGTACCATCAGTAAATACTAAATAATGACTTTATGAGTATATTATTAAAAATTATTAGACAAAATCAGATATTCGATTGAATAATATATATATATATTTATAAATTAACAAATGCTATGTTACAAAATAAAAATAGACTTTAATTTAGTAGATAGGTTTTCAATAGTAAAAAAATAGCGCGTTTACAAAGCATAAATATATAAAGAAAGTTTTGTAATTCAATAGAAATATAAACTTAAATAGTCTATCATGTATTAAAAATACACTATTCAATCTCTGCTCTTTCTTCACTCTCTTTCAAGTGATAATACACAGCAATAAGCTTCCTTAGTTTATCTGGCTTTAGAGTATTATTTTTGTTGCTATTGAAAATCTGTGAATAATTTGGAGTGATAGATGCAGGTACACCAAGTAGCTTTAGACACAAATTAGCTAAATCACTATGAGTCCTGCGTGCAAGACTCCAATATGTATGAGCAGATAAGCCTTCTTTTTGATTCAAAACTCTGAAAATACCATCACCATTCACATAAGTCTGCAAACTGTTTAATCCCTCTGAATCTAATTCATTCAACAAAAACTCCTCCACCTTGTTCATCTGTTCATCTGATAACTTTCTTCCTCTATATTCAGGATGTATGTAGTTTGCTACCAAACACTGAATCTTCACCACAGAATCTCTTCGAGAAATTAGCTTTTGATAAAACTCTGAATCATCATCTGTCATAATAAGACTTAGCCATTGCTCAGCAGAGTCTGCAATATTTGACTTTGGATTTTGACAGACTACAATCAAGTCATTGATAGACTCCAAAAAACTAATGTAGTTGTTAATCTTTTGAATAAAGTCATCATCAAAAAATAGACATCTATAGTCTTTGGATAATTTTATTAAATTTTCTTCTGAAAGTAGAGACTGAATTGTGTGGAGATTGTTAATGCAGAATTCAAAAATACTTTTGGTATGGTTCCATCGGTTGTCACTAGTAATCTTAGACTCAAGATCATCGTCTTTATAAGTAGAATTTACCTGTTTTAAAACTTTGCAAACTGAACTCATGACGTCTTGATCAACATAATCCTTGATGAGAATCTTAGCAACATACAAGTTACAAGGGAATTGCCATATTTCTGGTACACCATCCATTTTAACTGAAAAGGTAGTATTTCCCATAATAACAGCATAAATATCAGTTTTAAATTGATCAAGTGCTTCAACTATCGATGTTTTGGTAACTTCAGTCAATTCTTGCATGATATCTTTAACAGTTGATACTTCGTGGTTGTTCAAAAAAATTGTTTCATTAGATTCCGTTTTGATCATAACTGTAACATTCTTTGTATTAGTACTGTCATTTTTCCAGCCATCAATTAGTAGTACAGATGTTGGACTGATTTTCATATCTTTGTGAAATTTGCAGTATACATTGTCAAGCAGAGGACCAGACAGATACTCGCTTGTTAACAATTTACAGTTTGAATTTAATGCTCGACAAAACTTTTGGAAATATGAAGAATCAGCAACAGAAAAAGGTATATTACAGCCAATGAAAAATTTAGCCATAGCCATTTCAAATTTTTGATCTGTGAATACTGAGGCTGAATGTACTTTATACTCTTCAAAGCTTTCACATGGATTATCTAAAAATGTATATTCAGTCTTTGTAACATTACTGGATGAACTCTCAATAAACTGACTGGTATCATCCATATCTACAAAAGTAATAGTTGCTGAATTTTCAGGTGTAAATATTTTCACCTTTCCTTCAACTTCTGATTTTTCAAGCAACTCAGCAGTTTCTTCAGTCTGTTCAAAACTGCATATTCGTCTGTGTGCTGCCAAACGTTTTGAAGCTGTATTGCATAATACTTTACTACAGATGACACAAAAAGCTGCATGGATTGTGCGATGTGTCTTATCACAGTGTTTAAGCACTCTTCGAAAACCCAAGGTCCAGACTTCATGTTTTGGTCTGCCAGGTGGACCTTTCTCAATAATTTTCTTCCTAACTATTGTTGGTGTCATTTTATCCTGCAAAAATGTACGTTATTCATTGCAAATTGACAATACCATAACTCTTTAAACAACTACCGTTTCTCATATAATCATTATTTTCAAAATTTTCAAGCTTATTATTATTATTTTTCTACTTATACGTAGTATAAAGTAGTATAAATCTGATATGTACATTACCTCTCTTATTTGCCGATGCAAATGTTATTATAGCAGTAGTCAGGGGTTCTCAAATAGCAAACCCGCAAAATATCCAGTAAAATAAAAGATTCTTATAATTTTGCGTTGGACTTAAGATTAAAATACTGATACAATTAGTTTGTTAAAACTTTTGCGACAAAAATGACATTTCACGAAACATTCAACTTCGCGACGATTATAACTAAGGTAAACTGCATAATGGCGGGCGTCATCTGAAATGTCGACGCGTTCGACGTCTAGCTTGCGGTAATATGTATTACATATATATGTATAATACGACGTTTCTTATTGGTGGAGATTCAGAACCGGGTTTGGAATTGATTTACAAAAATAAGAAAAAGAATAGTAAATAGTATATTTTTAATTTTTTAAACACATTGTTGTGTTTATAATAACAAGTAAATTACAAATAATTAGAGATTATTCGTAAAAATTATACGTTTTTAAAGTAATTTTATTTATATACAAAACTATTTTATTGATTGTAAACACATGGAAAAAGAGGTTAAAATTATTTCTATATGTACAAATGTATTTCCGTTATTTAAAAGAATGTAATGAAATGATTAGTATTCATAAATATTTGGACAGTGCACATGTTAGTGTTCAAACAAAAAAAGGTCAAAATTCACCACCCCCACTTGATCAGTCACGTGACTCTTTTTCTTTCCATAACGTATAGATATAGATATAGTCTCTTATAAATCTCCATATCTTATATATATATATATATATATTCGTTGGCTTGGCGAGGTGAAGATAAATGTTATAAACACGTGTTTTATTTCGGTCTTACGTTTAACATAACGCATTTCTTAGATTTACTAATTTGCAATATTTCCAATAGAAAATAATTCCTAACGAAAAGACGAAAGCTGATAAAGTTATGGAGGCCGCAGCGGAAAATAAAGCCTCGAAAAGGCCTCACGAAGATGAAAGTCAGATGGAGGTATGTTTTGATAGGGTTATGTTTAGACTAAATCTTTAATATACGATATTTTGTAGTAATTTTTGTAGTAATAATTGTTATTTTTTCATGTATTCATGGCCAATTTATGTAAATAATTTATTCAATTTAGTTTAAAGATTAAAAACACAAAAGCTAATTAAACAAACATTTCAAACATTGGTTAGAAAATAAAAATATTTTATTTAAACAAATTGGAAATTGATATTATTTGGGTAATATTTCAAATATAAATGGTTATAATAATTGAAAAATTATTATAGGTTGATGCAGTGAATGGCATTGAGGGAAAGGTTAAAAATAAGCCACATTCAAAAAGAGTAAAGAATGTTCAAGGAAATGAAGTTCGAAAGGCAAGCATTTTGATATATCAAATATCATCTCCCAACCAAATAATCCATTCATAAGCGTCCTTATCTTAGTATTTCTTTTATTTATAGATCTCAGTACCAGCACACAGATATACACCTCTAAAAGAAAATTGGATGAAAATTTTCACTCCAGTTGTCGAACACTTGCAGTTACAGATTCGTTTCAACTTAAAAACAAGAAATGTTGAATTGAGAACCAGTCCAGAGACTCCCGACATTGCAAACCTTCAAAAAGGAGCTGACTTTGTTAAAGCTTTTATTTATGGATTTGAAGTTGAGGATGCCTTAGCTCTATTACGTTTAGATGATTTATTTATTGAAACCTTTGAGATCAATGACGTGAAATCTCTCAAAGGTGATCACAAATCTAGAGCTATCGGCAGGCTAGCAGGTAAAGGTGGAAGGACAAAATTTACAATAGAAAATGTCACAAAAACCAGAATCGTCTTAGCAGATGCCAAAATCCATATACTTGGATCATTTCAAAATATTCAATTGGCCAGAAGGTCAATTTGCAATTTAATTCTTGGAAGTCCACCATCTAAAGTATATGGACAACTCAGAAGTGTTGCTAGTAGGATTGCAGAAAGCTTTTAGAATAAATGAATTTTATATTAAAATAAGTCTAAGTAAACGTAAGTTATTGTACATTATGTAAAATAAGATTAAATAAAAAAGGTTCATAATTTAGTATCATCTTTGTAAAGCAATCAAATGTGGAAATTTATAAAATCTATTTTTTGCTACATATGAATTCACAAATCATTTTCTTGCATAGTAAACATACTTACTGTCCATCAATAAAATTTAGAAATTTATTAAATAAATCTCTTACGACACCCTGTAAGATCAACATTTATAAAATATTTTCTTAGTAAAGTATTGATATAAAACATTTATATCTGTGAAACTGAAATAATTACCTTATTTTAGCAGATATAAGCAAACAATATTATATACAAATATAACAGTACTATGTTTCTTAATGATAAAAATCAGCATGAATGTGAAGTTAAAATATAGTTAATAAATGCATAATCATAATAAAATTTGATATTTATATTTTCGTGGTACTCTGTTTAAAACGAGTCGTCCATCATAACTTAATGATGCAAATGTCCATGGATCAGCAGATGACCATTCAACTGCATAAACGCTATCTTCATGCTCTTCGTATTTACTTATGACACCATCTTCCAATCTGTAGAAAAAAAAGAGAATATAAAATACTTGTACTTACAGCAATAACTTTTATTTTATTTTTACAAATTCAAACTCACTTTTCCTTGGTGCAAGTTTCTTCCATTGATGCACCTTCTTCTAAAGAAACTACATGCCCATAAGGCTCTGAGGATATGGATGCTAAACTGCATAAAATGACACGTGAATCACTGCTTGATGTCAGAACCAATTGATCATGAAATCGATTAATTCTTATGGACCAAACCCAATGAGAGTGTTCCATTCGTGACAGTATTGGCTCAGTAGGATTTCGAATATCCCAAAATTTCATGTAACCATCATCTCCACAAGTTGCTAAACAGTATTGTCGATTGGTATTGAAATCTAGATCTCTGTAAATAATAACATATTAAAAATAATATTAGGTTAAAAACAATTGCTTTACTAACCACTAATTACCTGATTATTTGTGAATGTGCTGACATTATTGCCCATACAGATTCCTTTGGATCTCTGAAATCCCAGCCTCGAACATTGTTGTCATTTAATGTAGCAAATTGATTGCAGTTATTATGTGGATTCCATTTACCATTTGTAAACCTTGGCTGCCCCTTACTATGGAGTGTTCCAACAGTGACTGGCTACAACGTCATGAGCTGTTTTAAATATATACTAACTAAAGTTTTAAATATATACTAACTAAACTAATATAGTTGAATTCAAATTAAATTAAAAAGTCTTACTTGTGGCTTAAAACTTAGATCCCACAATACAAAATTATTATCAACTACAGACACAGCTTTTTTAGATTCAGTAGGATGATAGATAATATTTTTCAGCTCATTTCCATAGAGTGTAGTGTCTATATCAGTTAACCTTTCCAAAGGCACAATTTCATGCATATCCTGAGTATTTGGGATTTTCCATAAAGCTCCTTTCATTTGACAAGTTCCATCAGCTATAGAATAAATATATTTCCTTACTCATTGATTAATTTATTGATCATCGAAAGTTTAATAGTACAAACTCATGTTCAGAAATTTACCTGTTAATGAATTATAGCATGTTATGAATTTATCAGGTTCGGTAGGAGATGCCTGTATAGACCAAATTTCACCAACTGAATGTTGAAATATTTGAGTTTTTAGATTTCCAGTCTCTTCATTAAGTTCTACGAGATGTACTTGATTATTTGCAAACTTGAGGGACTGTGTTCCAACTAAAAATCTAACAGTGTCTAATTCTGCAGATTGAGCTGATAGGGCTCGAGCCTATAAAATCATGACAATGATTATGTATATGGCTATTGAAAAAATAATATTATTCAGCAGTAAAATCATTAGAATACATTGATTATTTTATTGAATAAAATTTCACCATTAAAATCATTTAATAAAAACAAACAAATTACCTGAAACTCTAAGCCATAGATAACTGGTGCATCTCTCTCCATGTTACCTCATGAAAGCGTTCGAGCACTTTGAGAAATTGCACTGCAATAATTCTGTCAAAACGAAAGCAACAAACAGCTGATATAGTATATCTTGCACAATACACCGGTGAATCCAATCCGAACCGACGCACGTCTCCATGAGATGCCGCCACGTGGTTTTTAGATTTGTCGCAGCACCAGCGACATCATCGTAAAAAAATGAATTAAATAATTTTTAATGTTACATAATATTGAGTTTGGTTCTTATTTTTCTGACGATCGAAAATATAAACGTACATAATGAATTCGCGCGACAGCGAAAGCTTTTCTAACATCGTTTATTTCGGAGCTTAATTAAGCCTCATACTCAAAATTTATTTCACACTACTGCTCATAGTCGATGATAAATTAAAATCATTAACCTGCTAAAAATGATTTTTGAGCTTATCTTGCCACTTTCTTCTCATTTAGTCATTTGTTTGTCACTTATGTTATTTCTTTGCATTAAAAGGCTATGCTATGTATCAGAAGGCTATATGTATCAGAAGGTACATAAATAAAATTATTTAAATAATAACATCTGGAATACATAATTGTTTGATCAAATAAAAATAACTTCTGCAGAAAGTTTTGGAAACTGATAAATACGAATTAGATAAAATAATAAGATAAGGCTTGATAATTATATCATTAAATATAAGATGAAAGAAGCGAATTGATAAACTGATTTTCATAGATTTTATTAATTTTTTAACTGATAGATTTGCATTTACTAGCCCCCAAGACACTCTTGAAATTTCTTATAATTGTTTTCGATTGAAACAGGGTTTAAATTTTGCTCGTGGAAACCTTCAGTTTATTTTTTCAATATATAGTAGTGGTTTCTTATAAATTATGACATTGAAATTTTTTGCAGTTACAACAGCAGTGATGCGATGACCTTGCCGTAAACAATTGAAGTCACACGTGACAATTAGTGACCGAGCACCTAATGGTATTTGAGATTTCGTCGATTGTCAATGATACATTTTTCAGATCTGTTTGAAAACGATACATTACCTTTTACGACTCCGAATATTCTTATAGCTGTCCATAAAATCTGGATATATATATATATATATATATAATGCTGTAATAGCTATTGCACCACGTGGCTACGTATCCTTGCCTGAGCTTTTTGTTGTCTTTAGTTTTATTCGATTTAATCTCGCTTACAAAGCATCAAAATGTTGACGTTCAAAAATAAGCAAGCAAAAATATCGATGATGATTTTATTCTGACAGCTGGTTTACTTGCAAAGCAACGTTAAGGGGGTCATGGCCTCGACTGCTAATTAGCACCGTGTGCATCTATATCAAAATAGTGCATATTTACACCGAACATTGCTGTAAATTACAAATATAATCTATACGAATAAAATTGCTTAGCTTCTTTTACCAGCAAAATGACAAGAAGAGAATGATAAAGGCATAACTAAAGTTGTGAATGAAAATCCGCAAATAGTTGGAAAGACTTATGGCGAGTAAGTCTCTAAGCTTCAAGATGAAATTAAAAAGAGCACACTGAAATCAGATGTTATCTATACTCTCGATTATCAAAGAATAGATGGACATAAATTCTATAAGAAATTTAACCTCATAACATTATTAATAAGTTATATAAAATAACAAAAAAATTTAATTTCAGCAATACTATTTTGATGGAGAATGGTGTAAACAAATAATAATATTTAGCTTCTTCAAGGAAGAAGTTTCATGAGAAAGAAAAATAAGCTATTTACAGATAGAAATATAAAAATTCTATAGTAAACGAAAAATTTTAAAGACAGATTTCCAGAAGGATCTGTATGGCGAGACAAACCACTCAAACTCTTTCCATGGTTTCGAATATTTCTCAAAAGTAATTTCTATTAAATAATTTTGTAACTTTTTCATTCATATAATTCATTACAATTTTTCATGATTGCAAATTTTATAACTTTTGTATATTTATTTCATTTTCGAAAATTGACATTGAAAAGAGAATTTAACTTCATAATTTAAAGTTCTTTCGAATTGTGCTACTGATTGCGTAAACGTAGTAATTTTGGTAAAATCAGTTAACCTTACAATCAATTAATTTATATATACTGTTTTGAAATGCATTATATACTATTCAGATAAACAGTTACGAAATTGGAGATTAAAAAATGACAGTTTTAAAAAGTTTTAAAAGCAACAATCACGTTCAAATTTGTGCATATCAAGACCATTTTTTAATTAGAGGAGATCTGGGTAAAGCGTCACCGGACCAACGGGCCCTCTTCCAAGTATTCTTCAAGGGTATAATTCCAGCTGTTTGCAGAAAAAGTCCATCAATATTACAGGTCGAATGAAGAGCGTCGTTATTTATTGACTATAATTTTTTCAATTTTAACTCCCAGTTTAAACTATATAAAGATATCGATAAAATCTAATCATACAATCTATTAATACATTTTTCGAGTTTCCTAGAACTAATAATAGATTTTTATTTCTATCAACTTGAAAGTTTAAAATAAATTAAATACATAAATTAATGTACATTGGATGTAGTTTTTAGCTTGTTTTTGGATAATTGTGTGTGTGTGTGTGTGTGTGTGTGTGGGTGTGTGTGGGTGTGTGTGTGTGTGTGTGTGTGTGTGTGTGTGTGTGTGTGTGTGTGTGTGTGTGTGTGTGTGTGTGTGTGTGTGTGTGTGTGTGTGTGTGTGTGTGTGTGTGTGTGTGTGTGTGTGTGTGGAGAATAATCACGTTTCTCAGCTACGGAAAATATCTGAAAGAGAGAGAGAGAGAGAGAGAGAGAGAGAGAGAGAGAGAGAGAGAGTCATAGCTCCAGAGTGGTTTTAAATCTTTTTAAGTTGATAGATTTTTTAAGAGCCCGTCGTCAAAATTTGGTTCGCATGCATTGAAGAAAGTTATTGCAGATTCTCGTAGGTGCCTCGCTTTGCTCGGCTTTTATTGATAATCTGTGAAAGTTGATTTTTAATGATTAAATATTCTGAGAATGAGTTTTTGAAATAGAAAAATTTTAAGTAATATATATTTGGATAGAATTTTCCAGGAAGATTGAAAATAAGTCATAAAAATTTGAATAGTACGTATCTGAACGAAGTTATCGTTCATAAACCTTTAGGTACTACGCTTTGCCTAGATTTCTCCTATATACATTTAACCACTGTACGTAAATCACGACTGTGTCAAGATTTTTATCCTCTCTACGTAGTTTATTACTCGGATTATTAGTATACTAATTCACCGGCTCTTATAATATTATTGTTATGTAAACGACTTTTGAGTCGATAAATTGATTCAAAATAAAAATAAAAATCGAAAAGTTGTGTGTCAATAGCTCTTTATTATCAAATAATATTACATCATAAAACTATTTAAAACTACAATTTCAATATGATCCGCCCACATTCTGAACTATGTTATATTAACAATAGTTAAATTCAGCTACAAATAAATTAGGATGGTTTGTTATTTGGCTTTCGTAATGTCTGGTGTACGTGTTTCTATAAATAATATAATTAATCTTGTGAATTCCATAAAACAGGGTTAAAATTAAACTTTATAGAAGTGTAGGTAAATGAACCACGATTGAATCCTTTTCTTTTAAACTTATTAATTTCATAATCGATTGATTGCGATATTTGAACGTCATTGTCAGGTGTCCTCTTCAAAAATAAGAAGTATGTATATATTTTATGTTTAGTTAAAAACAAAAACAGCTGAAACTATAGGCTATATAAATGATATAGTACAACGTCTTGCGGTTTATCAGTTGTAGATATCGCTAGGATAGCAGCTATACCACCTACACTCGACAGGCTGCTCGTTTTTTTCGAAACTTTCTGGTTGCCTCTATTTTTATCTCGCATGCAATGGGTATATATATAATATACTCATATTCAAAACTGAACTAAGGCCAAAACTGTAATGTTGATTCTTTTCTGGCAAGTGATTTGCTTAATAAATAACTTTTGATCGATCGTGCAAAGATAAAGATCAGCGTTGGTAATTGTCACTTGCATTAATAGTTCAGTTGCGTACCGTATTTCGCTGATTGTAAACCTGATCTGCAAGAGTAAAATGTCTCCGCTTTTTTTGATAACGAAATGACTTAAAAGAAAATAAAAAAGGCTACTACCGAAACGAAATAATTTCTATGGGTGACAATTCAAAGTTAATTGAGGATACTCCAAGAGAAACTTACGTCGAACAGGCTTTTGCATATGAATATAATGGGTTGAAAGTTGACAGCAGCAAGTTAGATAAAAAGAATAAATTAGACTCTAATGCCGCGGATTTATCAAAGAACCGGTGGGCAAAAATTTTAGACGAAGTTCAGGTAAGCAACTTGAATATTATTCTTATTAAATTTCTTGATTATTTTCTTTTGTGGTGTGAAAAAACTAGATTTGTAATTAATTGCACCTTTCTTTTCTATGTATTATTAACTAATACTGTAATAATTCTTTGAAAAACATTTTGTAATATTTATTATCGTTATCCTCTTTACAGCCCGTAGCACCAGTTTTATTTAAACTATTTCCATCCATGACACTTCGATACAAATTGGTTATCAATGAATTAAAAACCTTTATTCGTGACCTTCCATTTTCGCAAGATCTTTTACCTACGTACATAAGACTTTGTAAAAGTTCTATCAAATTTCTGCAACAAGGAAAGAAAAAACAATTGTGGAAGAGATATTCAAACAAAGCGGAGTTTGAGCAGTTAGAGAATACTCTAAAGTTGTTATTTAGCAACATGATATCTATAGCTATTGAATTGGAAGTTGATTTGGTATGAAATCAGTGGATTATAACATGCGGCGAGAATATTTTTTAACATTAATTCAATTCTACACACATGCACGCGCGTGCGCGCACTCACACTGCTTTAATAATATAGTAATAATTATTGGATCTAGGATATCTGCAAAAGTGAAGCAATTTATGTAATAAATCAAAATAAAAAACAGGCTGGTGAATATACAAATATTCTAGTAGAGAAAAAAAAGGATGAAAATAATAAAAACAATCTGGAAACTAATCATGACTATGTTGATAAATCACAAATTTGGTGGAAAGAAACGTTAGAAGGAATTCAAGTGAGCTAAATAAACATACATTATTTTTATGTTTACATTAGTTATCTGTTTTATTTACCAAATAAGTTAGTAAAAAGCTAATAGTTTTTCCTAAATATATCCCAGTATTAAAAATGATGAGATTTTTCAAAACGACGGGTTGTTCCAAACTTACTATAACAAGTTTAATTTTTACTTAGTAAGTGATAATCTTTGAAATCACCGTTGTATCGAGGTATCTGCGTTATTCTAACTTCGATATTTTCATTATTTTTTCACAAATTCAACTCGGCAATAAACTGATCTGTTCCAATTATAGTATTTATTGTAGTAATAATTTTTCTTTATAGCCTATAGCTCCAGTTTTAACAAGCAGATTTCCAAGCATGAGTGGAAAGTACAGATTTGCTATTACACATTCAATAGAAACTATCCAAGCACTTCCAGAATCACAACATCTATTACCTACGTATATAAGTTCTTGTAAGCAACTATTCCGGTTGTTACAATACGAAAAAAGAAAAGGATTATGGAATGATTTTGCAATTATAAGTGTTGAACTTCAACAGTTAGAGGATTCTCTACGTATTCTATTTAGCAAATTGGTATATTCAGCTGTTGCGTTAAATGTCGAATTAATTATAAGGTAAAAAAGAATAACATTATATCGATAAAACAATAATACATGATGCTGCAATCGAACAATTTTATTTTACTACCGCAGGAAAAAAATTAAAGAAGGTATACGTTAAACTGAAATGTTTCTTCGGAAGGTATTTGAACATGTGTATATATAAGCTGGTGAAATAAATTAACTTGAGCCTAATCTTTGAATTTCTTTTTTGTAATTATGTAAGTTCGTATAATTTAATTCTTTTGATAGAAATTTTAAATTACTCAGACAACATTTTCCCGTAAAATATATTATAATATATTAATTTCCGATGTTACATACATTTTTTAGAGAATATCTATTAAACTAACATATTCTGAAAGACAAATAAATTTTATACACGCACGAAGATTTACTTATCACAGTATAAGCAGTATAAACGCAACAGTATCAAACAACAAAATTACTTGATAAAGCGAAACAAAATCAACAAAATTACTTGATAAAGGGAAAAGCTATTATTATAATGCACATTGAATATTCAAAATATATAAGAATTTACGTCGTAGGTAAATTGTTATCTTTACAACTTCATTTTTTTAACTCAAAGGTCAATGCAGTTACATTATCAGTAACTTGATACCAAGCAGTGATTTTAAATATTCAGTAATAAACTATAATATTTAGTGCTTTTTTGTATGATTTTCTGTTTTTTTTGTTTACTCTAGAATAAATATACTAATAATTAGTTAAATGTTGTCTACTTTTATATTTATTTAATAATATATAATTTACCTTTCAAGATTATTGTTGGAAATAGCTCATCTTCTTTATTTTTATTGATTTAGTTTAATAAGTAAAATGTATTTGCTTGAAATTTGACTAATTATTATTGATTATGCGAACATCAAATTCTCAGTTTTGTTAAAACCATTCAACTATAATTTCCAAAAGTAGATTTAATATAGTTTTTTAAAAGAATGTGAATTTGTAATAAATTTGAATTAATATCATAATTTTGCAAAGGAATTACTTATAATAACAAATAAGTCTCGAATATTTTTTTATTGTTAATAAAAAATTGGGTTATAAAAACAGGATTTATTGCGTTAAGTCGAAAATTTTCTGTTTGAAAATTAAGCATTATTCTACATAAATGACGCGTAAGAAATTTATTTTCGACTGTAGGGTTCATAGGTTTCTGACATACCAACCGCTTCGGTCTGTTGCCAACCTTTACCGAGCAACATATTGGTTGAAAAGTTGGAGTTGTTAGTTGAACGGTATCGCACGCCAACTACTGCGCCAGGCAGCAGCCAGCAGGGGAGCTGCGGCAGCAGCGGCGAGATAAATTATGTCAAGAAGCAGCTAGAGTCAGTAGTCAGTACTGGCTCGATCGTCGCCAGCAGAAGAGTGTATGTACGTTGCGGAGCTTTGCTCTAAGCGCGAGCGCGTTATAGGTGACTGCACTTTCTCTACGTAAACCGCACCTGCAACACGCACACGTTGTGCATAGCTTTGCAACACTTTTGTTTGCGAAAAAAATGTGGTGCCTCCTCTTTGCCGTGTGATACCGAAACCTTCTCTCTGCTGTCCGTGCAAAGTCGAAAGCTTGATTTTACGGTGAGTGTGGTTTTATTTTTGTTATTCATCTTCTGCGTGCGAGAAAAAGAGAGCGCTATGAAAAGAGGTGGATTGCGAGTGAGTGTGCGAGAGATGAAGTAAGCGAAATAAGTGTTTATCGGCGCCTGACACCTATACGTGCGTGTGCTTGTTGCCGAGGAAGCAATGGTAACAGCCGTTCAATGCCTTCAAAGACGCAACCAAGGCGATTTTTGCTCCGCGTTTTGATGCCAAGTGTGTTAAAGCCTATGTACGTGTCTGTGCGTTAGTGCGCGCGCGCGCGCGTGTGTGTGCACGGGGATATAGGACTTGTTTTGCGGAATGTTCTCGTTGCGTCCCTGTATATATCTATACGTGCATGTGATGTGGTTTTTTGGGGGAAGCTACGCCTTTGAAGCGCTACATGAGAGATTGATTATGCGATTCTCTGTGACAGGGCGAGACGATGTGCAGTTTTGCACTTTTACGGTCTCACTGTGTGCACGTATACGTGCAGCCTCTTACATTTGTATGTATGTTAAAAAACTTTTTCAATCTCTCCGATCGCGAGACAAGTTTTTGTTTATAGCAGGTAGTTCCAAAACAGTTGCCAATTGAAATTGCATTCGGAGTGTCGAAATCCGTTTATTATGAGCTGCAGGAGTGATTAGTAAAGTGACAATCTACATTTTGTGCACAATCAGTGTATTGTGCGATAATCGATAAAGCCGAGAGGTACATTCGGCATGTCTCGCACCGCACAATTTTCATAAATCAGTAACATTCGCATTTAGCTCTTGTGCAGCCCAGAGAGAATCTGCAAAAACCACACATGCCGGATTCGTGCGCTGCTTACGTCCCGTATATTTCTAAGTAAGAGTGCCGGGCAGCAGGTCAATATATATCCCTCGACATCCGAATAAATTGAATGGTGTTTCAGATGAAAAATCGCCCGCGCGCAGGTAAAATACTCATAATGGTTTATTGCCTTACGCAGGCGTGCTGAGTTTTATGGTTCCGTTGCAGAAAGTGACCACGATGACGGACGAATTAACTGAAATTCTTAGGGAAAACAAATTGTCAGACTCGTATTGTCTTCGAAATGCTCTCTCCGTAATCTCCTGCGCCATTGTGTTTGTCATTCTCCCAAACGAATTCTCATTTACACCGATTGAGGTTCCGGAAAAATTTCTCGTTGAAGGACACGCACAATTCGGTCTTAGTGACGTCGGAATGCATTGTCGGGTGCTTTTCGAGCGGCCATTTAGCTTTCCCGTAAACGAAGCAGGTGCGTTATGCAAAAGCGTCCGACCTCTCGTTGCAAATGACGCTCTTCTTTTGGGCATGTGAAATCACCGCGAGTACACTTTCATTTTTAGCGATTGACCAGAAAATTTTTTTCCGACCATGGAAAGAGCATCGACGCTGAGTAACGCGTAGGTTCGATATTTCCCGTGAACAAAAATCACGTACATAACGCTGGGAGTCTCGCGTACGAGATTAATTTTGCAGCCAAATGAATTCATCAGCTAAAATTGTTCTCTCGGCGAAAACATTCTCGACACGATCAGCCGTCCATTCGGGACCTCCCCATCGCTCCACAGCCTTCGCGAAGGAAAACCGTCCTTCCGTACGCGCGGCAATAAATCGAATGGCGTGCTTTCATCATCCTTACATAACGTCGCACACGCACGTGCATTCCGATCCGAATTGCTACTTCGCTTGTCTCTTCTTTTTTTTTATCTAGGCGCCTCTTCGTTAACGGTAAATAACGGAGGCGTAAAAAGGAGAAAAAGGAGGTCCTCGTTTTTTCACACTTGTCAAGCGAAGAGACGAGAAAAAAAGCACACGACGTCCGTTAATCATCTCGGGATACATGAAGAGAGAGATTTTTTTACCGGTTCATTGTGCGCATCGCGTGCCTTATTTGACCCACGCGCGCAGAGGTTCCTCTAAGCAGCGGTACATTTTTTTCCTTGCTCTGGGTATATTGTTTATTCGACGCGGCGAGCTCTGTGCTCTAACGTGTGTATCCGAGGGAGGAAATGAAATTCGACGGGAGAACGAATGGACGAGTGACCGACTTTCGATTGTTATCGATTGATTCCAATCGAGTTCTCGTAGCTTTCTTCGATGACTTAAAAATATCTCAATAATCTTCGATACGAGAGATTACCCGATATGTGATCCCATATGACTAGCTGTAAGGCCAAATAGAGCAAACTTGTCCAAGCACTGCTCTCCAAAAAATGTGCTCTGTACGCCGGCACAAAGCTCCGAATACAACGTTTATAATAGTAAGTGCAAAGGCACGGACGAGATTTTCTCACGCCTGACCTCGAGACACTCTGCCTGCCTGCCTGCCTGCCTGCCTGCCTGCTGCCGTAGAGCTGCTCGTCGTCGTCGCGTGTTTGCGGTGCACGCATTCAAGCAAGACTTCTTCTTTCTCTCTTTTGCGGCTCGCCGATGATAAAGGGGACAACTCTCGCGAGAGAAATGCTATTTCGACGGGCTTTACTATAAGCTGCTGTGTGCGTGGATGTATATAGATTGGCTTTCAGCTCGCAAAGTCGTTGAGGATTTTTTTTTAAGGTGTGAGAATCGTTTTGTAATCTGGTGTTATTTTATTTTTTTGGTTATTCGGATATTGGAGCATTTGCACAGAACGATTGTGGTCTTTTCATTAAAGTGAATTGATTGCGTAGCCCTTCAAAATTCTTAGAAAAACAACTTGAAGTGTTTCGTACATGGACCAATCTCTTTTTTCCCTCTCCGTTCATCATCTTTTCTCTTTCAAGAATCCTAATAACGAAATTTCTATTGGAAACGTACGTCAAGATCCGCGCTTTTTCAAATTGTAAAAAAAAAGAATACTTTCTATTTTCTTTTACGATTCTGACTAAAAGCTACAAAAATTTCGAATCTTTGAATCCAACTTCCGTCCGGTACACCTCCGGGTTACGGAACCAAAAGGAATCGAAAGTCGCTCGTAAAAAGTCATCTGTACAAAATAAAAAAAATAAAAGAACAACTTGCAGATGCACTTGTACGTATACGGGTGAAAGCTTCGAAACAAAGAAAAAAGCCACAGACGCGTTAATTCGTATCGTGCATTAGTAGTATTCAGCTAATTAAAATAATGAAACGCTGTGTTGTTGCTGTCCTTTTTTTGCTCGGCAAGACGAATGCACTTCCCCTTTTTACGGCAAAGACTTCTATTATTCGTCAGAGAGCTGCTTTTAATTTGACGTCGGAGAATTTTACATTGTCGCGCTTGGCGATCGTTAATTACGTGCGTGTGCGTTCCTGTTTGTACACTTGCTGGGATGTTAGAAAGTTGGTTTTCCAGTGCCAGTTGGCACACATGTTTTGCGCGTCGATTGTCCCGTTCGGCGAAATTTCAATGATATCCATACAAGCGTACGCATTTCGCTCGTAAGCTCTCGCTGGGTTATTATTTTTTTGTCCGTCGCTCTTCCTCGAGCGGCAATTTGACCCCTAATCGACGAGTTGGTCGAGTAAAACGTTATCGCACACGAGGTTGACTTTCAAAGTTACGTATCGCATAACGCTGCAGAGCCTCCTTTTTCCTCTGCAAATCATTGCCGGATAATCCAGTATCTGCGTCGAACGAACATTATAATTGACATATCGTGTAGCGGCATCGTCACATTCGCCGTATTGGTAAATCGACAGTTCGCGAGAGCGTGCGGAATTATTAATTACGCATTTGATTGCGGCATCGTTTCAAACCGCATATACAAGCGTACACAGCATAGATACCCTGATAATTATTGACACATCCATCATATATTCCTCAACAAATGCACATTCTCAACCCTAGAAGCAGTTTTCAATCAAAAATTTCCAGCGCACGAAAAAAACCTTTTAGAACCGAAAAAAAGGAAGGAGAAGGGTTGAGTCGTGAAAAGAAGAAACTTTTTACACCCCCCCCCCCCCTCCAATCCCTCCTCGAGACATAAAAAATTTTTTTTTCGTGAATTGAAAAGGCTCAATCCTTCTTTTCAATGCAGATCGTAAAGAGTCGTAAGAAGAGAAAGAAATTTGAATGTGAAAAATCGTTGACTCATGCACGGACACACGCGGCAGTAGCAGGCACAATGAGGTTTTTACGCCATTGCAGGGTGAATAAATTCTCGACGGCTCCAATCGTTTGGCGTTCTTTCTTCGCGTTGCTGAATATTCGAATTTTACGATCGGTCTATCGCGTGCGCGCGATTTACGGTGCATCGTCGATTGGTGCAATTGGTTAGCGCGGTGCCTTCACTCGCGATCCTCGAGCGGATTCGCGCGTATCCCTCGCCCTGCGGCAGCCCGCGCCAAGGTGCGCGTGTACGCACGACGACAACGCGAGGGGAAGGAAAAAAAGGGTCAAGGTTGCGCCTGCCGCTCTCTCCTCCTGCCGAACTGTTATCCTTGCGCACGGTCAAGCTCGTTCGCTCGCTCGCGCGCGCGCCTCGCTGCTTCGGTCCCGTCGTCTCGATACATGCGCAACCGCCACAGTCCGAACTTTCGCAAGGTTACCCGCGATTTTTTTCCTTTTGTTGCAATTGCTTTTTGTTTTTATGGATTTCGGGATTGCAAGCCGCGACGACAGAGATGGATTTCCCGGTTGTGTTTATACCCCTCCCCCAAACATTTTTGGACAATGGCGTTTGTAAAGATAAATAACGGCGTTGCCCGGCGATCAGCGAAAGCAGCACTTAGTCGGGCCAGAAGAAAATATTTCGACCGAACTCGTCACGCCTAACAACGGCAACAATCGACCCGAAAAACTTGAGGCTCGCAACCCCCACCATGAGCAAGTCGTTCCCCCTTCAAGGTCTCGACTCCGTCGCTTTATCATCCGGACTTCCCTTCCTCTCGTTTTTTTTTTGCACGCGCCCGCTACTCTCTGGTCATCGCGAGAATCCAATTGTCGTCAATTGAAAGCGGGAGAAGAGTTTTTTTGAAACGAAATTGCTATGGATTGCGATGCTTGATGTTTTTGTGGATGCCTCTTTATTCAATGTTTGGACTACACTGTGTTTCCGTGAACGTGAATGTAAATGGCAAATTGATTTTTGAAGTTGGTTTCATCGAACGTCTTATCCTCGTTGATGGGTGCTTTTGGTAATTATCATCTAGAATTTCATTATAATTACGTACTGGACAGGTCAGTGCCACTTTCTTTGAAATTTTATTCATTAAAATGTCGTTTGCATACAGTGTCGCTATTCAACAACACGGCCAAATTACCCGAAACAAAAAACATCGCGATAATCACTCGTCCTAAATCGAAAGGAAACAATACAATACTTCTCTCTCCGTCAGCGCCCGTAAAAATGCAAAAATCCATTGAAAGGCAAACCCACAACTCTTCCGCCTCTTCAGCGAAGCGTGCAGAACAGCTTTTCATCAACTTCACTTTCCAACGCCGCTCGCGCCCTCCAATATTCGCGTTGGTAACACCAGCGACGCCGAGTCGTTAAACTCTCTTGGTTATAATTGATCGACGCCGAGAATATAGAAAGGGTCAATCACCTTCTCCTCTGTCGACGACACGAATATTCATGTGGTAGACAACGGATAAAGATTTTTTTTTTTTCTTTCGTTGATTAGAACTCTTCTCGCGTCCGCGCGAGCTAAGTGTCTATTGAAAAGAAGTGCAAGTGGTGCGCCAGAGCTTGGAAAAGTGAACTTTCGCTTTCTTATCTCACCGGCTCGTTTTAAAGTCAGTTGACGAGATTGCGATACTTTTACGTTCTTAATCAATTTTTACGTGAAGACATTATCGAGGATCTCGAACGTCGACTTACGATTTTTATTGCATCACTTGAAATACTATCGAAGGTATAATTTCTCGCGGTATTTGTTGTCTAAATTACGATAATACCCAACTCGAAAACGAGAAATCAGAATAATTGTCGATGAATTCAGCAATATCGCTCGATCGTCCAGAATTTTCGCCCATTCGACACTTTCATTATCCTTACTTCGAACAATCGGGTGAGTTTTCATTAAATTCGCTCAGGCCGGTAGCCAGCGGCTCGATTTACATGTAGATTTTCCAAGCGGGTTTGATTTTCCCCAAAAACGGCGCGTAATTCATGTCACAAATGCACGTCGCGTCGATTGAGCAACGCGAGGCAAACGCTTTTCAGCCGACGTGGCGCGAAGTATAATTGTGCCATCGTGGCGGTGGTGGCGGCAAAAGAAACGCTCTATATGTGGGCACAGGTGTGCGAGGCAGCTTTGGCGCTTTTGTTCGCGCGTTGCGCAACCGAGAGCGCGCACTGGGGATCATATCGACGATAAAGGCAGGTCGACATTTTCATCGCGCTGACGTAAATCAATCGAGCCTAGCGTCTAGGCAACGCGAAGGGGAAGCCTTCTCGTTCAAGCAGCTTCATTATGCGCTTTTATTTATCGGGCGCCACCGCCGTGGAAAATTTATCGCCTGGACCGCCGATCGATTCGTCACGGATCGGTCGCTTCGGTGCGTGAGCGCAACAGCAGACGCGCTTGATCGATTTTTTTTTTCTCGCAGGCTGCTGGCGGAGAAATACGATTTTGGCTACGGGAATGCTTTATTTATGACTTTGCTGCGTGTTCTAGACAAAGCTTTGGTTCACATTTCGCCCCCCCCCCCTCCCCCATAAAACCGCTATTTTTACACGAGAAGGAATTCAAAAAATACTTATCATTTAAAATTGTACTTAGAATTTTCAATTGTGTTATTCGAAATTTTTTATTGCAACGCATGCAACGAAAGGATAACCGATCATAAACGTAAACATAGAAACGTGATGAAAATTGACACACCAGATTTTAAGATTTTCAATTGGTGTACCTAATTACGTTCCGTGAGAAACTCATCAGATCATTTGAAACCTGCGCCTCGGAAAAGAAGTCGTATCAATAAGTCATACACATAGCGCACACGTCCAACAGTATAATTCCAGCTCGTAGACGTACAATATACACACGCCAGTAGAAAGATAAGCGGAGATCGTCGTATAAACGAACTCGCAATGATAAAACTCAGTGCACTTATTCAATTGCGCTCCTCTGCCGCCGCGAGCTTCCTCGTTGACAGAAATCACTTTGTGCGCGCGCCGTCTATCGATGTTCAACAGTCCAACAGGAAAAAAATCACAACTCCAGAGAATACATGTCCCTTATCGTGTACGATAAAAACATGCGTTGAGCAAGAGAGGAACGGATGTCTTGTTTAGCTTGAGTTTTATGGCGGCGAATGGGATAAGGTTCAGACGCGTGTGCTGATGATTGTTTATGTTCCAAAAATACGAGCAACTTTGATTTCACTGTTTTTCTACTCTTCTTTGTTGTTTCAGGTGAGTGGCTTCCGAAGGCTTTTGTTGACCAGACGCGGAGTCAAAGTGACATGCTTTACGATCTTCCGCGCGCCTCGAAAGAGAACCAATCAATTGGGTCTTACATTGCAACATCTTTTGACTGAAAGTCCAAGTACGTATCCATCGATCGAATGGATCGACTTAAAAAGATCTTTCATAAAATCACTCTTGCGTGCGATGAGCATCGTTTATCGATTATACCGACGATTTTCTATGATCAGTTAGCGACAATTGTTTCGGACTCTATGTCGTAATTTTCTTTCTATATTTTTTGGTGAACACTTACGTAAGTTTTTCTTAAGTTAAGAACGTTTCTCTTGGAATAAAACGATAATTTTTCAAAGTTAAAGTCTTTCTTTTACACAATAAGAAACATTTTTCCGACACTGCTGCTGTCAATAAACAATTAGGATACGTTTGAATCGCTCGCAGGCGCGCGAGCAAACCAAACAATAACATCAATTCCCATGCAGGTTGACTCTAATCACACATTATACGTGCGTCAATTCACATGGCAGCGTTCGACAAAAAAACGCATCCGTTCCGGCGTAATGAATCGGGCGAACGCGCGGCAATACGCGGCCGGGAAAGTTTCCGGGCGAGCGTCCAAGCGAGAAGCGAAGCACGTGTGCGCGCGCGCCTTGACTTGGCCTCGCGAAGGCGCTGACGTATCGCGCCGCCGAGCGAGTGCATTTACGCGCTTCGGTCCAGTCGCCTAAGATCGCCTTTCGATCGCCGACGCTCGTTCCTTTTTTTGTATTTTATTCGTTTTTATTTCCCTTCCTTGCGATCGGCGACCACTGCTTAAAGGACTCGCTGCGATTAACGAATCGCAATCAAGCGTGCACCCTATGCGACAACGCGCTCGCGCATTAAATCTTCGCCGGGCGCTCGATGACAAGCGTCGCTCGAACTGCCTCCAGCTGTTCTTTATCATTTGTCGTTATTTGTCCAGTTTACTTTAACAATAACACGTTTATAGCGTCTTCGTCATTCGCTAGATGGCACATTTGATGTGAAGTCCTCTGCTGTAAAGCTCTAAAAATATGCAAGCAATCGATAATAATTCTTGGCCGATAGTATTTTACCATCAACTTCTGGTGTCGAAAGCAAAATACCTTGAACATTTATTACGCCATACAATGCAATCGAAAAATAGGGAATAATTACCACCCAAGACAGTTACACGCAAGCGAAATAAAAAATATAAGTTCATAAAAGACATTGATCCATCGCGTCTTTGCTAACTACCGACCATGCGACAATAGAAATGAACATACGAACGACGCGTACGTAAAAGAATCCTTTATCGCGCTTGCATATACAACGGAGCGTGGAGCCCATTTTCATTGGACGCCAAGTGACTTTCGAAAGGCAACAGAGCAGCAGCTCTCATCCGCCGCTGAGTATAGCTGTTTTCAGCTGCTGTCGGCATAACACCGTGACATTTTCTCTTACCGGTTTTTCCATCTCGCGCACGACGCGCCCGAGACTCTGTCTCTCTTGCGGTTCACCTGTGAATGACTTCTTTACGCCTTTAGGGTTATCTGGACTAGTTCTCTTTCCCGAGAATTTTATGGAAATCGAGCGCGAGTATCCGCGTACTCCGTAAGCTTTTACGGAACACTCAGCTTGCGTGGTGCCACGAGCGCGATAAATCGTAAGGTTGGACTATGCATGCGCTGGACGAGCTCCACGCGTAACGTTTCATTTGCCCCTTGCGCGCGATATCGACGGCCTCCCCCCTCGATTTCGATCCGATCGAGGGTGAAAGACCCCCGGCAGCAGACTCTGATTGGCTCTTCGCGGCCAATCAACGATGCCCGGATTTTATTGCAGCGCGACGCGGCGACCGACGCGCGCTCGAGCTCGCGCACACGAAATAAAAGTCTAACGAACGCGCGGATTAGCGAACTTTCACTCGCGCGGCACACACACGTCTGCCTCTCTTCTCGTTGCGAGAGTCGCGCGAGAGCGCGCCGATCGGACCGACGTCGGTCGCCTCGTCCGATCGACAGCTCCCACGCTATAGACGGGACGATCGATGCCGAAGCGGCGCGCGTTTTCTCTCACGCGCGGCGACCGGAAGACGCTGGCGACGCGCACGCACACTCGCAATCCGCGGCCGAGACGCTCGTTCGTCTGCAGCTCGTCGGCAGTTCGGCCAGCGAGTCACCGATCGACTTTTTCCAAGCGCCACATTTGCATGATTCGCGGGAGGTGCGGCATCGCGCAACCGTCCTCGGGAAAACAATGGGTAATTCGCCCGAGTTTTTTTCCGCCTCTTGCGCGGATCGGATTATTAGCGCGACTGTCCGCGACGGGCAAATTGATTTTCTCAGGCGATTGCGATGGAAAGTCGATTGTGACAACTGCAGCTATCCCTCGGCAGCAGTCATTGCTGGGAATATTACTTGGCATACGCGGGCACGAGGGCGGGGAAAGAATGGCGGGCGCGCTTATCGAGCGCATTAGCGAGCGACTTGCAATTACGCGGCAAATTTCCGGGCGACAGCCGTCAACAAACGAGACGTCTCCTGCCGACGGCAATTAACCCGGAAACGACAATGATTCTTTTAGCGCGCGAGCGTCGAGGCCAAAGTAATTTTTTCCCGAAGCCCATTCCGTCGATCGGACTGCGGAAAATGCTCGTTTGCACGCGAATAATCGCGAATAATCGCGAATAATCGCGAATAATCGCGCGCAGTCAGCCTCCGAACCTATTTTCAGAACGACACGTACGCGCTCCCGCCTCGATGAAAGGATCTCGTTACTTTCTCGAGCGCGAAAAGGAAGAAAACGATTTCCTGCCGTGAACCGTGAATGCACACCAAGTACAATTAACTCTTGGTAAATAATTCAGGAGCCGAGGCAATTACGCGCTCGGCGACGGCGGGACACCTGCGAGGCGCAACAGCTGCGTTTTCCTCTCGCGGCGAAAAGAAAGCCACTCGCCGCGGCTAACCCAGAAAAGATCGATTCCCGTGATGGACAGCGTCAACCCGCTTCTCGCGCACACGTACGCGACCTATCGATTTCCGCTCTGTACACAAGCTGAAATTACACTGGCGAAAATATGGGGCGAGCGTTGAGATATTCGTGCGTTCAAGGGTCGGCTTTTACTTTTGGAAACGTGTGTTCGTGACTCGGAGCTATCCGCAGGAAACTAGTTGGCCTATCGCAAATCGGAGGACGCACGCACGACTCATTCGTTAAAGAGTGAGAAAATCAAATGGATTTCATCGATTTTCAGATTCGATCGATTTCCTCATCGTCGCGGGAAACATTCGCGACATGAATCATGCGTTTGAATGAAAGAAAAGCCACGTGTTGTAAAAATACAAGGCAACATTGATTGTAAAAAAAAGAGTCGGTTTCACTGTGATCCCAGAGAAAAATAAATATCCTTCCCGTCGCGGAGGGGAAATACGTCCGCCCGAAACTTTCCTGATCGGCAATCAACGCGTGGCGAGACGAGATGGAAATAACGGAGGGAGAATCCCAAGGCAAACTCGAGAAGGTGAAGAAAAGAAGTAGAACTATAAGCGCATTAGCTTACATACTAATCGATCCTCTATCGCTCGTGTAATAGTCAAGGCTATGAGGGTAATTGGGAATTATTGAGGTACATCTTTGTAACCGACTTCAGGTGGATGACTAGAGAACCAATTTGAAGAAGGGTTTAACGCTTTGGCACACATGAACGCTGGATCGCTTGAGTGAACAGTGTGAAATTCGGTTGTTATTTTGAAATTCCAATTAGAAGTAGATGTTTCTTAACGATCACTGAGAAATAACGTACTGCATGGTCCCTAGATATTTGAGCATATTGGATGAAAATTTACTGATTTTCCTTTTCTTTGTGGCGCTTACCAGTGCAAGAATCACGCCTGAGTACTTGTCGAATTTGACTGACTAACCTGGAGCAGGTTTCAAGCATCGTTTCGCGATTCGCCGATTGTGCCGATGAAAAAGCTGGACGCGGAAGCTCTTTTCGAAATCCCGAAGCCGCGAGGCCTAACGAACGCGCGTCCGCGTGGACGTCGTTGTAACAACGAAAAAACCAACTCTGAGCGAGAGCGCATCCTGTTCGCGCGCACATCCGATCACGCGACAGCCGCTTAGAAATCGGCGCGCGCGCGCGACCTGTTGGCTATTAGACCGAGACGCTCGTACAATGTCGCGTGAAAGTTTCCGGGCTTTTGTAGCCGTGACTGCACACGCGTCGACCGTTTCGGAGCGGCACGTCGGCTTCCCAGTCGTGGACGTCTCGACGATTAGCGCGATCGCCGATCTGCTCGAGCTTCCCAAGCTCTCTGCTCGGTTACCCGACCCCCTCGTTCGCGCACACCTGACGCGTTTGCTCACGAGGAAAGCGACGATGACGGAACACATCCCGGCCCCCACTCGCGAGCTGTCGTATATTATCACATTGCAAATCGTACGTTCAATGACGTACGATCGCTGTGTGAAAGTCGGCCGACAGTTCCTACTATTTAGTGATTACGAAAACCTCTGACAGAAACAATCCTCTCGGCGTCCAAAGCTCTGAACGTAAATCGCAGTTGGACAGAAGCAAAAAATGAGGATTGTCGCAGCGACACGTGAATTTCTCTCCCACGATAGATGAAAAGAGGCGTACGCAGAATGACCAACTCGCGTTGTCGCGCGTTGTATCGAGCGCTTCAAGGTCGTCGTCGTCGTCGTCGTCGTCGTCGTACGCGCCTTTTGTCGTGTAGCAACGACAAAAGGCGCGTAAAGTTGCAGCCGGCGGAGGAGCGACGAGCGGAAGCTCTCTCTTTCGAGAGTCGACTGCCAGTCGATATCTAGCGTGCGGTGCTTCCGTTCTCGCTCAAGGTCGCGATGGCTACGCCGCCGAGTGTTTTTGTCTCGCGCTCGGCCGAGCACGCGCCACTTCGTTGTTCCTCTTCGAGTGGCCGCGCGCATATCGGTGTCACGTCGCCGACCGTGCAATTAGACAATGGGCCGCTCGACGCCTGGCCTCGCGAGGCAATAAAAATTGAAAATCAAACGGACAAATCGCTTGCGCGCGGGTCGAGTCGGTTTGTTTTATTCTACCTGACTCGTCTCGTTAGGCGCACATGACAAACT